GTGGAGGCAATACGTGGGCGTCGCCGTCGCATCATCCAACGTCCAACGGGGACTGTAGGATGACCAATGGCCGGACACATGCGAGCAACCCCCCGTCTCGCGACGAGACCTCGGCATTAACGTAGTAAGATCGGTTTACGGCTCTATATATGTCGTGTCTCGTACTGATGGTTTCGTCCAGCTACAATCAAGCCGCTCCGCCGCATTATGTCTGAACAGACCACCGTCTTCCTTACTGGAGCTACAGGTACGAGCATGGCCGCCATCGAAATGATCGAGCTAAATGTCTACTCCCAGGTTACCTTGGAGGCGCTACGTTACAACTACTACTGCACAATCCGACGCTATCCATCACCGTACTTGTTCGCGGCGACGAGAAGGCGGAGAAGCTCAAGCAGCTTGGTTTGAAAGTTGTCCTGGGATGTCCTGATGATACGGACCTCATAGAGGTGGAGGGTGCGAAGGCGGATGTTATACTTCAGAATGTGAGTAGCCTCTACATCGCACTACACTCGGAACACTGACTACATACAGGCCGCATACGACCACATTGACGGGGTTAATGCGCCCCTGAAAGGCGCGAAGGCTCGCTATGAACGTACGGGCAAGTAGTCCATCTTCATTCAAACCGTGAGTATTGCCTTTTCTACGCTGCACACTCGTCCTCATCTTCCACCGTCTGTTTACCCAGTCTGGGACGGGAGCCTTCGTCAAAATGGATGCAATGGATGACTTCACCTCGGACACGGTGCTTTCTGACACAGACCCTGATCTTTACCGCCACAAGAACACGCTCGCGCACAGTGTTGTCAACGAAACTCTCATCGCTGCAGATAGTGAAGGTTCGTTTTGTCTCGAACCCCAATGCTGCCAGCCTAAAGGTGTTCTCTAGGCTTTGTACGATCATATATCGTGCTTCCGTCGATAGTCTACGGTGTCCTCAAGGGACCGCTGGTGGACGCAGGCATCTCTCACGCGTACAGTATGGCGATGACGTGGGCCGCCAAACTGAGCATTGAACGCGGTCAAGGCGCTCAGGTTGGCAAGGGACTGAACTGATGGCCTGCCGTGCACATTGACGACAGTGCGTGCCGTCCATGCTTCCGTTCATCGAGTGTGTGCTAATCGAGGTTAACGATGCTCGCCAGCGGCCGACTTCTACAAGTTGGTATCTGAACGTGCTTTGGCGGGTGACGCACCTCATGGTGCTCAAGGCAACTACGTCCTTGAGAACGGAGAGTTCAGCTTTAGTGAGGCAGCGAAGCGCTACACCGCGGTTCTCCATGCACACGGCAAGAGCGCGAAGGCAGAACCGGATTCCTTCACAGCGGCTGAGATTGAAAAGACCCCATTCGTATGTGCTTTACTGAGCACGGCGCATCATGTCCTGATGATTCTGGAGATCTACTTTCTAGGTACCGATGTCCGTATCAGAGGAGATCGCTCCCGTCAGTTAGGCTGGAGCCCGGCGCATGTCATCGAGGACTTCTACGAGAGCGTGCAGGAGGATACTGAAGCTGTCTTGGCGGGGAAAGACTGAGTCTCAATCTTCTTGTCTGTTTATACTCGTAGATGATGTGCTGAGCGTCAAGCTATGTCGTGATGGAGTTGACAAGGACGGGGTCGCCGCGAAGTTCGCACTCGCGTCGGCGACACGCATTGACGCCACGCGTCACAGATGGCAAGATCGTCACATCCCTTGTGTCTCGGCGCCCGCACCCCCACCTTTCTGTCATAGAGGTTGACGGTGACTACCTCGGACCTGGTACTTATAGTACCTTTGCGATGTCTGCACTGTGGGGATAGGCGCATGGTGGTGCCCCTGGATTGCCACGAGCCTCGGGCTTCGGAAGTCACGCCGAAGCGTGCATATTTTCTCGAACTTTCGGCCGATTTTGCCCACACGCTTCCCGTTTCTCGAGCATGACGGATCGGTTCCCGTATGCTCTAGACAGCGCTGTATACGGTAACAGTGAAGCTTTAGCATCGCGAATCTTCTGTTCCAGGTGGTATAAAGTCGCGCCTGGCTGAGACTCCATTCCCTCATCATACAATCTACTCATACTCGCGACTACCCGCTTCTACAGCGTTCTCACCTACCAACCACTACTCGCTCATCATGTCGTTAACCCACTTCTTCTACGAGCCCTTCTACTCCCTTTCTGACTTCGACCGTCTCTTTGACGAGGCCCTCGACGCGCGTCGGACTAACGGCCGCACACGCGGTCAGAACAGCCAGCTTACCACCCGGCAAGGCTCGTCGTCCTCTCTAAGCTCACTGCGCCCCAAGTACGTCCCCTTTTGATCCTACGAAGTCGAAGCACATACTGATGAGTCTCCGCAGGATAGACGTGCACGAAGATAAAGACAAGAACCTCGTCGCCGCCACGTTCGAGCTGCCCGGCCTTAAGAAAGAGGACGTGCAAATCGACGTCCACAATAACGTCTTGACCGTCTCAGGCGAGACCAAGATCGACGAGACAAAGGAACAGGATGGCTACGCCGTCCGCGAGCGCCGCTTCGGGCGCTTCTCACGTTCTATTCCTGTGCCACAGGGTATTAAGGAGGAGGATATCAAGGCGGCGCTCGAAGACGGCGTATTGAGCGTGACCTTCCCTCGCTCTGCGCCGAGGCTGCACCGAAGAAAATCACCGTCGCGTAGACGAGGTGGTTGTGAGTACTACTGTTGCGTATTAGATAGACTTGAACTTTAACATTTTGATCGGGACTGTTTTCGTGGGACATCGCAATCGTCGATTTGTTTTGTAGTTTCATCACTATGTTGTACAATGCTATACTGCTGCTTTCATCTTCAGCATACTGATGCGTGGATCTTTGGCTGCTGGTCAGTATGGTATTACAGGTCTCGGGCACTGAACTCCCGGTTCCCGGCCTCGCTCCATTATTTAGCTTGGGTATGAGCGACAATGATGGTACTGACGAAAGCGTCATGCAACGAAAAGTCAACCTTGTATAAATGTCGGGAAACTGAGAATTATGAGAGGGAGGTGGTGAATCCGCCTGAAGAAGTGTGAATTGAGCGGGAACGGGCCGGAGTGAAAAATGAGTGGATCGGGGATCGAACATCCGATTTTGCGCCAAAAGGTTCGCGATGAGCATGCCGCTCGAAACCTGACGCAGTGGCAGAAGTGGGCGTAGCCTCCCACAACCACTGTGCTACCTCGCATTTGAAGGGTGCAACGTCAGGACTGGTCTACCGTCGCGATCGATGGGTTCGTACGAGTGCCAGCGGCGCGCGAGATTCGCTGCTTTGTGCAGGCCACCACCCGTGGTACTCGCGCAACTTGCACCAGCACCTGTTCCCGCCCAACCTGTATCGGTTACAGCCTCTGCCGAAGCCAGCCACCACCACCCAGGCTCAGGCTGAACAGCACGTCGTGGAGGATCAGGAGCCTGTACCAGAGGTGGGACCGACAACATCCGCGACGACCCCGCCGTCAACGGTATGTATTGTTCGCTCCTCGGACGCCGAGTTTCTCTGACCGAACCGTATAGGCTCCCTCCCCACCACCTAAAATCACCTATGATGACGATGGAAGAACCGTACCCGGCATCAAACACCAGGTGGTGCCCATCTCGCGGACTTGGTCGGCCACATGGAGATCTTCGGGTCCACCCGGCCCTCTCATATGAAGCATCTTCTTCACTTGCGCATATTCGGGCATCGACAGAGAAGTTACACGGCCGACGTTCGCGCTGGATGCCGCAAAAATCGGCGTACAGCGGGCAGAGCAACATGTGGTACTGGATTTTATCGCCACGGGTGATACAGCGTTTGTCGCGGGTCTTATCTCGCAGGTACGTTCTTCTAGTTTCTTCAATTTACCGTACCTGACGCAGCGATCTTCTCTCAGTCCATCTTTCGCATCAGCGTTATTCGCAGCAACCCTGTCTCCTACATACGCGTCGTTGCGAGCAAGTACGCGATCGTCGAGACATTCGATAGCGTAGATACGCTTGCACTTGGTGCATCGCACTTGCTTCAGGATGGTCGTTTCCATTATGGCGGCCCCAGAGCTTGGGAGATATCAAATGGGCCGACGTGTACGTTAGTGGCACCTCACCACAATGACACTGACCATCTATATTCAGATCAGGCATACCTGGTCGATGACGGGCGCACAAGCCTTCTGTGCTCCGGCCGTACCGGAGCTTCCTAGCACACTGTTCTTCGGCGAGCAAGCGAAACATTGATTCGACATCTCGGACTACCCGACAAGCACCCCACCGAAGGGCGAACGCCCGATCCGAGAGCTGCTCGCCGCGATGATCATCTTTCTCTTAACCGCGGTATGTATTCATTAGCTCATATATTGATTATCCCGTCACTGACACTTGCGCCAGATTCATCTCGGGATCTCGAAGTACTCGACCGGTGCCAGAACACGTTCAGCAGCGAGAACGTCGCGACTTTCTATAGTGACCACGTCGAGACATGGAAGAGCATCGCAGTGGGTGGTCATCCCGCGTTTGCGTGCTATCTCTTTAGTTTGGGGAGGCATCGTGAGTACGCGTCTCCGTTCTCTGGTATCCCTTGCTCATGGCTCTCCAGGGGTCTTACTGCCGAACAGGCAAGTGCGGGTGCCTCGAGCGGTCTGCTGAACGTCGCGCAGGTGGGAGAGGGTCTCAATAAGCTGTCAATGTCGGTTAGAACCAGTGAATGTGGAATGAATTGACTTGGATTACCGAGCTCGGTGTGAATCTTTCCCGAAGACAGTGGTTTGATGGTGTCGTGTGATTTTGTTCGGATCGCCTTACACTCTTCTTGCAGAGCGCATTCACGAGTCGTTCACTGGACTCTCACATATCGCGTCGAACTTTTTCGGCGGTGTCATCTACTTAAGTCCCAGCGGACTTCTACGGATTTTGCAGAGCTGAGGGTGGTGACTTGCATTATATTGATTCCAAGTGCGGGTGCCTGACATTCACGCGCATTCACGCCGATCTATAGGAAACAGAGGGGGGTCGTTCCTTGATGTGAGTGACTGGTGTAGGTGGAAGAACACTGCTTCGATGCGGAGTGCCTCGGGCGATTGCGTCGGAGACGCGCAAACTCACCGCGAGCGTGTACCGTTCTCTCGTCTTTATACTACAGCGCTACTGATACTCTCTTTCCGGCGTCGTGCGCGTATCCGCGCCACAGCTCGCTCGCACTTCATCTCCGATCTCATCAGTCTTATCGTTCTGTCCGCCCGTCCCCTCTTTACCTGAATACTCTGTATGCACCGGCCCCTTCCCTCCTATCCCATATCTTTACCGTATCATCGGTTCAGTACTAGACATCCCGATGCGTAAGCGAGGCAGCGTGATGGGAGGGCGGGTGGCCGCGTGAACAGCCATCCATCATATGCATGTTCACGTTCATTCCTGTCACAGCATGCGTTGCCTCGGTGGCCCAGCCGAGCGCTGAGCAATCATTAATCAACGTGCCGAAAGGTTCAGATTAGCGTGCTTCAGAAGCCCCTTCGTCGAGTCTCGCTCTTCGGACCCGTGCCGGGTTGCTCTCCCTTCTCACTCTTGTATGTCACTCATCTCGCGTGGCCATCAGCTATACTACTGAGCCCATATATACACACTGCTTATGAATATGCTGGTAACTATAGTCCCATGTGATTAACTATAAGACAGATAGAGCTCGCGATTTCACCCAGTCGCGCAACCTCTTTGGTTGCTCTCGGGAATGGCAGACCAGTGCACTCAGGATAGAGTCAATCGAGAGCCACGCGCCTCCGTCTGGCCCGAGACCCGCTCTTCATTCATCGCCCTCCATTGCTCGAAGCTTGGCACTCTTCTTCCTGTAGATAGTTAGATCTCGCGAGCAACTCGTATCTGAAGCTGAACATACCCCTGGCGTCCAGACCTCTGGCGTCCGTTCACACCATGATCTCCATTGTGCCTTATCGGACTATCTGTTTCGAGAATACCGACCTTCTCAGTCAAGACGTGCAATACTTGCGACACATCAGATGCCAGGCGCGACCATTCCGACCGCTCCTCATCTCCTCTGATGTTCCAAGCCCATACCAGCAGCGTCACCACAAGAATGCGAATGCCTTCCAAGCCGGGAGACAAAGCATTGCGCCAGTTCATGCTAGAGTCAGCTGTCACGCATACCTGCCCTTGTCTATCCAGGCGTTCTTGTGGCTGAAGTAATGCCCATTGACGGGGCAATGTAACATTGACGTCTGCGTCCATCTTCGCGGTGGTTCTATTCTCCCCGTAGGTGGCCCTCCCATTCCATCGTGACGTAAAGTCGCGCAAGTGCAAGTCGAACATGTATCTTGGCTGTTCAACGGCTACTGCTTCGGTTGTGGTTTGTATCTTCCTCATCGTCAAAGCCATCTCATCCTATCTCATATTAGTGCCGGAGGAACAAAAGCGATGCCATGAAACTTGCTAACCGCCTTGCTCGACTCATATTTCAGATATGCCAAACTTAGAGCGCATGCGACATCCTCATCTACCTTACCCGAAAGCTTGGTTGGGACCGCCTTGAAGAAGTTTATTGTGTTTGACTCCTCTAACCACGCCTTGTACGGTAAGATCTTAGCTATGGCAGAGTGGAAGGCTTCGTTATAGCCTGCCTGATACATTTTTAGTAAAATAAGACCCATTTCGCTGCTTGAACATACCGGATGTACACCAGAGCGCGTACCATAGCCTGTTATACGAGGTGCGAATGGGGTCACCGTTGTTCGTATATCGTAGTCTCGCCTTCTGAGATCTTCAGGAACCGCCATGTCCGGGTTACCCTGACGAAGTTGTCAGTCAGATCTTCAAGCATCTGTTGTTACTTACTATGTCATAATCATTCCAGGGGTCCACTCCATCGGTGACAAACGAAGCAGGATGATGAGGGGATGCGGCGCCATCTTTGACCAGAGACGTGAGTCTATCTGCGTACGTACTGCAGAGGAATTACTCACCAAGATCAGCCGAGGGTGTGCTTTGAGCCGCGCACTGGCGTTCGACCCTGGCCGAAGGCTGTGGGACTATGAACTCGAGCTCGCTCGCCCTCCCCGCAAACGTGATGCTGCTCTCGTCATCGCTCTGATCCTCATCACTGCCTTCATCATGAGCATCGACGTTCGCCTCCATCTCTTCCCCATCTCTTCTTGCCGTTACTTCCTGCTCTTCGTCAGTAGGGGCGAAACCAGAGCTATAATGATCCACGTTGGGTGCTTGAGGCCACTTGGTCTCTGGTGTTGACTGTGAGAATCGTTCCATATGAGTGAAAAGACGCAGTTGAGCCTACCGTTCAACAGTCGCACTTGCTTATCTAATTGGTCCTTGAATTGTCCGCATGCACTCGGGTTCGCTTCTGAGTACAGTAACTTAGGTTGTCCAGGAACATCGCATACACCCTCGGACCTGGTTACAACGTGAGTGCATGTTGACCTATGAGAGAATGCAAAAACCGACACTAGGCTTGAGCCAGATGGACCGCCAATGAACAAGACGGCGATTCCAGAAGCACGGTTGGCGAAAAAGTGCATGAGATCACCCAAAAAGACTTGCGATGCCTCCATGAACCTGTATTCGTGTTGCGTTAGCCGAAGTCCGCGACATGCTCTGAGGTGGCGACGCACTCGATAGCTTCTTCGGGCGACATCGGGACCGCGGAGGCACTCGCATCCCACCTTTCAATGGCCTCTGCGTGGATCCGTTGGGCTTCCTTACGAGCCAATGTCTGCTCTTCTATGCTCGACGCCTTGAACCACTCAGACGCAACCGTGTTCCACATGGATACACGGGGAGGGGTGGCGGTGCCTGTCGACGTATCTTGTGTCCTGGAAGCAAGGCGAGAATCTACCTCGGCTTCCAGTTCAGGGCGAGCGTGAGACTTTGCCCAGATCTTGTACGCCTGCTTTCGACGAGGTCTCGTCGCGAAGAGCCGGATCAACTCTGCAATCTCCGCGACTGGCTTGACCGTCGTCACTGGACACCCAACGAGCATGTTCTTACGCCAGATCTTACTGATTTCCTAAGACGGTCATGAGTGACATGAGATGATGCTTGCGTCTCGTCAAGAGACGTACTCTGCGGACTTTCTTGACTACATTATCTCTGCGTTTCTGCTCCTCCTCACTCAGCGATAAGTCGCCGCTCTCCGTGCGCTCCGTCTCCTTCTGCGCGCGAAGCGGATCATCCCAACCATAAAGCCCTATGAGCTTTCGCGCCGTCTTGTTGATCGCGGTGCTAATGTCATTCTGCGGGGCATTCCCGGCCTTCAGCGCGCGGTACTCTCCGATGTCCTCCAATATTGATTTCACTTGAGCTGGACCTGCATTTGTCGGGCGGCCACGCCCTCGCGTCGAGCCTGCGCGGTGGGCGCGGGTGCCAACTCGTGCGTAGACGGGCATGGAGCAGCTAGAGTTAAGGCGAATAGATCTTCAGCGAAGACTGGATGGGAAGACGCTTAATGGGACCTACGAAGGACGGTATAAAGCTCGTGGCGGTATACTAGATTGGAGCTCCAGCCCAGCGCTGATTTCGCGTGATCTTTTATGACGCCGGCTGTCATTTATGCTACGCTCACTTCTCTTCGGGCAATTGCACAACCTGCGGGGAAACGGCGAGGCAACATTATGACTCCGGCGAAGGACAATCCGATGAGGAATCCATGTTTGCTTCAGAATGCAGTGTAAGATGTTCATACAGCCTCACAAGTCGCTATGGAGTAACCCTGCACGACATGAATACGGCGGACTCAGGGACCCATGGGGCGTCCAGTCTGGCAACCGTCCTCGTGAGATCTGTTGGGGACTCAGTCTTGCTTAGAAGGATGCATGTGAACATGCCTGACAAGTCAAATCAATACACACGGAGATACATGCCCCACTGGGATGGTGATCATATATTCGGACAATAAGTTCCAAAAGGCGTCATCGTACACACTATGCCAGAGATGCAGGTTGTTACTCACCGGGGGCTACCGAATAAGCCTCGATCGGGAGGTATTGCACGTGAAGTGTCTTTCCTGTCATGAATACGTAGTTTGCAAGGGCACTGCGGCCGCAACATTGATTGGAGTGCGCTTTGCTCGCCTTGTGAATCAGGCGCCGCGTGCAATCGTATATGGCCGAACAGCGCCCAAGCAACGCATACAACTGGTCTATTGACGCTGATGATCTGTCATCGCGAATCATACGCCGTACAAGTGTCAGACACGAACCTTCACGCCTCCGTTGCCATCCCGGCTGCGATGCCGAGTGCAACTATTGCACGCGGATGCATAACCTTAAGTATCCCGCCTCGCGTCTCGGACTTCACCGGTGGTGGGATCTATGAGAGCGGCTTTGAATGCTGAGGAATGTATCCGGCTGTGCCACTACCCGTAGTGTTTGCGCGAGGATCGGATGGGAGACCAAAGGGAGTCCATGACGCCGGCTGGGCTGATACGGGCGTCAGAAGGGAGTTGTTCGGGGTCGGTGGCAGGGGCTGCTTCGTGTACTCGGGCGTGTTGATCGGCGCGCGTGACCCTGTGCTGGGGGGCGGCATCGGGGGCGGCGCCAGTCTGTTGCTTCTGTTCGGGTGCCCGGAGAGCGGCATCGTGGCTGCTGCCGAGTTGGGAGTTGGATGGCTCGGCAACGGGCGCGTGGCGAGCTGCAGTGGCCCCGGCCTGCGCGACGTCGACGGCGATCGCTGGGGAGCTGGCACTGCCGCTGCCGCCGGCGTTGTTTCGAGCAGAATAGACATCCTCGCCTGACGGGAGCGGGTGTTGCAGCGTGCCCTGAGCACCTTGACACCGTTGAGGATGCGGAGGCGGTCGCCGATGGAGGTGATGCCCATCTCCTTGAGCGTCGCCTGCTCGAGCTCGAGCAGCACATCGGATCGGATGTCGTTCTGCTTGAACGTCGGGGCGAGGTGGCCACATCTGATCTCCTGCATCCACTGCTGCACATGCGAGTCCGTTCACGTCCTCAGGGAATCCCTGCACCTGGATGTAGACGTCGCCTCCAGTATCCCGCGTCGGCCCGAGAACTGCGTCACCATCGCAGACGGCGACGACGACAGCTGCGTCGACGTCCCCGACAGCGCCACCGCGGCCGTTATGTTTCCGAGAAAGCAGAAAGGTAGGGTAAAGGGAAGAAGAAGGAAAGACAAATGGACAGGACGCGGCTGTCGGATTAAGCAGGCTGAAAGGACTCGATCAGAAACATGTCAGTCAATGTTCAGAATCTGCACTTACAGCAGCAGCGCTCGTGGTCGCGGCAGCGGCAGTGGTGTCGGTGGCGGCAGCAGCCTATTGAGGCAGCCATGAGTAACAGTTGATGGACCAGCCGTAGTAGTTCAAGGGTTGACACCCCTTGTCTCTGATGCCCAGAGGGGGAGATCTCCTACCTCTCGGGGTGTTCACCCCTACCCTCCCGACCCGAGAAGTACTCCGAGAATGCCCGAGCACTGTTATCGCCGAACCCAGGTATTCGTTTCCACTGGGCATTAAAATATATGACAGTAAACTCATAAATCCTAACCCTAGCAGATCTCAGTTTCCTTGATCCGATGAAAAAGATAAGGCGACTAAACGGTAACGAGATGTCGCCGGCAATCAAAGACTGCCCTCGCTGCTCACCGCGATCAACGGCAGTCGGCCATCACCCGCCTCGCCCGTCGCCGCCTCACGCGTCGCCGCCCGTCCGCCATCAATGTCCGCCATCAATCCCCGCCATCAATCCCGCCGCCTTTGTTGCGCGCGCGGCCATTCTCGTTCGCGACCTGCTCCTCCCTCCCAATCCTCACTGTGACCTCAGCGGCTCGTTCAACGGCCAGGGTCCTGGTACTGAGACACGCAGCCATGTCTACTGCTGTTCTCGCAAACGAGAAACACTAGTTTCCCTGCACCCCCTCCTCTCTTCCCAGTCGGACCATTCGCGTTTGCAGCTCCCCACCATGCTCTGTTAGGCTATCTCCCCTAGAAGTCCACAGTCCGCCAGCGCGACGCATCCGCCGTCAACGTTCGATATCGCGCTTCCAACCGCCCAATTCGCTGCGCGAAACGCGATCACATGCGCAAGCGGTTCCAACCCCCGAGATGCGCTACCGTGCGCGCACGCTCGCTTCTTGTCCCTCAACAACCATCATGTCTCTCTTCTTGCATTGGCCCGTCCACCCAGCTGTGTCTCCCCAAAAGATCTGGACGAGGTCTCTCCGGTCAATCGCCCAGAGTCGTACTTATCGTCTCGTACACACCCGCGACGGGAGCAAATGTCCCGACGTCGGGACAGGAACACCACCCAATGCCGGGTATAAGTAACTCATTTTACCTCGTTACTCCTCTCCCTTGTCGTCTCTCACCGCCATGGGGCCAAAGCACGCCGAACTGTACAGATATGTCAAGAACATCGCGCGCCCTTGGTCCGAGGAACTGTACGATCAACAGGCCGAGCTATGCGACGACCTCAGAGGTCCTTACCTGCAGTACAAAAAGTCCGACCCCCATCTTGGCCGTTACCTCGTCACCGTACGTCCGATTTTTCCCGCGTTGTACAGCAGCTAACGGTCCATCAGTGCTCCGGCAACCATCCCAACAAGCGTCGCCACTTCAAATATATATCCCCGCCCATCTCAGCTCTGCAGCGCGCGGATATCCGCTTGTATGCCGCCTCAAAGGGGATCAAAATGAAGGGCACTATTGATACCCCACCTTCGTCACCGGTACGCTTTCCCCTCGTATTCGCCGCGTCGCAAAACTGACGCGAACCTCAGTCCCCTCCACTTCTACCTCAACCTTCCACTCCAGTCCCAACCATAATCGATCTGAGCAACGAGACCACGCCTTCCCCGGGCACTAGCCAGAGCGCGCGCCCGCCCTTGACCCGCTCGCCGAGCGTCGAGATCACGCGCGTCATCCCTGCGCCCGTCCAGCAGGACCGACTCGTTGTATGGTTGTTCCGTCGGGCAAGTCATTTCTTCTCGCCATCGTATACGCTCACTGATTTTGTCCTCATCAGGATCTCGAGCATCCCCTCACGTTCTCCATCCGCGCCCGCCCTGGCTGCGACGTATTTCGCATGTCCCACCATGTCACCGTGCTGGAACGCCTCGAGGTCAAGCAGAGCGACCAGATCTCCGTCCTCACTTACGAGAACTCTGGCGTCGAAGTCTGGACCACCTTCCAAACTTCAGATCTGGCCGTCCCGCGCTATGTCGCCGCTGTAGTCCTCGCCTTTCCCCGCGTCAAACTCTTCCATGCTGGTATTGCCCGCCTATACAACCTCGCCTTCCCCGGTGCATGTGCGTTTCCAGAATTTTGTTCTCGAGCGCGTGCTGATTCGTTCCGTTACAGCACGCCTTCCAGGCCGCATTGCTGACAAGCCATCCACGTGAATCGTGTCATGGTCGCGTATATGCATCGCCTTCCCCGTTTGTATCCTAACACGTACTCTCAATTGTGCGCTGTAGCTGTATCTATCATGGCCTCGTGTGTGTATATGAGAGATAAATTTACATGCAGTTACTCTAGATCGGGAATGTCGCCAAGGTCGGCTTCTTCGTCTGACACTATGTATGCCTCTACCCTCTCTCCCAACTCTGGCAACTTGCTACCCACCAACTCGTGATCGCGGGCCACCGAGAACATTGACCCGCCCCTATTGCGGCAGCTCCGCCTAGGAGCTTTCTCTCGCAAGGACGGATTCACCCTCTTCTCATCCTCATCCCGAGCGCTTACGCGGTCTCCCCCCTCCCTTCTTCTTCTGTCTTTGCCCGCTGTCATGGTTTCGATCAGGTTCAATCCATGTACCTTCAGCAAGTACACGTACCACCCACGAGCACCTCCGCGCCACTGTAAATACCCCGCCGTTCCCCCACGACTTTCCCCGACATCAGCTGCGAGCCGTGCGCCGTCCTAGGCCCCGCATGCTCGTTCAGATTGGCTAACATGCCAAGTAAAACGTAGTCCATTGCGCAGTACCTAATGTACGACTTCAGCATATGAAACGAACCGAACCGAACATGTTAACACTCTACCTCTCGTGCGTCGCCAAGTCTGGCATATTTGCCGCTCTCCATAACCTGTGCTTATCTAACGCAGGGGTGGCTGGAGCGGCGCTCGAAGAATTGTCGGTACTGTTGTTCATGATAGTCTGCATGGTGTAGTCTGCATGGTGTAAAGACAGACGTTTATATACTGTCCGTGGGGTTCTCGATGTACTCCCCATGTCTTACGATACCGTCATCCGACCACAGCACGGGTTTCGGCTACACGCAAGTGACCGATGGTCCAGCCGTACATGTTGACAGCGGTCTATGATAAGCGACGTTGACTACTGGGAACACAGCATGTACCTACGACAGGGAAACGCGTATGGACGGCAACCCCTTTTTGCATGGCTATTGTTTGTACACCGGGCGCCAACCCCCTCACCACCCGTACTGAGAGGGCTTCTTACTCTCTCTCTCCCGACCTTTGATACTGCCGATGATAGTGCTTCTGCCATCTGGAACGGATGCGAATCAGTACCGTAGTCGGCCTCTTATATAAGCATGAAGACCGACCGCTACGCCCCTTTCCTTTCACATCCTTCGCCGCCACCTTCGGACGTTTACTGCCCTCCGCCCTATCACTTCCACCGCTCGCCGCTCTCTTCGCCGCTTGCTTTTTCCCGCCATTATCCACCTGACCTCCTGTGTTCGATATCCCTCCTCCCACGCGACAATTTTTCAGCACCACGAAGACGGCAGTCATATCCTCCACGACGGCCTGCCAGAGCTCCATATCTTTGGCACTGATGGCCCAGTGCATCATGCACCAGACGAGCAGAAACGCGCCCTTGTAGCCGCGCGCAATGAGGAGCGAACCCCAGTCCGAGCTGCCGTGGGGTGCGGCAAGACCGCGAACTCCGTTCGTCACCCCTCGCTCGCGCGGTTGTAGCGCCAACCACCACTTCTCCATATTCTTCCCCCACCCTTCCGGCACGACGTCAGGTAGCAGCCCGCCCCGACGGTTGACCATGTAAGAGACTTGGGTTGGGCGGTCTTTCTTCTCCAGATGCCCACCAGCCCCGGCATCCTGTATGAGCGCATGTTAACGATCATGTCAAAGTCCAAAGCACGAGCGTCATATAGACATACCCAGGCGTCATCCTCCCGAAGAAGATCCTCCATCTTGTCGACAAGATCCGCGTAGAAGGGGCGCCGAGCGGGGTCCAGGTCACGGATAGCATTAACTAACCGGTCCCTCTTCGAAAGACCGGACGACTGGCTTAAGTACGATTTCCACGCGCCCTTGTCGTTGTCCTTGTCGAAAGCCTGTGAGTGATCTCTGATCCAACCCTACGTCATCTCGTGAGCGTCGACGTCAAGGCGTCCATTAATATGCACCTACATTCACTCGACCACTTTCCACGTCGACGTTCGGAATATCCTCCGGGTCGTCAGTCCCACCGCCAACTCTACCATTGCCAAGCGCGCCTGAGCCGAACCCGGGGCCGTCCTCGGGGCCGTCCTCCGTGAACTGATAAGTGCCATCCCCAGGCGGGCTCTCAGCGCGCAGTCTTCTCCCCCGCCGATTGGCAGGAGGAAGCGGTCCCGCATCCTCATCCTCGCTCTCCTCCTCGAATGTTCGCTGGGTGCGAGGCGCCGACCCACGCGCGGAGTCGTTCGTGAGTGGGCCCTCCTTGACCTGCAGCTTTTCGCGTATAAGCTGCGTCAAGCGCTCGGCCTGGGGGGCCACGGTCGGTGTCAGGCCATTGCGTTCACCGCGCTTTACTGGCCGAGGCTTTGGTCTTGTAGTCTTGCCCGTCCCGTCTTCCGACGCTCTCGAGTCGTCCTTCTTGCCCTTCGCGATCGCCTCTTTCTTACGACTTCCACCGACATGCGAGCGCGAAACGCCTCCGAGCGGATACTGTCGGGGATGCTTCAACTTGGTTTGAGAGTGGCGCCGGTCCGTCCAATTGGTGGCCACGAGCGCGTCGATTTCGCGACTTTCATTCTCTCCATCCAACAACTCGCTCCTACGCATTCCCTCGCCGCCCACTACCATCCCATCCTCATCTCCATCGTCTTCATGTGTGCTTGCGTCTCCATAACCACTTCCCTCGGCACCGCTCCCGTTTCCCATCCCGTAATCGTCAAACCCGAACTGGGACCCATGGTCACTCAAAGCCTCCCGACGCGCATCGTATACAGACGTCGACGTCTCTGGCGTGCCTGTCCGGGAAAGCCGCGTGATACCCTCCGGCCAAATCGTCATCTCCACGTCGTCGTCGCTATCCTCCTCGTCGTCGTTCGCAAAAGCGTCTTTGAGCTTGGCAAGAGACGTGGAGCCCCGCGACTGGGCTGTAACGGGGTCTCGCGGAGGAATAGTATGGGAAACGACCGGCGCGGCGGACTGCGGGTTGTTCGAACCAGATGCCGGTGTGCTATTGAGAGGCGCCAGGCGCGCGGCTTGCGGGTTGTTCGAACCAGATGCCGGGGCGCTATTGAGAGGCGCCAAACGCCGAGGTTGCGAATTGGACGGGCCGCGAGGAGCGTTCGGCCGAGAAGCGTTCGGCCGAGATTCGAACGTTCGCTCTTTGTGTGACGCAGATGCTAGGTCTTTATCGGCCAGCGTCTGGGGTGGTAGCTCACCCGACGAGTATGCGTCGTCCATGTTGACGTCGTTAGTCGACGCAGCCGCGCGGCCTGAAGCGTTACCCGGGGCTCGGTTCACAGTGTTCTGTTGCGAGCCGTAAGTGACGACGTCAAAAGACGTAAATGTATTCCGCTCACCGAACCCATGCCCATAGCCAACTCCATTTCCTCCACGTCTTCTTTTCTTGCCAGGTTCAGCTCGCCGTTACCCAAGTCCTGTAACGCTCACAGTCAGTCAACGTATCGCAGAATGCTGGCGCGGACGTACGTCGTCGAATACATTGCCAGCATCGTCAAGCGGCAAGTCCTCTTCCACTTTCGCTTCCCGCGCGGCTTGCTGAGGTGCCTTCGCGCCCTCCGGGACACGTCCGGTGAGCATATCCCTGGCGTACTGTCCCATTTTGATCTTGCCTGCGCTCAACGCATCGCCCATGAACGTTTGCAGGTCGGGCGCTCCGTCCTTGAGATCACCCTCAGCGAAAAGTCTGTACTGTCATTTAGTCATCTGAGCAGCGCGGCGCGAATGGCTACTTACGTTCGAACCTCGGGCGTCCCGCTATCAGTTTGGCCTGCAATCGCCAGCTGCAGCGCCACACCGAATCGCTGAGCGGACCAGTTCATGAGGGCTTGAAAGAATGCCCCTGCCTCGGGCATGATCCTGGTAGTGGTGGTAAGCAGCAGTCGGAGCGCAACGACAACACACACACGTACCATGCGCGCGAGTCGCGCGCACCTTCCGGTGAGCCCCACAGCGCGTTATAGCGGCCTACTAGCTCAGCGTGCGACGCGTCGCACCGCTCGGCAACAGCCTTTTTAACCTCTGCCGTCTCGCGCGCCCACTTCCCAGACGCAAACACTCTCAGTCTGGCGCCGCGCTTTTTCTTCAAGGACGCCAACGCGGCCTCGTTACCCTGCACGGATTTTTCCTCTTCGTCCCAAATGGCATCGAATGCCGGCATGAAATTCGGCTGCGCGAGTCGTGAGCGGTGTTTTCTGGTTTCTATGAGAAGCGCAACGTACTTTGTAGTGCTTCTGGTACATGTCGAGCTCCTTGGGGCGCAGCGGCGCCGGTGCATGTGCGGCGACCACGCGCTCGACATGGCGCTGCTCCAAAGCCGCGGCCGCTTGACCACCCTTCATTTGCTTGCGCTTTCCTTTGTACCATCCGCGCACCCTCTGGCGGTTGTCTGCGTCAGGACCGCTGTTACAGGGATAGATATATACGCACTTGGACTAAGCCCGCAATGACCGCATCCCTCCTGTCTGCTTCCTCCTCGGGTAGGGGCGGCATATCCGCGGCCGCCGGGATATCTTCGTACTCGATGTTGTAGAAGTCGATGTCGTATAAGTTGGCCGGCTCGTCGCTGCTCAAGGGATCGTCGTGGCCGAAGCAGAGTACGAAAGCTCGCGCGATAGTCAGGTAGATGTCTTGTCTGTCGTTATTCAGAGCCTGCGTCTGCGGCATGCCACCGAGAACCAGGGCGAAGAATCGCATTAGAAATATGGTATGGCGCCCATGGAGGTGCTTGGCCATTTTGAGCGCGGATTGGTGGTACGAGATTCGGCGACGGGGAGATGGTGGGTTGAGAGAAAATTCCGCCGCGTACTCTGACGATAAAAAGAGGGGTTCCGCAAGCTACGGCGTCGTCGGCCGCGGGCTGTCACGGAGCCTCCAGACGTGCCGTATCGCCTGTCGATCGTCCCGAAGGTCCAGTATTTGGTTCGGTATCTAGACGCGATATGCGGTATGGAGTGCGTTACTGAGCCACACGTATGCGGTGTATTGAGTCTTCCAGCAAGTGTACCAGTACCACAGACGTAGAGGGAAGGAAAGCGCAGGCAGGCCAAGAGGTATCAGGCACTTGGGCACGGAAGCAAAAGGACGGGCCGTTCGCTTGCGGGTCGATGCCACACGCGCGAGCTCGCGGCTTGCAGGTTACGCAGCGTAGACATACTGTCGCTCGTGGTGGTTAGAGCAAAGCGACGAGCAGAAGGATGATCTTCGAAAACGTGTTGATGATAGACGCTCGAGCGTGGAAAGTCTACTCGGCTTTAGGAAAGCCGCCGACACTTCGACGCCGACAACCATCACACATGATATACGCGCAGAGGCTCTATTGTCTATTGCGGAGCAGACTGCCGGGATGCTGTACGCTCTCATCAAGTTTACGCCTCGCCTTTCCGTACGCTAGCGCGAGTTTGACTCCTTTGCGAGCGATGCGTCATCGTCCGCACCAGACGCCGCAGGACTCAACCCCGCCCAATGCCTTTCGGTCATCTCACCGTCCGCTCTATGCCCTGCGCTGCAACAGCCAGGATTTCTCATCAATGACGAACTTCACCTCGCAGTCGCAATCTTACCTAGAGATCCAGCCCAACGCAGCGAGATTGAAATCACGGTGTTGGCTTGTGACGAACTCATTACCCGCGCGAGCTTGGAAGCGTTTCTCTACAGAAGCGCCGTGCCACCGAAGAACCGTATCTTCAAAGTCTCGTGCGACACGTCTCTGGTGAGATGGTTAGTGTTTCTCTTGAGATATACAGGAGGCCGGACGAACATCGACAAGCTCAGACCTGACCCTAACTTCAGTATGAGGAACTCCGCGCTCTGGATTGTATGGTTAGACTCGGTTGGTAACCGGAGGAATAATGTACTCGCCCTGTTTCTTAGAGAGGTGCGGAAGGTCTTCCTCATCGCTCGAAAGAACTGGCTCCAGTGGGGGCATGTCAGGGTCGTGTTCTTCGCAACCGACACTGGCATTATCCGCGCCCGCTGCTGTGGGGCCATTAATATACTAGACCATCCCGAGCGTGATGGACTCGACGGATGCTGCATACCTCGATCTGACTTGCTTTTGTCTTTGAAGCATGGCGAACCCAAATCGCCTCGGGTCTGTTGTTCGTATACGCCAGTCATGAGCGACGCGAGTGGTTTGTGGGAGACTGTCTGGTTCTGTTGCACTATATATACCAGTCAAACGCTCATCCCCCCAGTGACATCAGTTGGCCTCGGGTACACGATCGCCCGCTTGTATGTCTTATATATACCACAGCCACACCACAGCCACGCCGGCGGGTATGATGACGCCCCAATGCCTGTAAGTGAAGCATGAGTGGTCTTCAACTGATGCGTTGTGGCCGGTCGATACATGACATACAGCAGGCAGACGAGCCACTGCAGATTCACGGAGTTAGTACCTCCTACGAAGGAATTAGATGCCAGCTTCTTCAAACTGCGCCATGTTTCATCTGTCGGCCCATGAAGTATGAAACCCCGACAATGTCAAGAATTCTGTTCGTAGTCCGTTTCAAACGTTATCTACGGAACTGAGAATGTGAAAATATTGTATAGAACTCCGCTCTACGGTCTGTATATCTCCTTTACAGATGCGACGCATACAACGCGGTCAGCGAGGATAGGCAGGGCAGTTCCCGGGTGATGATGCGGGTCGGGCGAGACTCGGTCTCATCCACATCGCGTCCAACGCGTTTCGGACTCTTGATTCGGTGTCAGACTGAGCTGAACCGAGCACCTCCTGGGAATCCAACCCGTATTCCTGCATCTCAAGTCGTTCTGCAATGTCTGTGTCCGGGTATGACGTACACACAACAACAATTAATCAGTTTACACGATTAAATAAGTTCGAGAGCCAAACAACTTTGTAAGTGAGACGGTCATGAGAACATCCAACTACAGATCGGGCAATGCTTCCCGCCTCCGGGTCTACAGCACTCCATCTTCCACTGTACATCCTCCGCAAATCTATCACACAGTACTCCGTAGTCCTCTGCCAAACAGAAACCACCCTCGAAACACAAAGACTCCAGCCGTTCCCCACCTGCCTCCATACGCGCCCGTAGCATGTCGAAGAGCGACGCGAGTACTTGACATGGGCTCCCGGCCTCATCGGCAACATACTGTGATTCTACATAGTATCCGATGGGCCCCTCGAAGTCCGGAGCGCACTTCACGGTCAGGTGCCTCAGTGTGGGAAAGACTGACGCGCTGTACATCGCTCGCAGCAGAGTGAACGGCGGTGTGCGAGAGAAGTGCGCGTAGTCGAGATATAGGACCTCCACCGACCCGTACTCGCTAAGAACATCGCGCAACATCACGAAGTCTGCATCTCCGTATTCCGCAGGAAGCGGCGCGAAGGGATCATCCACGATCTTGACCGTGCGCGTGCACACCGCTCGAAGTCCGGATAGCATGCGCGCCACTCCGAAAGTGAGAGAGTCGATACGGCCGCCTGGTAGCCACGCGTCCCACTCCTGCCCAACGCTTGCGGACATTGAGAACTGCATCTTGCAGGAACCGCCCCTCGCCGTGATTTCGAAGTGTACAGAAGATGTAGACTTCCATATACACATCGTGACACCTGCTGCATGCGGATGTGCGGCGTCGTATTCGGTGATACCGAACGCAATCGTGGCAGCGCGCGCGACTGCACTCAGGAGTACGCTGTTGTCGGGCATTGGGCCTGCTTCGATGGCCTCCGCCACATTGTCGATCGTGGTGCGCAAGAGGAACAGCATGTCTGGCAAGGACGTCGGAGGTCGTTCGCCCCATCCAGGCGAGGGTAACACCTTCCCGAGGCCATCCGACAGAGGACGATAACCTGCTCGGCGTAAAGCACTGTGTGCCCCTTCTAGCACATCGACAATGTCATTGCCAACGTCGAGGTGGAGAGCCGCCTCCAGGGTGCCTCTCAGTTCAACGAGCATGGCATGGCTGGGTGCGGGGGGCATCTCGCAGAACACCTGCAGATGCTCGAGCGAGGGGGCAGCTATATTCTCGAGCAGGACGAGGGTGTCGCGTAACATAGCTCCGGCCATGTAGACATCCGTGAGCTGGTTAAGTACGATGGGGTCGTCGTTTCCGCGGTCTCGAACATGAAGAGCACGCGGCGGATGAGTCTCCCTCAGCCAGCGCGTTTGAAGTGTGCGAAGAGAGGGCATAAGCTCCACCATGGAGATGAGGTCTGGCGCGCAGGTGTTGAAGACCTTAGCAGTTGCTAATGATGGGGCGTCAAGATGCGCTGCTCCAGGTAGTTCGATGTGCTTCAGGATCGGGCAGCGGATGGCATCGTGCGACACATTCATTGGCGTCGAGAACGTAGGATGGCCACTGATACGCACTAGCTCGAGATGTTCCGTACCCGTACTTCCGAGGAGGGTGGTCAGGTCAACCGGCTCGTGCTCGCGCGTATGCTCTACTACCAGCCGGCGAAGCGTCGTCAAAGGGCGCAATACAGCTACGATCTGCTGTAGAGTGTGGTACACCAAGCCCAGCCGTTCCAGCAACGGCGCTGAGAAGACGAGAGGTGTAGACGTTTCGCACTCGAGCATTTTCGGCGTATGTACCACTAAGTCGTGCGAGTGGGCAGCAGTGCGCGGCATGTAGTACTCGTTAGGTTTCAGATACAGCACAACGAGTTCAGGGAGTGTCTTGTTCTGGAGTAGACGACCGAAGTTGCGCCAGCGATAGTCAACGCTTGCGTAGATTGCACTCGCTCGGCAGATGACGCTGTCCACCAGAGCTGAAGGAAGCCCTCGATGATATCTGAGCCGAATGGGCGCGGTGCGTGCTCGAGATACTGCTAAATTCCAGGATGATTCGTCGCGCGCAGCTGGAACAAATGCGCCGTAGATCCGACCCTCCTCAAGCAAGCATGCTCTCCAGAGCTTGCAAGTGACTTCAATCGCGGTTATTCCCGCCCAAGATTTAGCACCAGGACGCGTTGGCTTCCAGTAGTGCTCAACCGGGAGCTCATCAATGGCGGGTGCCACAAACGTCAGAATCAGCCGAAACAGATCGCGGCTGCCCAACGGGTACTGGTTGTCAGACGCAGTTTTTCCTGGTAAGACATGGTGTCAACGAGAGGGGATCACAAGTCTAAACCAGCGAGATAAACCTTGAGCACGCAACCACGCCTGGTGTTCAACGCCGGGAGCTGGTCCTGGTTCGGGTTCCATCTGTTCTGTCGACGCAGGCGATAGAGCGGATGGATATTGCCGCGCGACTTCCAATCCCATATCATCATCATCATAAGCCCTCAAACGCATTCCTGAACCAGACATGAAGGGCTCCGGCGACCACGCCTGGCCAAAGGCGCCGCCGTCGTTGCCGGTTCGACCCCATACATCCCCTGTGTCTGTAAAAGGCGGTGCATCTCTAAAGGGGATCTCAATAGACCGACGCAGGAGGGGTATAATGTATGCATACAGATCTTGCTCGCTCTCGCTGTCCGACGCGCCTTGTTCCGAGACGTCACTTTCATCGCCGACGCTGCCGGCAAGACTGTCATGGTCGTCGTCGTCGTTGCCACCTCTGCACAACGCTCAACATGTGCTCAGAACCCTAGCGATGAAATTCTCACTCTACTTCCATGTCAGGATTGACAATATCTAATACCTCGTCGACGTTGTCCATTGCTATCGGCTGTTGTGGTTAAGTTGCACGAAACTAGACACGCCGACGAAAGGATGATGCCATCCCGGCTTGGTCTTTCTTTCTGTCATCGACTCACGATCAGGTACGGATTGCAAGCGCACGAGCGATGACCGGATAACAATGGATCGCGCGCGTATGTCCCGCACAAACAGTAGCACCGCTGCACAGATGGCAATGTCCAGCACCACATCCTGTTGATATACTAGCGTTGTAGGATAGTTTTGACACCGTCCGCGCATAGCGTCAGAAACGGCCGGGCCAAGGGATCGAGACAAAATACTAGAAAGGACTTGATCGTCATTGGCCGGACGACCGGTATGCCGTCGATCTGGACGCATGGCCGCAGTCAGGAACTGGGGCGGGCAAAGATAAACATTTAGGCTTTCGAACAGCAGGTGCAAGCGTTGGAGGCGAGTTACTTGAACCAGACCACCAACGCAGAGGTACAAGGTGCTGGGAATACGGGTGCAAGCAGCACTTGGGAGTCGAACCTCTTTTTGTACTGTCTGGCCATCACTTCCCGCGACTCGTCTTCCACGGGTTGACCATGACTGCCATGCGCGCACGCTCCAGCCGGAGCGGAAGTAACTGTCTCTGTAAATTGACTGCCGCCAACGTTATCGACCAGCGGCGTATTTAATCGAGATGTGAGTACGCATGCCCCATTTACCGTGGCTATCCTCCGAACCGCACGTCGCTCATGGCTCGCTCTGTCCACGATTCAGCGCCGAACGAATACGCCCGTGTGCTGCGGGGGCTTCCGGCCCTTCATCCGGATGGGACGCGTGTGGGGGAATACGAGCAGCAAAGGATGTTCATGGTACGCACACCAGAACGCTACTACTCTTCACAAGCCGCTGACGCGTGTCCGCACTGACAGATGGCATCTTTCATCAGTGCCGCTGTGGACCACCATTCCGCGGATTGGACTGACTACACAAGCGCGTCGAGTCCTTACCTTCCGCTTACCGTTTCCTCTCGCTCGTACAGCGCCCCAGACGCTCACGTTCCGGCATACATGCTGGCCAACGCACGCGGTCCAATACCAGATGAACGCCTTGCTGCCGCTGTCCGCGCTGCCCTGCCGCTCACGACGGACATCTTTGCGCGCCCTTCACTCGGCTTACCCGAAATGGGAGTCTGGTCCTGCGCAGATTGCGATTATATCGCCGACCCGTGGAACCTCGATGTCGACGAGCGCGTTGTCCTGGCAGACTACCTGGGTGTTGGCGACGACTCGGGCGTTAAGCTGTTTGACGGAGGGGTGGTCCGTATCGACCTGGCGAACCCCTGGCTCTTCATGCGTGTCATGGACTGCTTAGGTTGGACTCACTACGCCAATCATCTGCGTGCGGAGTGCATTATCTTTTGGTTTCCTAGCCCGGTGTCTGCGTACAAGGTATGCTGATCTGCCTCCATGCCACTATGCGCTCTAATATTCATGCAAACAGTCTGCGCCCGGGCTTTGGTGGGACGAAGATGCCTTGGGACGCCGTCAGGCCTTCAAACCACTACGCTACGAGATCGAAGCGCTCGAGAAAACAGGGCAGTATCAATTCCGGATGTGGAAGGCCAAGAAAATGCTTTCCATTGCGAAGCAAGGTATACGGGCGGCGCGTTATCACCTCACACGTTGGCGCCGTAATGCTGTGTCTGCCCGGGTGACGCTTGTCTGCGATATGTTCGATGCTGGGCGTGATATTGTGGACACGGGACGCGCACTTGTCGCTCGCATGGATGACGAAGGCTCCGACCCAGAGAGACTGCGATGGCAAGAGTCTCGCGATACGCACCGAGCGCTGCGTCGGGAGTGGGAGGGTCGTCGTGAGGTTTGGTCAAGTATGTATTTAGGCGTTTAAACTTGTGAATGTATCCGTAAAAGGAGTCTACGCAATATGTATCGTATAGAGACAGTGGGATGTCTGAGTCATCGACGATAATCAGATCCATGTATCAAATGCGGTCCATGAGCAGCACGGAGTTGGCGGCTTCAAGTTGGCGGCTTCAACGGCCGAGGATCCGATGAGCGAAATTTGTAGCGCTTCAACTGGCCTCTGCCCATCATCACCATCCCTTTGCTGCATCCAATATGGCCGAAGATGCGGTTATGCCAAGGCTGGCCGAAGATGATACGTACACCTGGTCGAAAGCCGTACGCGAGTCTATTGGCAGATTGCCTACGTTAGCTGACCCGAGTCAATCAGGCCGATCTAGCGCTCCGCCACACCATGCACATCCGTTCGACGGCGATATGCAAGACCGACGTGGAGGTCGAGCAAGCGCTGTGTTTAGAAGGGCAAGAGGAGATCTCGCGTTCTGATCTTCTCCTCGTTAATCGCGACGCCCACATACCGGCGGCTGTGCGCGTGCCCCATACTCCTCGTGCCATCCTAGCGGACATTAAGAGCTTCTCTCCGAAGCTAACGCGTCCTCCCTCCGATTTCATCGTCGGCGGGACTCGAATCTGGCATTGTCCTCACGTCGGTTGCTCGTACAACATCAATCTTGCGCGCCTGACGAAGGACGAGTTCAAATATGTCAAGAAGGTAACGAAGGGCTCACCCATGGCTCTTATTGTCGACGACGTCGCCGGAGCGCTTGATGTTCATCTTCGCGAAGTCGTGGATATTCTGGGACTCGCGCACTACGAAGCCGTACATCTTCGGCTCCTTGGACTGCGTCACGTCATACACGGCCAAGGCGCGGACGCACGGGTGCGCAATGTCATCATGGCAGTGTGACTGCTTACTTACGATGCAATCTCAGATCAGGTACTATTGGCAGGAGGCGGACCTGGACGCCGCCCTTGTGCGCACGGACATGCGCGGGAGCGCGGCTCGCCACTACGAGGAGCGCGCTCGCATGCGCGTCCAGAGTGCTCTAGGCAACGAAGCTAGGCAATGGTTTGCCTCGCTTGTTCGCCGGCATCTACTGGAAGAAGACCGGGAACGAAAGGCGGCTCGCGCAGAGCAGTCGGACTACATACGCAACAACCTGCGCGACCTCGTCAATCTCAACGTCGATCGGGTGGACGGTCTGTTCGAGGCACGCGCATCGCTGGTCAAAGGTCGCTCCCGCATGAGCACGGCCGTCCGGGAGCCTTACCACGCGCTTGAGCGCGTCTACAAGACCGCCAGAAAAGAGCGGGATGCACTCATTGCAGCGGCCGCGCGGCGCACGCGCGAACGCGCTGAGGCGGAAGCCACGCGCCAGTATTGGAATGGAGGGGAGGGATTCCATAGGTCGGAATGTCGCGGTTACTCTATACAGTTGTATCTGTAGTCGTGCTCCACGTCCTGGCGGGAGAAGTTGATATAGTACTCGGCGGCGGTGGAGGATAATTGATGATTGTTTGCACGTGTGGGTCCGCGCGCGCACGCCTCGGACCAAGACGCCCGCCGGTCTGGTCATCCAGCAGCCACCACCACCTATCGTTAACTTCGACTCGAATACCAGTATAATCTTGATGTCTATAGCTCTAAGACAACCAGAATGACACTCGAACTCTGGAGAACGAGAGTGTGATGGCTATAAAGCGTACACGACGCCGTCGGCCGCTTACACATACAGCGTCTCTTATGGAGGTATAGCGTTGCCCGCCATAGGCGTCTTTGCTTTGTCCATGAGCTGGCGCATATGATGTGGGCCGCGGATAACTCGACGGAAGGGTTTCGCATACAGGCGTCAGCAGTGCGAGCGACCCACTTTACAGTTGCTTCCGCTCAAGACACACCCCTAACGGCCTGGTTATATGTTTAAAGAGCATATGTCGACCCTCCTTTCCCACTTCGGAACCCGCGCACTTTCACACATCAATAGTTCTCTCTTCAAGGCGCTTATCATGGCTGGGTCATCGTCTCAACAGGCTGTCGGGCTACCGCGTACGGGACGGCGGGCGGCTAGCGCTCGAGGTTACGCCGAGGATCGACCAGCCGGACCAGCAGTAATGCACGACGTACAGCAAACCAAGGACGGCGGCGCCAGTACTACAGCGGTTCACATACCCCCCACCAGCGTGGATCAGTTGGAAGGCACACTACCACCGTCGGAGCAGCGGCAAGACAGGCTGGACGAAACCGACGAAGCTATGCCCCCTAACCCGCCGGAGCAAGTACCGGATCTCCCAGAGGGGACAACGCCAGCACAAAGTCTCCCCCGAAAGGTATGTTTCGTGGCGTCCAGGGACCTCGGCGCCATACTGATACCTCGCTATAGAACTTCCCCGGCCTGTACTTCCTGAAAGATCGCATGATTTACTTATGGGCACTCCTGAGACTCGATGGGCGGCCTTCCGAAGTCGTGGATGGCGAGATCAAGGGTTGCGCTCGGGATGATTGCCCGCGGTCGGGCGACGAACAGGTTATGCTTTATCGCTGCACTTCGGGCTGTATGTCTTGCGAATGGATATGCGCCTCTTGCATGGCTAGTGAACATCAACAACGCCCGCTGGACAGGATTGAGGTAAGCGCCAGGATGTTGGCATGAGATGAGTATATCGCTAACTTGCCCGCTGCAGATGTGGGTTGGTGGAGAGTGGCAGCCGTCGACGCTTAGGGGAATAGGCGCCCGGGCTCAATTCGGCCACTTGACGAACACGAAGTGCAGGCTCAAGCATCCCAGCATGAACGATTTCGTTGTAATCCACACCAACGGTATCCATGAAGTCGCCGTTGATTTCTGCGCCTGCAACAAGTTGAAGAGATCGGTTGTTGACCAGCTAATGGCGGGGCGATGGTATCCCGCGACGGGGCGCAAACCCCTCACGGCGGCGACGTACGAAGTGCTAGACGCATTCAACGCTCATAGCGGCATGGGCAAGGACAATGCGTACGACTTTTATAACGCGTTGGTTACGCTCACGGACGGAGCGGGCCTTTTCAACGTCCCGGTACGTCAATCTACTTAAGTCTGTCATCGTGCGATCAATGACACGGGCGTGACAGGATCGTTTGAAGCAATTCTTTCAAATGGCGCACGAATACCGCCACCTATTGGCGTCCAAACGCGGCGGGCGAGGACACGAGGCTAAGCGCGGCATCGAGCACACGAAGAAGGGAACATTGGCCATACTCTGTGCGGCGTGCGCGCATGAAGGTATCAACACGGACATCGTGGAAGCGTTGAGGAAGATATCTCCGGAGCTGGCCGCAGCGGCGGAGTAAGTGATTGCGACTTCTGCCGTCGAACGATGGAACTGAACCCGCGTGTAGCAAGTTCAACAATGTCGTGCAATTGTCTATGGACTGCAATTTCCGCGCGAAGAATCGCATGACGCGCTCAACAGCTAAGACCAGTCCCTACTATGGCAATGGCATGGCGTACATGGTCCCGGAATCCTTGTACGAGACGTTTACCAGCACGAGTCCCCACACGCAAGAGGTACGTGATGGCGGACTTAAACATGCGCAACTCCGCTGATGGTTTCTGTCCAGCTCGGGAACTGCTCGCGCTTTGGAGCTCAGGTACTGGCGAACCTGAAAGCGGGCAAAGGACTGAGGACGACGGGCGTGGGTGCGGTCTTTTGTTCGAGACACAAGTACTTTTGGCCCAATACGGTCGGCACATTGGTCAAAGGAGAGAGGTAAGCGTGCGTTTCGTGCGGGTGATGATGGCCGAGCTAACACATTTCAGGTACTGTACGATGGATTTCATATTCGCATCCGCCGTACGACGCGTGCGCGCCAGCAGTCTGCATGTCTTCTATGACATCATCTGTCAGTACACGCGGAAGCTCAACATGCGAATGATGACCGTGCCTCCGAAGTCGTTTGTCGGCGTGGGTGCTGAGAAGCTGCTCCATCGGATAGATGTCGCGTTCGGCGTGCCCAAGTTTCATAACCCTGGTCATCTCCTGTCGTGCCAGCTCTGGTTCAACATCTCGTACATGCGATACGCCGGCATGACGGACGGCGAGGCGTCGGAGCGAGCGTGGGCCGGTCTTAATCCGGCGGCGTCGAGTTTGAGGGAGATGGGACCGGGGACCATGAGGGACACGATAGACTTCTACTGTGGGGTGTGGAACTGGCGGAAGTTTGTCAACACCGGTGCGTAACGGGGCTTACAATGCGAAACTTTGCGCGGTTCTAATGGACTTCATAAGGTTCTTTCCTCGCCCGCAAGATGGAACGAGCACTTAAAGAGGCGCGAGAGCATTGTGAGATCTATAATGGCTTACATGGCGCTGTACGGCGGGAGAACCCTGCGATGTGTGACGCTTGGGTCCATGACTGCGAGGCTTTCGAAGACCGGAAGCATCTGGACGAACTCGGGCGTCCGATTGTGAAGGGACCCGAGGCTGTGTCCAATCCGTACGAATCTCGGTCGAAAAGTAACTCCATCCACGCTCGGGCATGAATATATTTTTACCGGTGTTGTAGAGCAATCCCTTGAGAAGGCGCGGTTAGAAAGTCTGAAGATCGCGAGCGAGGCAGAAGATGCCGAGGAACCCGTCAACGCGGGATCCAGTCAAGAAGCGCAAGCCGCTGCGCTGACGAACTTTGTTCTGCGCGGGTTCAAGATTGAAGTGATGAAGTACGTATCATGCGTCTGCAGAATCATCAATAAACTAAATCTATGCAGTTGGCGTGAACGGCGGGCGAAGGTTGCGCGTACGGTCATGCAGCGCTCGGAAGAGATACAGCGGCGTAGTGACGTAGTCCGGCAAATGCGCCTATTTCGCAAAGATCAGCAGTGGATGATGCCGATCGTGTTTGCGGCGATCCAAGAATTGGAAGGCGTAGAGCCAAGCAGGCAGGGTGGCAGTGAGGATGCTGACGTTGACGATGAGGGCGCCTCCGACGACGAAGCACAAACGTCAGCCCAGGAGACGCCGAAGGTCACGGACGCCACCAGCGAGATTCTATATCTACCGTCTGAGCTGGGGAAGGACGTCGCGCGCTCACCCAACGTCGTGGACGTCTTCTTCGAAGAGCTGAAGCTTCGATACGCGGGCATGGAGGACTGGCTCAACGTCCTGCGCCAACAGTTGCGCTGTCGCGCGACTGTCGACCGATGGAAGGTAGACTACGTCACCGGACAAGACATGAGTTCGCGCGCACGCACGAAGCAAGAGACTATTCAGGCGAACGTCTTACTGGCCAGGGATATGTATCGGTTGCATCGCGAACGCTACGTCACGCTTGTGTCGTTTCTGACGGAGGATGAGCAGAAGGAGCTGGTGCCTGAGAAATGGGAGATTACGTTCAAGATCCTCAACGACAACGACTGCCGCCCACTCAACAACCGCTTACTCTTGGCCATCGATGATACGGAGATCGAATACATTCGCCAAATAATCGAACAGGAGAAGAACAAACGCAAGGACCCTTCAGGACAGAGCCATCACCGCATCCCTTGGATCTGGTTTCACATCGCTGAGAATACAGAGTTGGAACTGAACGACGGTACGTGTCTTCGCGACCCCGCGAGTGCGAATATCGCTTACCAGTAACGCTTTCTAGATATGCGTGTGGAGTTTGCCAAGTGTCGGGCAAGAGCCATGCGCTGGGTGGAAGAGGTTTACATCGTGGCGTATGAAATGATGCGCGTGCCCGAGTTCTGTAGAGCACGTCAGGCTGTGTGGGAGGAGCGCATAGGACAAGAGCGTAGCGATATTGACCGCTATGTGAAAGATGGCGTGGACGCTTATGCCAGGAAGCAGGCGACAATTTTCAGGAGGCACGCCGAGGGACTCCAGGATCTCTTCAAAGGTCCTCTAGAGCAGGCGGCCGAGTTTGCTCGCTTTCACGGGCTGGATGGAATGTACTTAAAGCGTAGTGAATCGGAATAATAACATCCGGGTACGAATTTCTGACATCCGCGCTGACGCCGCTCCGACTCCGCTTCTGGTCTTGACCGCCACGATCGTCTGGTGGCTTTGTATCAAGTGAGTTGCCTGTTACGCTCGCAGCGTCGAACTCTAAAGATGAGGAGCATGACACCTGAAATCCGCGCCCTCGTCGACGACGCGTACAGGACATTACCACCGGCGCCCACCACTTCTCGAGTGGGGTTGACGCGGTGTCGTGCTGAAGCGGGTGTAAACATACGCGCTTATCGATACGTGGTGAGGCATACGCGTGATTCGTATGAGAAACTATTAACAAATTCGTTCGTAGCCCTGGCGCGAATCGCAGATCCCCGTAGACTTGAGGATCTTCTGGCGGATGCGGGACGGACCCCGCCCGACGTTTGCCACCGCAGAAGAGGTTTGCTCTCATCGTCGGATCGTGTGGCTCCGCTCCTGATCTCTTCTCAGACATGGAAGTTTGCCCAGCTTGCACGGCTCCAGAACGGAGCCTTCTGGGAAGCTTCGCGCTGGGCTCGGAGAGAACGGCATTTGACGGGAGTGGGACGATTCCATGACTTGCGATGCGTGAGGCGCGACGCGGCCCCGTTCTACAAGCGCTACAGGGCTTTGACTCACGCCTTGGAAGTTCTGGTTCTGAACGCCGTCGAGGTGGTGGCAGATAGCGAGGAGGACGGTGTGGCGGAGAGCGAGGCGGAGAGCGAGGCGGAGGGCGAGGCGGAGAGCGAGGCGGAGAGCGAGGCGGAGAGTGAGGAGGAGAGCCAGGAAGCTAGTGAGGAGGAGAGCGGCGAGGAGAGCGAGGAGGAGAGCGGCGAGGAGAGCGGCGAGGAGAGCGCTGAAGAGGTCGGCGTTGACGAGGATGATGCGTAGATATATCACTGGTATTTGTAACGCGCACATACGACTCGTGGCAGGAGCAATATTTACTATTGTAGTACATGATAAACGTGATTACAACAGTACGAACACGCGGAAAAAAAGAAGTAGACGGCGGATACGAAAGATCTACAGGGAGTAATGTCAATAATGGTATCGTGTGAGAGCCTCGCGTATAACTAACCGTGAAACATAGTAAATGCGGGCCAAGGCAAGTTACGTAGCCGCGGGCGCAGGCTTGCTATCGTGTCGACTCTTTTCCAGGTCGTAGGCGAGTTGAACGGCGCGGGTGACGACGATGGCGGTTGCGGGGTTGCCTTCCCAGTCGTCGTCTGCAGACTGGTGCCAGATCTCGTTGCTATCTTGGAAGTTGTCGTCGTTGAGCCAGCTGTAAGATTGTGAGATGACGGCAGATGTACATGAGAATAAGAATGACCTGTGCGTATATTTCACGGCGTCGCGGTACTTCTCGACCTCCTTCCCACTCATGTGCTTGTCGAAGGCGAAATGATAGAGTAGCAACGCCAAGGCCTCGGCGGCGATGCCCCAGTTTGCATACACGCCGCGTCGGAAGTGCTCGACCGTGGCCCAGTGCGGGGTGGCAGGGGACCAGAGGCTGGACGACGCGCGCAAGCGGTCTATGTCGGCCTGGGTTTTGAACACCTCGCGAAAGTGTGCGAATAGTGTACTCGACAGGTAGACACAGTCGGCGTGGTCCATCCCGCGGGGTGGCTTGACGGGCAGCGGCATGATGACGGTCGAAGGGAGGGATAAAGCGTAAGGATCTTAAGTTTTCTGTAGGCGGCCCTCGAGTCCGAGATCGGGCCTATCCGACATCGTGTGCCTCGCAGAGATGCGGACGTTTAACGCAGATCGAATAACGAATCCCACAGTACAGTGCCAGTACGAATACCAAATGCTCGGGCATAGATGCATACAGAACTCTTGAAATGTCAGTACTACGCGTCGATGAACAGGGATGGAGAACGAGGGGAGCGGAGAGCGGAGAGAGCGGAGAGCGGAGAGAGCGGAGAGCGGAGAGCGGATGAACGGTCTCGGAAGTAACTGCCAGACGCGGAGCGGATGCGAGCGTCGTGCGCTCAGATATGCCGAGAGTACCGTTATTGGCTAATGTTGTTGAACAAGTGGAAAGCGAAAATAAGCAGTCGAAAGCGAAAAGTGCGAGGAAGTACGCCGACGACGAACGGCGCAAGCTGCTAGATTCTCAACGGCGCGCATCCATTGTCTCCAGAACACGCTTGTGGTCGGCTTCGGCCTCGCTGGTAGGCAAAAGTCAGCCATTGGGTTATATTGGGGCGCGTGGCATTGGGTCGAAGGGGAGTTGGGCGGGACAACTGTCGACGGCAAGGGTCGACTTCGAACGATGGGCCGGCATGAGGAGACGCAAACGGTCGCAACGGTACTCGGAGCGAGATGAATTCGGGCTGGGAGACAAGAATAACCATACATGATGTGTGGAAGTGTAGGCCCGGACGTAGGTGAAGCGCGGCGACGAAGGCTCGTTCATAGTCGTCGCGGCCGACGAGCGCGGTGACGTCCAGGCTAGCGCGAAGCGGGCCGGCCGGTTTAAATGGCCGGCGAGCGAGGGCGGGGATCAAGGAAATGGGTTACGCGGGTCGAGATCAAATTGATGTGAAGTTATATTCAGGGAACCGAAAAAGTGCGGGACGCGTCAAAGTGATTATTATAGGTTAAGTCCGCAAAAGGAGGCCACAGCTGTATGAGTTATGTGCACTTGCAAGGATTATATCGCCACTATGGCTCAATGGCTTCAGTGGCTGATTGCTAAGGTGTGCTCGGGTTCAACTCCCCATTGGGCCCGTTTTTTTTCGGTTGATAACCTTTTGGCTTGGGAGTCCGGGGTCCGGCCGAGGGTGGGTGATCACCCTCACAGGGGAGTGTTCACCCCCCTTGGGCATATATACCAGGGGGAGATCTCTCCTGGACTACAGGTAGTGGATGGACACGTCCGATAAATCGACCCACCGGGTTAGCACCAGGAGAGATCGTGGTACCGGTGTTGCTGATAACGGCGAGTGCGGCACAATCAGTCGTGATACCGAACGCAGCGTTGAAAGCTAGCCAACGAGATCAGAAATCAAGACGAGCACGAATGGTTCACTCTAACGCACCATCAGCCTGAGCACCGGTGCCCTTCGAGGCGGCATCGGCAGCAGCAGGCGCGGTTTTGCACATCGCCTTGGCCGTGGCATCAGCGCCACAACTGTTGGTCAGGGTGTCGCACATGAACTGCATGATGATGTCGACGTTCTGGACCGAAGTGTGCGCGTAGGAAGGCGGATGGGCGCGGAGCTCGCGCTCACGGAAATTCGCGACCGCGTGACTCCGGTGCAAAGGATTCTTGAACTGGCGCAAGCCCACACGGCGTATGAGAACAAGAGCGAGACGTCTCGCCTTAAACCGCTTGTCCTGCTGTACACAGCCTTATTCCTAGACGGAGGGCGCCTTAGCCAGCGAGAAGTCTCGCGACAACGAGCGCCCGGGTGCGCTGACCAAGACTTCGCGGCCCAGCGTGAGCTACGGTGTGAGGCCGAGACTTCGACGAGGGGCAATTTCGTCGCGAGTCCTGTCCGACTGAATCGAATCAGTGCAGAGTTCATAAGTGACGGACACCGATAACGTACCTTTGAGCTGCTCCATCTCCGCGACGATGGACTTGAGCGAATATCCTCGGGTCTGCGGGCATTAAAGCGTGCGAGTCGGAGGTGGTGGTAGAGGTGAGATAGCTCATTGAGGGCATGAGAGGGCGTTGAGAGGAGTAGATCAACGGGTGAGCGAGCGCGCCGAACACGAGACTCTCGGCGTTCGCGGAGATGAATGGACGTGGCGTGCTGTGGGAGTCTTTTCATCGGTCAATATGTTGCGATGCACACTAGAAGACTCACATGCGCCGAAGATATATAAGAAAGCGCCTCTCGGGTCTCGCCCGACCCCGCGCTGATCGTTCAGAGCTCGCCAGCTGAGGTCTCTGGCGCGGCTTATGGCTTCGCTGGGCGCGCCCGCCACTTCCAGGACTCGCTATGATTGCAGAGATGATTGATCATACACAGGCATCGCTACTGGCGTCTCCAAATTCCCTCTGCGGCTCGTGGCCTCGTTGGGTGTACCCGCCACTGCGAAGAATTCAGTTGACAGACAACAAGAGGGCTATCCCTTACCTCACCATCAGTACCCCACAGTGTGTCTCGTAGCTTCATTGTGCATCCCCGACGCTTCTGGGTATGCTGCTGAGGTAAAGTCGCGTCGGGTTGCGGTTGTTCGGAAGTCTGGAACCAGGCCAACCGTCACATGTGACTTTCCGGTCATCGCAACTCATTCTCCGCTCCCTACTCGTGCTGACCTCGCCCTTTTCCTACTGAAGGTTGTGATGGTCACTACTCGCTCAGGTTTTTGCCTCCCGCAGACATCATATGGCCTCGGACGCCGTCCTCCGAAGAACCCTTCGATTAGAGCCCCTGCTCCCACCAAAACAACGAGCTCAGACCTCGCATTCGGTGTCGACTTCACGGTGATTGGCGCGAAAGGGCCGGAACACCCATGGCATGAAACGCCAGAGCCAAATCGGAGGGAGCGGCGCTCAGCGGAAGCGCAGGAAAGACGCAGCGAGAGGGAAAAGGCGAAGAAGAGGAAGCGGGAGGAAGAACGGAGGAAGAATGCCGAGATATGTATGTTGTATTCGCCTTCCTGTTGTAACACTCGTCTGATATGCATAAAGCCCAGAAGACCGCCAACGGATGGGAACAGCACAGTTTCCCTCAGCGCGTCGGAACCGCCGCTCGCATGGAAGTGAAATGCGCCGACAAAGGCTTCACCAACAGTCCTGACGACCTCCGCGACGCGGATACGCTATTCGACACCAGATCGTTCATTCTTAATAATCCAGATAAGGGGGCTTTTGATAAGCCGCTTGTCATACGCTACGCCGTCGAAGAGTCCCTCGCGAACCGATGGCATCGTATCCCCCGCATCTGGAAGCGCATGGTCTCGCATCTCGATTCTCGATGTAGATTCAAGCACAGTGCCAAAGAGCGCGACAAGAATCGATCTTCAACTTCTGCTGGCCACATCGGGTGCTGGTCGCACAGCGCCAAGGAGATCTTCGTCACTCACGACTCTTGGGACCAAACTCCGTCCGTTAAGGCCGAATTGAAGAAGCTTTGCACCGCGGTCACCCGAGATATCTCTCCTACCATCGGATTTATTCAGGAGAGGTATCTTCCCAATCAGCACGACTTGGTCAAACGGTGCACATTCTTCGCATATCACGCTACTCAGTCCACTCATGGAACTTCTCAGCGCTCGTAAGGCCCTGCTAGCAAACGGCCTGGCTCGGCTGAAGGAGCAGCCGTATCTCGACTTTGAGACGTTCTTGTGCATGGCCATCAAGTTTGGGAGCTCCGAGATTTGGCATCTTGATCATAAGGACGATCGACGTCTCATGGCGTTCGTCGTGCCGCTGGGGAAATGGGAGGGCAAGGCCATGCTATGCTTTCCTCAGCTAGGAATGAAGGTCGATGTCAAACACGGCGAGATCATCGCCTTCCTTTCAAATACTCTCGTACACTGGTCAACGCTCCCCGAGTCCGGTGAACGCTGCGTCTTGACTTGCTTTGTTGATGGCACCTACGCTTCACGTTTTTGATGTACTAGTCTCGACACTCCATACCGTATTATCTCTTGACTTACCCGGATGTAACCACGTCCAGAATATATCATGCCAGCATATAAACACGTTGTCGTAGTAGACAGGCTCGTTTGTTCGACGAATACTCGAAGTGTTCATCAAACCATCTCGTAGGTGAGAAGCAATTCCTCAAGCCTCCGGACCTCGGGACGAGATCCATCCGGGCCCGGTCCGAGAGGCGAGCGGCGTGTTGGACAGCCACAGCCATCATCTTCCCTGTCGCGTCCTATCTCCTGTGCAAAATAAGAGTTAGCGCGTCACTCAAACTTCCCCGCTTGGTTGGCGGAGCGACCGGAAAGAAGTGTCCCGCCTTCCTGATTGCAGAAAACCTTGTGGAGGTCGACGTCCGCTCCAGAGGCGACCGCGACTACGGAGACCCACCTACTGGAGTCCCGAATATTCTGAGCCCCCGGGTTGTGCTATATTCTTGATTCGAGCCGAAGAGTCCGCGCTATGGCTCTCGACGTCCTGCAGAAGCTTTCACGAGTCGAAACCCGCATGCGGATCACCGGGATATGCCTCGACCTGCTAATGTGGAAGGATCGCGACCGTAAGGACATCAGGAAGGTCATCAAGCGCCTTCGCGAGTTCGTATATAGTGCGAAGGACGCTGGGAAGGCGATTGAGGTCGTAGAATTCATATGCGGCGATGCGTCGCCTGATGATCTTATGGCGCTTATACCGTCGAAGACGTTGGAGAAGCTTGTTACGTTGAAGCTGCAGTTAAACGAGTATACGTATAGTTCGGCCTCAGATGAAGACTAAGAAGTGTAACATCATTATACAAAACCCTATCCGTGACACCTATCATGTCGAAGTTTGGCGTCTTGTATTAGCCACAACTCATATCAGACAATTCGTCGTGGATCGTGCTCAATCGGGTATGCATGTTTGTTCCATTGTTGGATCGCGGGGCTGTCCAACGCCTACATAACGTCCACCAGTTGCGCCTTGGGGACGGTTGCAGGGAATGCAAGACGATTGAGGCGCGTACGTGTGGCCTGCTCGTACGCGAAAGCGTAGGTGATCAACTCGAACTTGCTGAACGCAAGACCAAACGAAAGCCCTGGTGCGCGCTCGATGACCGAGTTGACTGCGGATGCAGTGACATTGTCAGGCTGGAATCCAAGTGGAACGGTAACTGAACGAGAGTCAGTATGAGGGAACACTCGGGGAGGCATCTGAAAAACGCGCCTATAGGATAACCAGCGATGGAAGCAAGGCCCGAAGTAAAGCCTGACGAGGTACAATGTCAAAAGACGTAACGACCGCAAGCCCAAAAGTGCTTACCATCCGTAGGAAGCAAGATGGCGTCGAGGTTGAACTTCTTGAGCGCTTCGTCTATGCATCGCGTACGCCCCAGATCGGCGTCTGCGGCAAGAGCAGCAAAGAACGCGGCTTCAATGGTGGTGTTTTCCGATCAGATGAACCTACAATTGAGTGAGTTCGGCATCAGAGAGCAGACTGCAAAGAACATACTCAGACTGATCTGTGGAGAAGAGCGGTACGAGCGCCTCGCTAGCATGTGCGAAGTTGAAGGCAATGAGGTTCGCAAGATCGGCAACGTTCGTGGGCACCTCAAGTAGACCATCAATGTAGTTCTTGACGTCAACCTTGAAGTCGATGTTAAGCACGATCGTCTCGTTGTTGCTCCCCGGGAGCTCCTCGGCGTCAGGGAGCTCAACAGGATCAATGACCGTAGCGCCAAGTGCGCGGATGATGCGGGTGGACGCGTTAAAGCAACGTTATAGGCTGCCATGATGTTCGGATCATCGCTGCCGGATAGGTGCGGGACACACAGTCGCACGCCTCGCAGGCCATTCGAGACGAGCGCTTTCGTGAAGTCCGTTACATGCGCGAGTTGCGCGAGAGTAAAGTTATCGAGCGGATCACGGCCGGCGATGACGGACAAGATGACGGATGCATCAGCTACTGAGCGCGCCATTGGACGGTGTACTGAGATTGGGACAGCCGAACAGACGCGACATTAGGCGATATTAGCTTCCGGACTTTGGCGGTTGTAAGATACGACGTACGCGTACCTCCCGCCCGTGAAGTCAAGCCGATAGTCGGTCCGATGCCCGCAAAATTGTTCGAGCATACGACGACCTACTCCGCACCAAAGACTAAGTCCGTGAACTAGAGGCCAGTTCAGGTTGTCGTCGACGAAGATGAGGTAGCAATAGTACCCAGAGACAGGCAACCGAGAGCTTGTGATCAGAGAGTCGTAGTATCGTGGTGGTAGTGGTTGTTGGAAGACCTGCGCGCAAGCGCTCAATCAATGCGCTCGCCCCAGCACGTGCCGCGACTATCGTTGACTTGCTCATTGTTGGTGTCTCAACTACTGGCTTGCGAGAGCACTACAATTCCTTGAGCGGGCGCTTCTGCGAGCTAGGTGGTGGTGGAGGACGAAGTCACCGGCATGACTCAGGACGCGGCGGACAGTTCGCGATCCACGTGCCGCCACGAACGTGAGGTCGCATGTCCGAGACGGGTTCATCTCTTCTCTTCTCTGCCCACCATCAAGTGCTGAGCCTACACGTCTTTGTTCATGATACGACTGCGCGTTTCTATTGACCGCTGGCCTACTTGCTCTACAAGGCCTGTCTGCACCTAGAGTAAGGTTGTGAGTCATTCTACTCGCCTAACCACAGTGCACCAACCCCATCCCTCAACCAATTGAGCCGTCCAGAGGAAAGACGAGATCATCCGGAGTGGTCTACGTCGCTCACTAATCCTATAGGAAGATAGCTATATGTCATCTATGGCAATATAGGTAGACTGAGCTCTAGTACGCGCTTGTCTCAAATTTTGTCAAGAAGTGGCTCTCCTGACCGGCGCATGTTCTAGGTTATTCTTCGGGAGACTACAGATCAGGAAGCATGCCTGTGGGAATAGCCTTTTAGATGCGTCAGCGCGTCGGCCGACGGACGGACGGTACATATACTTCGTTGATCAACAATCAGTGCTCAGGAACTCCGGGAAAGTACTTCTCGCCCGAGGCAGTGGCAGTCGTGTGCGAGCATCTTTGTACACGCCCGCTCGAATAAGATTCCAACCTTGAGCATTGGAACTGGGAAAATATACGGACCACTCAGAATTGCATACACTCTGAGAGTCTGATCATACTCAGACGCTTCTTTTGGCGTTCGACATACTCTCCGAAACACCTGGGTGAATCATCTCACGTGAGCGCGACATTGGACAGTGACAGATCATGGGAAGGATGTTCAGCCTGTTGTTACCAGGCGCTCTCAGCCTGCAGCATGTAAGCGCTATCGTAGACGCTCATGCTGACTGATAGATCATGTGGAGGATGTTCAGTTTCTTGAGGGGCGAGCGAGCTCATCTCTTGACGTCGCTTGTGTCCCGCAAGCTCTGAACCTGCGGCACCTTACTTCAGCCCTCAAAGCACCCTACTGCTTACCTATCTGACCGAGCCTTACCCTGCATGAAGCGCTCGACGGACGGCGAAACACGCCAGTCCAACGGGCCATCACTGCCTTCAAAGCGGCTTCGACTGGCTTATGGAGGGACTACGGCTTCAACGTTCACAAGAGCTTCGGGGCCGATCAAACTCGCAAGGAGTACTTTCACGACCGCCAATTCGCACTCTGACTCTACGCGCACTTCATACAATGTCGGCCTCTCCTTTGGTCGCGCCATATTTGCCGCGCCACAGCCCCGAGATGGCGAGGGAGGTGGCAGGTCTACAATGAGTTCCCGTGTTCTCGGCGAAATCGGACAGGAAAGGCTCGCCCAAGCTTTCGAGGCTCCCTTCGGCGGCATTCCCCTCCAGTCGATTACCCGAACTACATGTAAGCTGTGATCGCTGTATTCCAATTACAACTCTGATTGTACGAAGTAGGTCACCAGCCCGAAAACCATCAGTCCGTCCCTGGTTACGAAGGAGAGTCCTCTCTCGACGAGACTCCGGCGGTTGACGAGGTCCCTCCTGGCGAGGCGTCCGAGGCTGGCGGAGGCCAGTCTACTCTAGGCAGAGTAGCCAAACGAATTCGAAGCAAATTTGCTGCACGTCCTGTTTTCATGAACATCCTCGTTGAATCTCAAGTGCACACAGGACTTTCCTATTCTGAGGTGGGCTCTATTATGGCGAGACATCTTTCTCAACGAGGTCATTCGCCAAGACGGACGTGCCGATGCGCTCGATCTGACGCACTGTCCTGGCTGCGGCAAGGAGGGCTTTCCTGCTTATAGGTGCGAAGATTGTCGAGGGGCGAATCTGTGCGAGGACTGTATGAGACACTGGCACCGGTATAATCCGCTGCATAGGATGGAAGTTAGTATCCTTTATATGCAAATGACTTCTGCAGAACCTGACAGAGGGCACAGTGTTTCAAGACGGACTTCTATGAACGTATAAGTGCGGCGGACCTGGGTATGCGCATTCAGCTCATGCATCCTCCCGGTAGCGTCTGCAGCTTTCGGGCGGCCCATCAGGTGGAAGACTTCACGATCATACACTCGAACGGCATCCATTGCATACCCGTGGATTCTTGCGCGTGTGAACGCGGCGCAGACGTGCCGTTTCATATCCAACTCCTACGTTTCAAGTTATGGCCCGCGACCGTAGTGAATCCACGTACTGCCACTACTCACGAGGCCCTTGACCAGTTCACGCGACTCTCATCACTCGGACGCCTGAATGTGTACGACTACTATAAGTCTTTGGAGAATGCAACAGACGGCGCTGGTCTGCGCCCCATCGCGGTTTGTTTTCCGTTCACATTGATGCCTATCATGTATGCTGAATAGATCATAACTAGAACGTTCGTCAGCAACTCTACTCTTGTGTGAGACAGTTTCGGCATGTATTCATGTTTAAGCGGAGCGGGCGGGGCCACGAAGCCGGGGGAATAGCAGCGACTCCTCTTGGTGCATGCGCAGTGCGCTGCCCCGCATGTCCCAACTTTGATCTGAATTTGCCGTTGAACTGGGCTACTCTTCCGTTCCGGTACGTGCTCGCTGCCAAGTCTCGCATCTCTCCAGCTGAGTTTGCCCAGCTGGCTTTATCGAACTCTTCTATCTTTGGACGCCAATTTTCGACTGAACAACAAGATGACTCGTTCAAAGGATGAGACGGACCCAAACCTTACCGACGGTTGTGCGTACATGGCCCCGCGAGTGGAGTATAATGCCTATCTCGATGTCACCGAGAAACAAGCAGTTGACGTTGTGAGTCGACTTACTTTTGATCTCGATGCTTAGTCTTACTCCGAAGTAGCCGAGCGACTGCTCTCGCTTCGGGGCGTTAAACCTGGCAAATATGAAAGGTGGGAAGGGTATGCGGACCACAGGCATTGCTGGGTGCTTCTGTGCACGCCATGAATTCGTGCAACCGCTAGGCTTGGGAACACTCAGGAGGGGAGAGCGGTACGCAACGCACATCATGCCTCTCTTCACCAGTCATTGACGCAAAAGGCAGTTATAGTTCAATAGATTGGATCTTTTGCGGTGCACTGTCGTTCTTGCGGTGCGCGGAGGTTACCGTCTGCTACGACATCGCATGTCAGTGGAGCAAACGATTACACAAGCGCCTACGCGACATCGCGCCAGACTGCAGAGTGTTTCCAGGCGCTGTGGAGTTCTTTAAGCATCATACCAACAAAACGATCACATACGTAGTTCCCAAGTTCCATCTCTATGCGCACCAGCTCAAGTGTCAACTGCGATACGCCCTTGGCTTACTATTTGGGACTGGTGCGACGGATGGAGAAGGATGTGAACGTGTATGGGCAGGCGCGAATCCTGCAGCATCCAGCCTGAGGGAAATGGGGCCGGGAGGGATGAGTGACACCATGGATGATATGTGTGGCTCGTGGAACTGGCAGAAGACTTGCGGCATAGGTGGGTTATGATTAAATACAAGAAGAACGTGTATCGCTCACAGACCTTTATAGGCGACCTTTTGTGCGAGCGTATGGAAAATGCGCTACAGGAAGGTGCAACCCAGACCGGGATCTTTACGGAGTTCACGGATTCCATTGAGGCTGAAGATAGCGGAAGGGTAGCTCAAGCCCGAGCTGCCATCAGAAAGTGGGAGAATGATCCGGTGAAGAAGGACGACGTCCCTTGTCCATACCATGTTGACAAGTCTGGTGAGCTCGAGACATAGGGTCACGATAACGATGTATATACTGTGTATTCAACGCATCTTCTACAGCGCTGTCCATAGCGGAGATCAAGCTCCTGACAGAGCAGGCTCAGGGATTACCTGAGAGTCTCAAGGTGACAATGGATGCTGAAGATGAGACCGAGTTGGCGCAGATGGTATTGCGTGGGTTGAAGATTGAAGAGGATAGGTACGTGATCGGGTTCTGCCTTGTGATTTTTCGCTTATCTTCCTTCTATCAGAGCCCGCTTTCTAACGAAACACAAGCCCATCGGTGGGACGAAGGAGCAAGCTACGGCTAGGACAAGAGCTTTGAATGCCATCGCGCGCGATATAACGAGCCTTCGAAAGGTTCAGGGAGTTTGTTCTCCTGCAATCTACGCTGCGCTGACGTCCGACGAGCGGGAGCCGGATCGACAAGCGGCTCTGACCGTCAAGTTGTATATGCCTTCGGACCCGCCGGAGAAGGACGTCAGCCTCAGCTCAACGGAGGCGCGAGCCATGGAAGCTCGGCTCAGGTGGACTTCAATGGTCGATGAACTTGACAATCTGCGGCACCAACTGCGTCTGAAAGGATGTCTCAACAAGTTCAAGCTGTCGAACATCACTGGTCAACGCAACAATACTCGCGCTCGCGAGGCGCAGGACTCCGTGGACGTTAATGTCAAGAAGGCCGCCAACGCGTACCGGCGACACCGTCTGGCCTACATGGCTTTGGTAGGAACTGGCGCATGGGAGGACACGATGCAGGAGCTCAAAGATTCAGATTGTCGTGGACTTGGCGATCGTCTTCTCGAGCAGATGGATGCGATGTCTGAGTATAACGTCAAACAATTTCTGGCCGGTAAACGCGGGGCTGCCTCGTCGGGGGAGACGCGTTACAAACTACCTTGGATCTGGTTCAATAGATCGGAAGAGTCTGGTATCCAGATCACAGACGGTGAGCAGTGCACACACAAAGTGTATCAAGACGCAGCTTTCTGATTCTCATCTACAGAGCTTATGGTGGAGTGGTGCAAAAGCCGCGCACGTGCTCAGCATTGGGTGGAGGAAGTTCGTCTCCTTGACGAAGAAATGCGACGCGTCATCATGTTCAGCGAGCGCATGGCAGATATATGGGACAGCCGGTGCGATGCTGAGCCGCTTGACCTCGGCGAAAAGCACGCGTACGCAGTTGACAGAGGTTGGCTGGACGGGATACGCGCTTACGCTCGCAAGCAGGCGTGGATCCGTCGATCTCATGCTACCAAATGGCGTGCCCAATTCTCGGAACTTAGAGTATCGGCACAGCGGTTTCTAGCATTGCATACAACGGAAGGACTGTCGATAGAACCGCACATGGAGTTGGTTACGAGCCTCAATGAGGCAGGAGGTATGGAGGTCTGCTCGGGCCAATCGACGCCAACGCCACCCATGCCCATTGGAATGGGTTGCCACACGGAGACACGCGGTGCGGCAACAGAAGTGGTCCTGGATACTGTCCAACTACAAGAGGGACACCGAGGGTTGGGCAAGCGGTGGCGAGATAGGTTCAAGAAGAGTAAAAAGGTCCGGAAAAGTCCGGAGCGGGAGGGTGTGGGGTCGTCAGAAGTATGATATCCATGCTTGTTTGCGCAGACGTTCGTATCTAGGGAGTCTCATCTCGACATCGCGCTCCATGCATCAATGCCAATGAGGGTGCTCACGCTCTTGGGGCCGCCATACGTCATAAACGCAAACAACCACAGTGATCAGAACGTCGCTGGTCGTTGGTCGAGAGATCCCGCAAGTCACGTGGACGCGTTACCTAGCTGACGCGTTTAGGTCAGTGCAGCTGGTAATTTACCTACTCTTTACCGTCAGCCGAGCTCGTGTGATCAAGGGTCGGCGTACTCGAGTCTCAGGCGCCAGTGACGTAGCGTTCCGTGGTTGATATTTGGTGAAACTCGGGGTCAAGCGGTGAACGCGCGCACGATGGGTCGGCCTCGGGTTTGACGACCGAGTGAGCGCGAAGACATGAGACTAGTAGGCTTGATAACCAAATATGTTTGACTAGCTGGTACCCGTGCGTAGCACGGAAGGCTGAATACAATTATTGGGATCTAATATAGTGTAAATATCTTTCGAGGCGTAGATAAGATCAGCGGCGGCCGGATGTCCTCGTCCTCTTCGGCGGGGGACTGCCGTTTTCGTGCTTGTCACCGTCTTCGACCTCTGCATCGTCAGCAGACCGGCTAGTACCTGCGACAGGCGAGGGAGAGTTTGATGCCGGGCTCAAGGGGGAGTTGCTCGTGTGGTCGACAGCGGCCTTCCGCTTGTCCTTGGCAGATGTCTGGGACGCCGATGCCTGCGAAGCAGTTCCGAAAAAATCGAAAGCGGCAGTACTCGTGGAGGTATCATTGTTTGAAGCTGAATGTGTGATGTCAAAGATGTGGGCCAGTTGAGAAGTAGGACCTAGACACACCATTCGACGGTGCAGTGGAGTTATCGTCGAAGACTGCCGTCTTTCCGAGGAAAGCAGCACTATCGTAGACGATGACCACGTGCGAGATGGTACCGTCTGCGGCTTCAGCAAAGGGTGAGAAGAAGCCGATCACGGATACCATGGTACGCAGCCCGGGGATGGCCCTTCTGCGGGCTGCTTCGTCCTTGAATCGGCGGTCCGGGACATTGACGACGATCGTGATACGTCCGGCATCTCGCGTGATCTGCGTGAGCTGAGGAATGTCGAGAGCAAAGGTATAGGCATCGTAGTCGGCCTCGACAACAGTGTCAGAAGCTATGATGAGCGGCGCGCGGTCTTTTGCGGGAGGCGAATTGGCAAGATCGCCGGGAAGGCGGTAGCACTGTGTTGAAGTCAATTCGCTATTGCAGTAAAGCATGGGGAATAAGCGCACTTGCATGACGTCTCCGGCAATATTGTACTGTTTCTTGTCGGCAGTCTTAACTGCATCCGGGACATTCAAGACGTCTGGCGTCGCCTTCACGATCTGCCATAAGGATGGCTGTGTAAGAAAGGGAATTCCGTCGCAGGGGCAGTATGCGTACCTTCACCACGGCCCCATAGTAGCCAACTTCTCCGGGTGCCGAAGGGAGGTTGTCGCGGGTGCCATTGAAGTACACAAAGCGACCGCGGAGGCCAGGACCGGAAGGAGCGTGTCCGAGAGCGTCGATGTGCAAAGAAAGATGTTTTGAGCTGTCTTGCGCGCGCGTGCGTTGGCAAATGCAAAGACACCTGATATGATAGCGGAGGCGGACGGCATCGTTGGGAGGTGCGGCAACTGTCGGGCTGAGATATTTGAAGTACGATTTTGAGGGGTGCTCCAAGGAGGAGTGTAGCGGCAGCGATGAAGTCAGCAGTGCCCTCGAGCTCATAGCATGAGCTCATGCGACAGCCGCGGGTGGCGTTGAGGCCAGGACCACCGGTGACGTTGGATAATCGTTATGGCTGTACTGTACATTGGCGAACACTCGCGACAAACAGAGCTGGTGGTAAAGGGGAGAGAAGTTCACACTCAATGTCACAACACCGACGTGTCTCATCAAATATCGGCACATGATAGCATCGAACCGCAGAGGACTACACGTAGTACCTATGGTGGGCGTGTACACTACTTGATCGCTACACATGCACTACAGTTACTACGCCGGCAAAGAGTTCTGCATATCCAGATGAGCTGGCTCTGACGTCACGAAGAGGCAACATGGCGGAACCGAACATACCCGTTCAACAGCGTGGAAGACCTGTTTGTACACAACATTCGGTGTGCGTGCTGTTTGCTGCTCGGTGTCGCCGAGTAGCACACGAACTGCGGACGGTGTCGTTGCCCGAGAGAGAGCAACACAAAGCTGGCCATGGGAAAATACTGAAGCCCTAAGATCGACGCCGACGTATTTCACGGACTGCCCTTGGACTTTGTTGATGGTCATAGCGAACGCAAGGCGAACCGGGAATTGGCGTCTTTTGAGCACAAACGCAACGTCCTCGTCTGTTTCGGAAGGACGCATCACGATGCATGGAAGTAGGGCTACGTCGCCGTCACGGTCAGCACCGATGGCCTGGACCTCGAGTACGCGGGTAGAAGCACGTCGAAGAATGAGGCGCGTGCCGTTGCACAGTCCTTGTGATGCGCGAATGTTCCGCAGGAGGATGAGCGGACACCCAGTCTTGACTTGAAGCTCGCCGAGTGGGAATCCAGGTGAGAACATCGAGCGTAGGAATTCGGGAGGCATCTCATTGGGAGGGCGCATCGCTGGTCGGCGACAGTTCTCCATAGATGGAATGGACGAGTGTTTCCGTCGAGCTTGTCAACATCTCGTCACTTAGCAAGGTACGGCCGTCCGTGTCTGAATTTCTCCCGTGACCAACATCGAGAAGGAAATCGGAGAAGTTGCGGGCATCAGGGCCGGCTGTACGCAGACGCATGTTCTCTCGCAGGTATAAGACCTCAACGTGAGACCATAGATAGGATCGGAAAAGCGACGCGTCAACGATCTCTTGAACTGAGCCCTTGGGAATGACAGGTAGCGTCTGCTGCCAGTCGCCACCAAAAACGGAGATAAGACCGCCAAACGGCTCAGAGCTGCCGCGAACATCTCGAAGCAGCCGGTCCACAGCTTCGGGACCGTAGCTAACGGAACAATCAGCCACGACGTAGAGATAACACTGGCTTGAGAACACACCGATGCTGCATGGCTCGACGCAGAAGCTCTGCATACAGGCTTTGCTTTGAGATGCTGCAGGTTGAGATGTCGGATAGGACAATTGGGATCTTGAACATCAAATGTGCAGTGCGGCCACCGCGGAGCAATAACGAAGCAACTCCGGGAGAGGCACTACACAATGCGATCCAACCCTCGCTGCGAACCCTGTGAACAACAGTGTTGTAGACAAAGGTCTTCCCGGTACCACCAGGTCCATTCAGGAAGAACATCGATGTTGATGCAAACCGTGCATGTCGGTCGTGCGTCACTACGCGCTCATTGACAGAATTGCAAGATGCGGTTGTATGCGTGACGTTGATCGGCATTCAAAGCGCGAAGGTTGTCTTCGAGGAGACAGCGCTCATCAACAGGATCATACCGCAGATGTTCCGCGACGTGCGGGTTCTCGACACGGGCACTCTAGTCCATCTAAGAGCGAGGCATAAGAGGAAAGTCGTGGAGGGAGTGTCCTGTCTCATGGAGAATCTCGTCGAGAAGATAGAGACCATAGTCGTAGACTTGCTCGTCGCGGAAGAATTTGCAATGTCAAGGTGCCGTAACCTGTGGCGGAGATCGTCACAGATATTTGAGCGTAACTCGGTCCAGAGGGCTTCAGGGTCGGAGGGCTCGCAGTAAATGAAAAGCGTGACGAACAGATGGCGGAGCTGGGAGCCTGTTTGCATGTGTACCGCCTCTTGTAGACATTGATGCCACTCCGCATCGTCTTCGAGGCCGCGTGAGGAGGCCGCGTGCAAGACAGGTGGAATGGAGACCGTCGTATGTTGTTCCTTCAAACGTACGCAGATCCTCGAAGCTTGTCGGGCCTTATACAGCGGAGAGCAGAAGACGCAGATACAATCGCTCGCCTGCCGTGGGTGAGACGAAGTACATGCGACCTATTGAGAAATACTGCATGCGCTTCTTCCAACGGCGCTGCCGGGCATCCCAGACCAAGTGCTGCGGGAAATCGGTGTATGTGTGTTGGCGCGCGAGCGCACCTAACTCTCAATCATCGCGGTTGGCATCGAAGAAGGCGGTGAGAGTCAAACGTTCATTGGCGGCGCGCTCAGCGACGATGTTGGGATCCTCGCTTGCCGAGAAGTTGATAAAGTGGGCACCGGAAAGATGCACTTGCAAGCGCGTGACGGATGGATGCAGGTTGTACAGCTCGAAGTGGAATAGACGCCAGATACTCTCAGGAGCCGACAGAAAGCGCGAGTCGAGTAGCCACTGCACTTCGTCGTAGTTGAGGGCGAGAGTCGTGCGGTCTTCTCCCTTATGCAGGTACTTCGTAACGTACTTGATTGGCTGAAAGGAGCAGGCGGCTTCTACATTGATGTGGCAGGCGTATCTGGCGGAGAGCATCGGACAGTAGGGAGCAATCATGCTAAGGTGTATGTCAGTAACGTGTCGAGAACTCAAGGCACGATACAGCATACCTATTATCGACGTCAACTCCGCGAACACGATAGGAGCGACCGTCATCTGATCGGGCGTAATTGGGGTACCCGTCCTCGCTCAGAGTCGTCGAATCACGGTGCTGCTTGGGGTAGCCCTTGGTGCATACACCATCACGCATGCACAGTGCATGAAGGTTGGCTGCGCCGCACGGGCCATGGACCATGCATGTCTTGACCGTCTCGAAGAGTAGAGACTCGGTGACGGGGTCAGGTCACGAAGCCGATATGAGAGAGTCGACGTCTGATGCATTGCGGATCTACAAACGGCGTTAGCAGTATTCGAAGAAGTGGGTAAAATAAAGACCTTGTGTTTGTTCGATAAGATGCTCAAGAGATGCATATGTGGCAAACCACACTTTTGGAACTCTACGGCAGATATCCAAGCAACGACACGACCGAAGATCTTGTTCTCGACAATATCATGAATGAGCGCCTTCATCTTCATGCGAAATACACGCGCTACCAAATCGGGTCGGTCGGAAGCTGACTGACCATGCAGCAACTCTCTCTGGATCTCGGGCCAGGCGGGGTTCGCGGTCATGGTGAGGAAGATGTCGATTTTGCCGTAGTGGCGACCGACTGCGAGCGAGCCTTGACAGCGTTGTATCCTATATCTAGGGCCACTGTGATATGAGGAGGGCAAGACGACACGCTTTCCGACGTCTTTGAGCGAGTTCTCATCTGCGACGGCATCTCGAAGACCTGAGGAGAGCTCCGCGCGCAGGTCGTTCTGGTGAGTTTGAATGTAGCGCAGGCGAGACTGATCGGCGGAAGCCCAACTGTCCACTATGTACTCCTGAAGAAGGCGACCGCCGAGATGGAGTGCGGGGAACTGGTTGGCGCGCGCGTGTAGGCGATAAGCGTAGTATTGCGTCTGAGAGATTCGGGGAGGCAGACCGGTGCGGCGAGAGTTTTCAGGCTCTCGTTGTCGCATCTCGTACTCCCAACCGTGACTGCCAAATGGGAACAGTAGAACGTATTGCAGCACCTGGTATGCTGGGTTGCCGTCGTCGATATCCCATAGGCCACCATCGCGCATGCGAACAACGATCTTGTGATGAGCGGGCGCACTCTGGCCACCAGGAATGACAGCGGCGACATCATCGGATGTAGGTAAACTGTATCTTCTAGGGTCGGGTTGCGAGCTTGAGTGCAGGCGAAAGAAGAGCCTGGGTTCACCGGTGTCTTGAAGGATTTTGTATGCGTGGCGGAGGATCCGAGCGTACTGGTGTGTATGTCGAAGCATGTTCTGCAGCGCTGCTAATCATGGACGAGACAGGCCAGAATTACTCACAATGCGTTGCTCGAGGGCATCGTCGGGGCCGTAGATGTACAATTGCATGTACGATGCAGCAGCGGGGGCCCCGGCGCCTTCGGCCGAGCGAGGAGGTATGAGCGTGCCAATTCTATGACACAGTCTACCGCGAACTGTAAAAACGTCTTCGTGAAGCCTTCTACGTTTCTGTGCCGCCGAGCGAGCTTTGAATGGCTGAAAGCAAGTCAGCACGAATCTCACTTGAGATCTGAAAACTGAGTACTGACTGGGAAGGATTCAGAACGTTGACGTCGTGGAGGTGGACAGCGGTTGGGTTCGAGAGGTATTTCGGGAGAACTCTCGTGGCGCGCGCCTCCGCGTAATCGAAGGGGCTCGCCGGGAGAGTCAGGAATACGTCGGCGAGTTGGGGAAGAGTCGACGCGGCTGAGTCGATTGTGATAACGGAATTCTGTACGGGCTGTAGGCGCATCAGGTCCTAAAGATATTGAGCACGACATGAACGATGCACGATAGGGAAAGAGCGCACTGAATGAATCAGTATGGTTTGGGGTGGGAGAAGAATGCGCCTTCGCGCTGGACTGTGAGGGGGTTCAAGTTCTTGTATTTGACCTCGCTCTATGTAACGAAATGAGCATGATATCGATCTGTTGAGCGGAAAGCGAGTACTACCTTCGGAGTGCCCATCGGAGCCGCGATTTTGAAACTGCAACAGAGCAATCGTTAGTACTCATTGCAGGACTGTGCTCAGCGAGCGGGGTGAGCGATCTTGCATAAGTTACATACTGAAGGGAAGGGAATCCCTGGCTGAGGCGTATGCATACAGTCCATGCCGCGGAGGACGGATGTTCGGGAAGGCTAGCAAGACGACGAAGCTCACTGTCGCAGGAGGCACATTGGAAAAAATAGGCTCGGGACATTATTTGAACCAAGCTCGTGCAATCGAGGGGACTGGCGCGCAACGTCAGAAATATGATGGCGTTAGGTTGCTGCGAGAGCGGGATGATGACAATGGGACATCGAGATCCATGAAATTTGAAATATGCGGGAAACAGGAGGGACTTCATAGAGATGTACAGTATACATTTGACGTAAGGTACAGAGAGCAAAGACGGGGAAATTAGGTACTACGGGTCGGGATAATTGGCGTAGGGAGCTGGAAAATGTGGTGCGGTGGTCCGTGCGCGAACGTGACGTGGAACACGTCGACGTGTTGTGTCGCCGCGCAGTGCGGCGCGGAAGATGCTCCCACCACAATCGTCGTCTATGGATATGTGCATAGGTAAGCAAGCTTGTGTCGGGGTTCTTACAAGAGATGAAGCCCGCCGAGTTGTAGCTATCGTGATGGTTGAATACCAGAACCGGGGGTCACCACAATACGTGACGAAAGGGATAGTGCGTTGCGTTAACAACTCGTGCGGATATCGGGCGATAATGGTATGTGCATGCATAGGTGGTATAGGAGTCTCGATTGACAGGGTGTAGAGCGAGTAGGGGGACTTGATTGACACTATAGAGTACTTCTGGGATGGGGAACTGGAAGATGTCGATGATGAGTGAGGGAGAACGAAGTGCGAAGTGCGAGCGAATGGGCCCACTTTTGAGCCCGAAGTTCTCGGAAGAGGGCCGGAATTGAAAGGGGATTAGTAGCAGCGGGGTATATAAAAACCAAGGAACCAAGCGTAGTGAAAGAGAAAAGTAATGCTTGCAAGTAAGGGAAAAGGACGTCGAGTCGTACACTGTTAACTCCGCACTGTGGACGTGGATGGTGGGAGGCAGAGGAAAGAAATGGCATCGCGCTCGCGCTCGCGAGGCGGAGAAAGGAACCTGACGTCATGGATCGCGTGTCGCGTCGAAAAGCAGCCGACGGCCAATGAGGTTGTCTCTTGGTCCTCGCGTGGTTTGTCCTGCTTGCCTCCGATTACTAGGGATCACCGGCCACCCGATACCAGTTTGTCACGCACGTCCACCGGAAACTACAGGCGGAGCCCTATGCACGATACGGATACGGATACTAGGAGAGGATAGGCAGAGCAGAGCTAAATGCGATGAAGAGGCTCAACAAAGACAGGATAACTGGCTCGCGCTAGTCGTGCGAGATACGCCGCGGGACACCAAGGTACGTACAACCTCTTCCTCGCTTTCTGGTACTTCTGTTAATCAGTCATCAAAGGACGATGCTAGAAAACAGGTCATGTTCCCCAAGATCTACAGCTACAGTGATATACTGGCAATGCGGCCCGCACAACTCTTTCGACAGCGGTCTGGATTCAGCCTTGTACTCGCGACCAACGGCCGTGACCCATGTCTCACGAACGCACGCCTACGTGGTACCATAGGGGACTCGTGTGCTCTGCTCCCGTGGCAGGCGGCGTCCAGATCCAACTACATACTGCGGCGCTTGATCACGACGCCCGGCTGAAAATAAACGCTGGTCTCCTGGTCGTATGGCGAACTGGACCGTACAAGCATGGTACAAGCATGTAAACTGCGTCTACATGGAAACGAACGGGCTCTTACTTAACTGGAGCATCAGCAATCCGCACTCACGACTTTCGCCAGTCACGGACGTCTTTCGATGCGTCTACGGCCCGCTCGACATCTGACGCCCTGCTATCCGGCGCATAGACCCGTCTAGACGCGCGAATAGCAATATAACCGTGAGGTTAATATACGCATCGTCCACTCCTTTGCGCGCCCGCAATCATGCACTCTGTGGCGCTGGCGAATCTACAGTTACCTCGTAACTCAACCTCATCACGCGAAGGGCAGATGGATGCAGAAGGTCCCGTTCTTGAGAAGACTGTGCATAGTGATGGATAAGTCTGGGGTCGGGAGGTGCACAAGGGCGTTCGGCTTGTGTAGACAAGTCGCTATAGGTGTGCAATAGTACTACTCCAGGCCAATCTACAGGTATGCTGATAAATGCCCCCACAGGTCCGCTCATCTTACTCCGTATATATTTGAACCCCCCGTAAACATTGAAACATCAAGGCCGTCGAATGCAAGATACGGACGCATGGTGAAAGTGAGTTACCTATTCCTCCTCGTGGCTAATAGTACTTCTACCAGTACAGTTCTCTCAACATTCAGCGCTGGCCCTCAATTCACAGCAGCCATATGATGAAGTCGGGAACATGTACTGAAGGAATTGCCTCCCTCTCCTTCCGTGCCGGCGGTGCCGCGTCTGCTCCGTTATAGGCTCAGTACCGCTCACGTCGAAAGTAAGAAGCGCGTACAATAGTGTTGCAGATATGAACTAACTTCAATTATTCGCAGACCTGGACTCAGCGCAGACCAAGACTCGCAGACCTGTCTCCACGGCATTTGTACCAAGGCGCGTATAACGTACATACCCTTCTTGTTCAACTCTGACACTATGTATAGACCTGGTACGGTTGGGCGCGATGCGGCGCAGGTGCGGGTCACGAGAGATCCAACAGCCTTTGTGAAGTCGCCCGGCGACGCGATCTTATGACCAGATGCGTTTCAGCGAGTATTCGATGACTAGATGCGTCACGTAGATAATGCGCACTCATTGACCGTATCTCATACCACCGTTAGTCACACTTTCAAATGTGTATGGGGGGCGCTGCCCGTCGTGCAGATATCACTTCGATCTAGCCACCGAAGACGTCATACGGTTATTCCATCAAGGGCACGCGCTCGATCCCATCCTCATCAATCGTTTGGCAGAAGACCTGTGTAGGTATGATGGTGTCATCTCGCTGATCTTGAGGGCGCGAAGACTGGCGCATATTAAATCATGCCGTAAGAGATGCAACTGCGTGCAAACATACGCATCCATAGGTGAGTGCTGGCTTCAGTTTTCAGATCCAGTACTCGTAGCCTGAAAGATAATTCAGGCCCAAAAGAAGTGCACAGGCATCTGCACCAATATTGGGGCGCCAATCAAAGCCTGTCTTTCTTGTCAAGTACACGGCGACCTCGTTCGGGACTCGCATACATCTGTGGCTCTCGCCACCGTCTCGCACATCTGTCTAGCTTGTCGGGTCCTGGGGATTCAACCCCGTCCGCTCTTGATTATACACTCCGAAAAGATAAAGCCGGCCCCCGCATTCACAGATAGACCAAACTTTTTTGCCGCGCCTACTGAGTACAGCGCCCATGTAAGAATGAAGACAGATTGCTGATGAACAAGCGCGGGATGCCGAGGGTGCGAAAGCTGCAGCGCTCAAAAACTGGATGCTGAGCCCACGACCTTTCTACCCCCGAAACCATGACTCTCGTCCCTAGCTTCCCTGGCATTCTCGACCTTTTGGAGGGCATCGCCACGGTCGAAACTCCTCTCTCCTCTCTAAAGCGACTGATGCAGCTGCATCTCCGTGACGGAGCAATCTTTACGGCACCCGACGAGAGCTGCTATCCGCCTGTCGCAACGTTGACGACTGAGATCTCCCACGCAATCGACAACATCTCGAGCCCGTTGTTCTATTCGTGTGCTCATCATGATCCTGTATGTTTTTTGGACAAGAGATCATGGCAGGCTCCTAACTCCTCCTCAAGTCAGCTTCGCGCGAGCGTGTCATTGGTTATATCACGGCGGTGACCAAGCTGCTTCATCTCTACAAAGCATATACTGCGCCTACTCTTCCCCTCTCTACTCAAGACAGTCTCACAATCCTCGCAGCACCCGATCGTCTGATGAGAAGCCTTTGGGAGACACGTTTGCTCACAGGCAACTGGGCGGTATCATTTGGTGGCCTATCGTTTTTCATCCAACGTGATTTGTACATGCTGAAGGAGTACGTCTACTTGAACTGCCTCTATCGTCATAAATGCGGTGCACTGAAATAGCCCAGACAGAATCGTCCCCATGAACGGGATTGCGAATACTTTGTGGCATTGCGGCGCGACGATGGCATGTACTATCTCAGTCACATCTACGCAGCCCTTGGGCACGAACAACAGATACCAAACGGCCCAATTACTCGCAAGATCCTCGAAGTCATTGAGTTCGCTACATTGCCGATACACGGCCGGCGTCTTCAACTCTCACTGGCGCAGTCATTGAGCCAGACCTCCAGGGTAGACTTGAGAGACATGCAGAAGTATGCTCTTCGGCGTATCGGATGGGACTTGGAGTCCGATATTTGTGATGGAAAGGCATGTGGTTGCCAGGGGACCTTGTGCGCATGCGAATCGCGGTGCCGTAATGCATGCACTACGTATTGCTCACGCTGTCGTTTGGCGTTTTACTGCTCTGTGGAATGCTCGAGAAGGTACTGTACATGATCAGGCTTCTAAGACAGACGGTTCGTTGACGTTGCATGAAGGTCATGGAGCTCGCACAAGTCTGCGTGCAAGCTTCTGGAGAAGTATGCCAATTCGAAGTAATCACCCATATACTAGGTAGCAATCACGGCCGTGTGACGGATTTGGAACGTATAAGGCATTTTGTCTGAGTCAATTCGGGTCTCTTTGGGTACCTTGGGTACCTGCACCTTAGCTTCGGATCCTGCTCCATAAACATAACGCTCCGAATAAGCCCTCGACTGAGGGTTGTGGTCGGCCAGGGTCGGCCCCTGCATAAGCAGGAGCGTTCCCCAAAAGAAATCCATGAGAAAGCCATATCTATACATATTTCCCATGACATCATGCATCGGGGATGCGATGCGCGTCCGCCGTTACTTGCACTGATAGGAGGGAGGGCCTGCTGGCAATGCGGCGGCGGCGGTCAAGGCCGGAGATAGAGGGGAGAAAACGCGAAATGCGCCGTCGGCCGACGATGGGGTCGCTCATCATGCCGCCATCACCCGTAGCTTCAGGTGCATACCCGAGCGACGCACCGTGCCGCGCGCTTCAACGCCTGTTCGCGACGTGAAGCATCGCAGTACAAGCGAGTCCGAAGAGTCTGACGAGAAGGGCAGTACTGATGAGGAAGGACCGCACAACACACAATCGCTCACGCACGAGGTCACAGCTCACTTCACCGACGATTTCTGAATGCGGACCTACTTATCTCCCTTCGCCCAGCACCCCTTCCACCCGGCTGTGCTGTCAATGGATACACACCGCCGCAAGATGAGACTAGGCTAACTAGACCCACGACTTCGCCGCAGCCGCCCGGGAGCACACCCCTGCACCTACTAGCGGCGGTTCTGCCGTAACTGTTACGGGTCATGGACTGAAACTACTACTACTCAGCACCTTCGCAAATACCAAGACCGGAAGTCCAGGATGCTTGCTACCCAGCCCCATATTCGTGGCACCAGCGCAATTCGTGCCCTTAGCAGTCGTGGGCTAGCGGATTCGTACACATGTTCCGCGACTCCTATGCGCGCGAGGTCAAACAGATTGCAGGACTTCTCCCGGTACGCACGTTCTCGTACTGTATACTGGCAATCCTGTGCTGAAATGACATAGGTTGATGCCTTACTAAGCTAGTCGTTCCGCGTATGGTGCAATTAGCCGAATTTGACATCGAAGGCATATACGAAGAATGTTCTGGGTGGCACGGGTTGCGCGACGGCTGTCTCATTGGTTCATGAATGACCAGATCGCTCGGCTACCACTACGTAGTATACTGAAGTACCTCGACTACGAGGCGAGGCGTCCTGTAAGTCTCGTATCTGACCGTGATGGTCATTCATGCTGACACTATGTCATGGGTAATGCAACATCGGCTTTCTCAGCGAGATAAACCGAATCCGCATACAAACGTGGAGCTCAAGATGCGGACCTGTGTGCGTGTAAATGCGTCGGGTGGCTTCATGATCTGCAAACAGCTGTAACGGCGGAAAGATCGCGACGCGTCCTGAATAACTCGGGAAGCACTCCGGTGAGGATCACGAAGAGCGCTGGCACAGCGTCTCGCGGGGCAGATATCAGTCCGTCGGTGATAGACTGGGATCTTCCCCACGCGCTCACACAGCAGTAGCCATGTGGGCGGCTGGGCGCTGGGCGCGACGGGCTCAGAGATCGTCGCATCCACGCCTGACAAGGGGATATAATGTTTTGTATGGGATCTCGACGATGAATCTAATCTGGTGACTGCGCGCAACGCACTGTCTTCACTATGGACTTTCAGAAAATGAAGCCTATGTGACATTTTGACCTTCGGGTGATATGGGACGCGCGCCCTGTCGCCGCCCGTCGCGCGTTCTGATCTATGGAGCACGCGCGGCAAAGTCGCATATTAGGCAGTGATATCACCCGTTTTGTATACGTGGTACTTATGTCAGCCTGCCCGTGGCGGTGACACAGCTATCCCTACGTTTGACCGATGCTCCGCATTCACTGGAGCTTGTCTGTCCAACCGCTTGCCATCGCAGCTCAAGCGCGCTGCTCTACCCTTCATGCCATCATTGCCACCCGCTCATCATCACAGCGAACCGAAGACTCAAAATTGTGAGATCCGATCCTAGATTTGACTCGAAACTTGCGGTAAATCCAGTTCTTCCACTCCGCTCTGACAGATTCTTGATATAGGTCCGACGTCAGAGCGCAAAGGAGAGTAGCACTCTCGTCGGTGGCGGAACTGGGTGGATTAGCTGATCGCAACGTTTCCAAGGACACGCAATGACATGGGGTGTCCCTGGGAAACCCGGTAGTATGCGTCTTATAAGAACCTACACTGAATCACCGCAGCCAGCCAATCCTATTCCCGTGTCAGCAGCCCTGTTCCTACAGTCCCTCGCGGAAGACAATGCCGGTTTATGGTCCGCCGCCTTCCTTCACTTGCGTTTCATTTGTACCTGAACGCTTTGTAGATGCGCACATCGGCGGTCCTGTGCTTATTCCTCCTTCATATTACATCGAAGGAACCCCTGCCTGGGCGGTGCTATCGGGAGAGCAAACCGGGATTTACCTCAGCGCGTTGGTATATCACCCCGTTGCTTCAACTTGTTACTGAAGCGTCGAGTCAGGTCCCGCTGCCTGTCTAAGATAATTCATCACAAGTTTCCGATCTGGGATAGTTTTCCGAACTTTCACGCCGCCGTACGCGCGATTTACCGCTTTCAACGTATGAACACCGATCCCATCCTCCCGCCCAATGTGGACGATGACTTGCCTATCATCGCCCCCTCTCCGCCATCGTCACCGCCGCCGTCGCCCTCGACGACGTCACTCGCTCCACCCGCTTCTCCCCTCCTAACTGCATTTCGACCTTCTGCGTCCAATCGACCCGCTCTTGTCAATGTCGTCTTGAGAGCCGTCCGTTCGCTCAATGATATGCATCTCGAAGACCCCGATGCAATGTTGCTCCAGGCCCCTATCGCAATTACGCCGGCTCTCATCGATAGGCTTGCTGATGCTGTAGCTAGGAGTCTGGAGGACTCCGCTGGAGAGGCCACCAGCACAGCGGCATCGCTCGATCTAACGGGCGCTCACACAACTTTTCCTGTCTCTACGGACGCTTCAAACACAGTCAATGAAGACAAGATCGACGGTCCAGTCAAGGTTGATTTGGATGAGAATTCATCCGGCGCCGTCGATGGTCATCCTATCTTGCAGTTTCTTCGCTGGCAGTGCGAAGATGCTCGAGCCAGTTATGACCACGCTGAACGCGCTTTCAATCTTACCCTCCTGCGTCGACCTGGTAGTGTCCATAATAGCTTCGACTTCAACATGGTAAATCGAGGGCTGGATATCTACAGAACCGAGATGGTTCTTTGCGCAGAGCGTCTCGAACTCGCTCAAGCTTGCCTTGCTCGTTATACGGTATATACATCTGATCTTTCTGCTCATCAGTATGCACGACTGTCTGACATCATTTCATAGAATGAGTCTATTGCTCTTACCCAGGATGTCTTAAGCGGTGCGCATAGTTTGAAACCCTCTCATCCTATCTGCGCGGTCGAGGACTGCAAGATGTCCGAATTCATCGAGCGTCTTGCAAGGTTCTTCCCCGGCGGCTCAGAAGAACTCGTCGAGCAGTTTGTGCATTCGACGGCACATCGCATGCTCGAGACGTATCCGCGCTCGACGCAGGACTCCGTGCCGGAAGAAGCCCGATACCGCAAAGTCCTTGTTGCCCCCATGGCGCGGGAGATCATACGCCCATTACAAGCACAGGTTCCGGACAACACGCATGAAAGATCCGAGGCGACCTTGCCTGAGGTTCCAATTCCCACTGAAGCACTCACGGGTGTTCCTGTTTGCCATAATTGGTTTGTGGTATACAAAGGTAGAACAGATCCGACTGGTGGCGACGCACGCATATACAAGGCGTCCAATGTTGTTAACTCGTAAGTGCCCGCGTTTCTACGTGCATGGTTGATGAGCTGAACCTGATCCTCTAGGAATTATCTCCTCAGATTGTTGCCCAACGGGAATATCAATTCCTTTTTCACTCTCGAGGAAGCAAGTGCCTTCAAACACTGGATGGACAGCCCTGACTGGAACGTCTTCGACGGTGTCGAGTACTGATTCGGACATGTGATGTTCGATCCCCTTACATACTCTCGTTATGTGCTTTCTTGTCAAACATATCGTCAGGCGGCTTGCTTTCTTACGTAGATCGCGTCCCCACGCTCGTGCGGCAAATGACTTTGCGAGAAGAGAAAACGGCCGACAACAATTGAATCGGTGTGCGAGTGACGCCAGAGGAACCCCACACAAGGTGTTTGCAAACGAGAAAGAAAGGTTGCACATAAGCGCATTGCGCAGTCCAGTGCATGTGGAAAAGGGTATCAAGCAGATGCTGGAACAGTGCTCAGTGCAGTCGTTCGCTCGGAGGGGGGGAGCGACTATGATTATGTCCTTGTATAGTAAAAAGGGCACAGCAAGCGAACAAGGGTATATACAGAGCGCTGATGGCCATGGCACGCGGCATGTCGCTTTTCCCGTCTGAGATGCACTCTTCGAGCTTGAACGTGCTACATTCCTGCTCCGCTCGGGAAAGAGGACCTCGTGGGCCAGTGCCCCCTCCGCTGAAGCCGGCATCGGTGGCAAAGACCGCATCATGGAGAGGGAAGATGACGACTGATGCTGAGACCACTTGGCAGCCCGTTGGGTGTATCGGGTATACCGACCCCCCAGCGCTGAGATTCACCCTCATACGCTACGTTGGCTCTCTCGCGTTCTCGGAAGGCTTCTGCGAGGTATGAGGCTGTTTCGTGCGTGAGATGGGAGTATGTGCTCGCTCGCGTGAGGTCGGCAGATCGAAACGGGTATGATCGAGATGTGCCTATCGGTGGTGGGTATGGTCGTGACGTATCAACTGGCGGAAGCGGGTATGCGTGTAAAGGGTTAGTCGAAGGAGGCGAGTGGGCTCGTGCCGTGTTGGGAGATGGTGGGTATGCTTGTGATCGAGGGTCTGCGGGGGGAGGTGGTGGAGGCGGGTGCGATGTCGATCCATCAGCCGCAGGTGGTGGTGGAGAATACATTCCCGACGGTTCAGCCAGAGATAGAGGCAGAAGAAACGATCTCGATCCGGCAGCTTGTGGTTCCATGATGACCCAGTGGAGGCGGTCCATACCGATTCTGGATGAAGGGTGTATGTATCTGTCCATCGCAGAAAGTGGATGTATCCCATTGGGAGGTGGCCGGATACCGTATAGCTCAGGTGGATGGGGATACCCAGCCCTTTCAGCCGCACTCATCCTGTGGAATCGGAGGTAGCGGGTAGCGGTCATGGGTCGGTGGTGGTGGATAGCATTCGCGGCCAGGAGGAGACATAGGGTGCCGGTACGGTGGCGGGGGATAACACTCGTGGGGAGGCCGCGCGCTAGGACCAGCTGTGCGTTTGGCGCGACTCCAGGCGTCGGCGGAGGGGCGGCGCGTCGAAGCCGTCAGGATCACTCGCTGGCGGGCCGTAGCTAGGCGCCCAAGGTAGCCAGCATTAGCGCCGAGTGAAGATGTAGGCGGATGATGATAGCTCGACGGGCGCTCAGAGGGGAATGTTGTTGTGGCTGTTGTTGTGCAGATTCATGCTTGGACGCCATACTAGGCGCTCGCGTGGCGACCGACTCGGGCCGTATTATTTGGGGTGCCCGCAGCGGTGGAGTGTGTAGTGAGGATGGGCGACGCTCAACGCTGCCCCGCGGCACCACCTGTTCTCCCCATGATCCCCCTCCCACCGCGCACCCCGTAACACTCCTGGACTCCTCACCGAACATAAGCGTTCGACAGTCGTGCTCATGCCCTTCGCACCACGAGATCGACCGAGCGAGAGTGTCGATAAGCGCCGTCCGCGGCTGCCAAATAGCCCGGGCATTGCAGAGTTCCACGGTAAGGACATCTGCAAGGCGTGCGCGATCGTCGATTGTGGCGCGTTGGAGGGCCTGCAGCGCGACATAGAGACGCTCGGCCGGGCGGTAGTACTCCTCCGCCATATTTGCTGTTGCAATAAGTCAAGTCAAAGTGAGAAAGATGTCAATGCGATGGCCTGATGAGAGTGCGTGAGCCACGAAAATATAGAGTTTGTATGTAGACAACGAAACAGAAGTTGAAGGTACTAACCCACTTAAGACCCAGGCAACGACGGCAACATTATAACTGGACAGAGAACCCCAGCAACAGCCCAGAAGCAAGAGGCTGGTGGTCAAGAGTCAAGCTTCGATCTTCACAAGTGGTACGAGATATGTCGTCGATCAGATGTTCGACGCCGCAACGGTCGCGTCAGCTTGCGTCGGCGCGCTTGTCTTCAACCACCACGCTAGCCTGATGCAAGAAATGTCCGTCAATGATATCTTGTATGCAATGCTTCTACGTACAGTATCCGCTGATATTCACCTACGCGTGATACACCGTCTATTTGGTTGTTACAGTCGCGGATCGAGCGGGGGATTGGTCTTTCGTATTCACGGGGACAGGGATCGCTGGCCGCCCTTTACGCTTCGGACGGGTGGCTATGTCGACTGCTGTCGTTCACTGCCTGTTCTGAACGATCTGAACAAGCGTCATCTCTTTCGCATTCAGGGTGTCTATTAGGATCTCTCTCGGAATGCGCGGATGGTCTCGAACGGTTGTTGCCTTTGCACCACCAGCCGCTTGCGCGCCCGGCAGAACTACGCTGCAATCCACGCCTGGCGCTAACTGATTGTCCCTGCCTTTTTGTAATCGACATTAATCTCTATGATCCTTGTAACGTATCGCACACGTGGTCGTACACTGAGGTATCAAAGCATTGTCACTCGCAAGCTCGACAAAGTCGTGGTTATCCGGAAATAATGTGCCCAGGCTCCCTCGGCGTCATTCAGCGCATTGATCATGTTCATTCATGATAACGTATACTCACATCCTATTGATCACTACGAAGGGTCGAAAACCCGGTAGACGCAGTGTCGTTCACTCTGCGCTTCTTCTCGGGCGACGGCGGAGGTGTTTGCAGTGGCCGTGGCACACCAAGACCGTGCTGCGTCCGTGATCCAGATGACGTTGGGTTCGCCGTTCCATCGCCCAGCAATCTATCTGCAATCCCCCATGCGATCAAGGCGTCCGGTGCAGTCATTTTCTTGTCGAATGCTGGTGATGTAGGTTAACATGGGGTATCAAAGTTACGGCCTTCCAGGCGTCCTGGTCCCGATGTGTGAGTGGGAAAGGGTGTCGAGGACGCGAAAAAAGAAAAATCTTCTGTTCCGACGGCATTGCCTCTCCTCACTTTCCCATCGTGATGTCGGCGATACCCGAGGGCAGTATAAGATCTCGTCGCTTACAAACAATCTCTCATCGTCAGCCACCATGGATACCCTTGCTCATAATATGTATCTGAATGCGTACCAGCTCTCCATCCTATCGCGCTTATTACCATTTTTTGATATACGATGTGTTGAATCGACGTTGCCAGTGGTCGGCGGCTTTGCGAAGCTGTCTGCAGAAGAGATCGCAGCGGCTAAGGCCATCGGGCTTCCCATCGCTGATGACGTGATCAACAAAGGCGAGATTGTCTGCAATCATTTATGGAAAGCGCAGGGGCCTGGCAACGAGGGGCAGTTTTTCTGCGTAGGATGGATACGCAGGTCGGACTGCAAGTTCGATAGGAATCCCAAGGTCGATAAGTTGGATTGCGGTTTTCGATTCACCGCCGAGCAGGTCAAGAACAGTGCGTCGCAACAGGTCGCAGATCACATCACCTGTGTACATCTGACATGTCTTGCAGGGCAGGCCATGTATCCGAATATCGCCTGGGACAGGCACAGCACGTGGGGGCTGGACTGCATGACGAAGCAACAGATCGACGCGCGCGCGACGTACTACCGCGGCACAACGAACACAAACCCGGCTGCCGATATCATCCGTTCTCTCCGGTCAGCCCGTAAGTCTTCAGAAAAGTTAATTACCGCGTCGATCTGACAGGAAGTGCAGCGATCACGCTCGAGAACTTCCGTGAGTCTGCCGATGATGAAGATACGTTACCCACGTTGACTTGAATCGCCAGCGTTCAACAAAAAGATAACCGCTCCTGACGCTTTGATCATGTGGGGGATTGCAGATGGATCGCTGAGCGGTCGGACGGCGGGCCCGGCAGCATCTGGGTCGCGGGCGCAGCAAGGTCCTAGTGTGCCGCGGCCACTGCAGACGTCGACACCTCCGCCGTCGCCCGAGAAGAAGCGGAGAGCGAACGACACTGCGTCCGTCCGGCCTTTCGACCCTCGGCGATGATTAGTGGGTCGTGAATGTACGTCACCTTGAACGGGCATGATCAGTGTACTAACTGGCGCCAAGGTAGCCCGGACATGTCATTTCTTGCTGGCCAGGACTTTTTGCATCTTGGGATTGTCGATACGTCAGTATATATGTATGATCACATGTACGTTATGATACGAGGAACACGGGAATTTACTTCGGTTACGAGAAGGCAGCGACGACCGGTAGCGCCAGGCGTGGATGTAGCATAGTTCTACCGGAAGAGGCACACGATGCTGAATGGTACGCAAGCGGTTGGGAATGCATCCGCACATTCCGGGCGATCCTAACGGGCATTCTGAGTACGGGATAGACGGTAGTGCCTATTCGACAGAAGAAGAGAACATCAGCAGGCAACACAGTCACCCATCCGAGGCGTGAAGGTAGTCTCGTAACCAGCCTGCTCTCGCATGGGTTGGTGAGTGGAGGGCCCCTATCGCAGAGTTCTCCCTCCCCTCTCATGCGGTAGCAGACTGGTTTCGAGGCTAGTGTGAAGGGCGCGCGGCGCGACGGTCCGCGCGAAGAAGAAACGACCACCCAAGTCGTGTAATGACCCGCAGGGCGACGACCTCCAAAGCGCCACATGAAGAGACAGGAACAATTGAGAGAAGAAAGGGAAATCGATGTATTGCATGCATATGGTTGCCGCCAACGAGCGACGTGCAACTATATACGGTTGTAACCCAGACGTAGGCGTAGTCACCACACGCATACCGTACCAACGACTGTGGAATATATACCTATTACACGTGGACAAGCGAATGGTCGTCAGCGAGCAAGACGCGAGCGAATGCCATATTGGATGTCATTCTCAAGGGCCTTCTTCTCTCGCCATTCGCAGTCTTGCATATACTTACTCGCAGGAGCTAGACCGAGGCCATGATCGTGAGAATGCAGTCACGAAGATTATCGAGCAATAACGTACTAGCATCTCCGCACGTTCTCAACCGATACCCCTTCCGGGTTGCTTCCGGGTTCCTATCACCCATCCTCCAGGCAAATACTCGACGGAGGTGTTCGTCGATGAGCCCGTCGTCCATTGAGAACGATGAGACGCCTATGATGGGTGACTCATCGTCGCCGTCATGCTCCATCTTGCTGTCGCCCTCGTCCGTGCCCTCGCTCTCGCCGCCGGCTTTGCTCTCGTTCTCGCCACCGTCCTTGCACTCGCGCTCGCCGCCGCCGCCCTTACCCTCGCCGTTGTCGTAGCCGTCATAGCCGCTTCCAAGGTCACTGCTAGTCCCTGCTATAACGTCATTGCTTCGGGCGCCTCTCGATTCTGGGAGCACAGGGGCGAAATGTTAGCATGATGGATAGTCACACGGTCCTAGTAGGTAACATACCTTGAACGTTGTATACCGACGAGGTCTACTTGATGATATGTGCTGCAACGAGTTGCGCCCACTCGGGAACAGCGCCGTCTTCGCGCATAAGTTCCGCTTCGAGCGCGACTTGGGCGGCACGAGCGTCGCGGATGACCTTCTTCCTCCCTCCTGGCGCCATTCGCTTACGGTAAACGATGCGCATCTCCTGATGAACGCGAACACTCCCCAGCGCTCGAACATGGTCCTGGAGCATGGAGACGAAACCATTGAGCGTGCGCGGTAACGGCAGCAAACGGTCGCCATAGCCCCGATCGAAGTAGATGGGTGGCATGGTTCGCTCCGCCTGAGAAATGAACTCGTCGCCTAAGGAACGCGAAGGGAAGATCAGGTCAGCTACGTTTGGACGCGAATGACAGTCCCCACACCTTGTGCCGTGCATAGACCACCAGAGAAGACCTGCATATTTGAGATCCAGATCGCGGTCATGACCCCCGAGAGCGCTAACGGACGATCAGCTTGAGGCGAAGAGTGAACAGTTGGGCAGGCGCACCTGATAGAGCCTCGCAAGCGAGGACAGACACAAAGTAGAATACAAGTGATGTTCGTACAAAAAGATTAGAGTCCTTGGCGTTACGAGTGAAAACAGCAGATAGCTGGGTGAGCTTGGTCAGTGACGCCTATGTCCGGTGTATAAAGATACGCTATATCGAGCCTTTCCCAGAATGCAGCCCACGGGAAAGAACGGGAAAAGAGGCGAAGAAGCAGGCGGCGATAGACCATCAGTTGAAGTCGAGCCGGTAACGCGTCGTCCTCGGTAGGAAGATCCTGGCAACTGCGCGTCTTCGTGTCTGATAAACCCAGAACGTATTCCACAATCGTGACCCGCGGCTGTACTGAAGATGCGTCATCTGAATCAGCGACGTGCTTAGTCTCATCGCCGCTGTAAGTCATGTCAGCAAATAGAACGAGAGTCAAGAACGGGCGACACGAATGCACTGACAGGCGAAATACATCCTCATGCCCGTAGGTTAACATGGGGTATCATATCTTCATTAGTGACAGACTCACGGTAGTTCTCGAGCATGATCGCTGCAGTTCCTGTCAGATCGACATGGTGATCAGTTTTGTATGAAGACTCACGGGCCGAGCGGAGGGACCGGATAATATCCACAGCAGGGTTCGTGTCCGTTATCCCGCGGTAGTACCTGGCACGCGAGTCGATCTGTTGCTTCGTCATGCCGTGCAACCCCCACGAGCTATGCCTGTCGCAAGGCGATATTCGGTTAGAATGCTACAGGAATATGGTGAGAGCAACACACGAGCGTACACAACACTGGCGGCTGCAGCCACAGCGGCCAGCAATCGTATTGGACCGATGATACGCGCAATCCCGGAAGAATGCTGCAATGAGCTTTATGCTGTGCGCGAGCCTACTAGATGGTCAGACATGGCCAAACAGTAAACACAGAGAGTCAGACGCGCCCTTTGGCACGGTCAGCACGAGCGTTAATCAGACCATACACGCTCGTCATGAGATTGTCCTGGGGTAGAAGCAAGACAGGCCCCTCGTCTGGTAGCAGCCATGGACAACCGTCACTAGATGTATCGGTGTCTAGCGCCGAGTAGAATAGCGCACCGGCAAAGCGTGAGACCGGTGTCGAAGGTATGTCTGCTAGAGCAACCTTGACAATGGTTGGCACGATGGCAGTGTCTAGGGCGCACCGTCAGCATGGAGCGAGCGAGCGAGCGAGATACGAGTACGAACCGGTAAACCATGAATATATGACTGCTGTACGAAAACGCTCGGGCGACAGAGTTTGATTCAGACTGCGCATCAGGCCGAGGACGCCGTACTTTGACGCGCTGTACTCTGGTCCTTTGGAAATGGGTCGCCACGACGCTGTTGCTCGTTCAGCGTATGAATGGTAGCAGAGTCATAGTATGCCGCACACAACGAGCCCATCAGGATGATAGCCTTGCAGTGATCCGCTGTTGTGGATGGAACGCGCCGAGATGACAAGCTGCGATGAGTTCAGTCACTGGTCTAGGCGACAATAGCGCCGAGTTGCTTACTGTAGAAAACTCCGACGAGGTTCACTTGCAGGGTCTTCAATGCCGGCGGCTGTGGTTTCCCATTCTCGAAGGTCAACGAGCCTTGGGCGGGGTTCCCAATCTCGGTCAAACCTGCAATTGCGCACTGTATATAGTGAATCGTGACTCAACGCCTTCCAGGTAGGAAGATGCATTCCACTGCGTCCACGGAGCCGAAGCTCGAGATAGCCAGATCGAACGATGCGACTTGGTTCTCCCGATTCAACACATCGCAGCGCAAGAAGACCGCATCGCTAGCGAAGAGTGACGTCCTGGCACGTAGTAAGTCGGCGACAAATGCTCCTTGATTTTGCCGAAGACGGTCTTCCCTCCGGATATGTCCAAGTCTCCTACTACCACCTTCGCACTGCGTCAAAGCGTCAGCAAGCCCATCCACTGTACCGTCAAGTCAATACACGCACCCGTGCTTCCCAAACGTCAATGCGATTTCCTTCCCAATGCCAGTTGCGCCGCCAGCAATCACAACGACGCGACCCTTGGCGCGCGTGGCGTTCTTGTATGGTTGATAGTCGGTCATGGTGGTCATGTTTCAAGTTGGTAGCGCGATGCGGCATGAGTGCGCCTCCTTATGCAGCGGTACATGCTGCCTGTGATAGATCATCTACTCGGATATCCGAGGCGACGTCTATAATTCGACTTCATTATTACGGTGGACCGGACGGGCGCAGAAGGATACTTAAATGTCGTGATTCTGGTCATGGAGAGACTGCGGTCAGGCGAGCATGTCATGGTGGGCGATGACAAACCCGACTCGGACGTGTGGCGTTCTATAGCGCGGAGCCGCGGGAACCAGCATTATTGCTTGCGGTGTCGCGTCGGCAGGCGTCGGCCCATTCGTCATCTTCCGACAGCCACCACCAGGCAGATTATTGTATTGACATGCTAAACTCAACCCAGGGACGCTCTTATAGCTATCCGTAATGCGCGTGCGCGTGTACGCGGACAAGTTCGAGTTTTTGGTACCGTCAGGTCTTCAATCTTTTCTACAGGGCCGAGTACAGCACTGCATATCGACTTACGATAACAAGGGCTGCTTTTATCCTGGTGATTCTGAGAGGTACTTGCTTCAACATCGCCTTACGACACTCTGTTTCGCGGGGAGAGCAGGATGGCAACGCCGTTCCGGTTCATCTTTGTGTTAGCGCTCTGTCTGCTTGCCTAGGCGCTACCCCGAAATCTCGCCCGAGCTTCGCTTCCTGGCCTCCATAAGGCTTCAATCGCAGAACTACAGGAGGGTCTGGAGAAGAGGCAATCCACAAGTGTCGATCTCGCCAAGGTATGACAGAAAGCCCTTCCTTCAAGTCTTGTTTGCTGTACTGACCCCGTGCCTACAGGCGTACTTTGCGCGCATGATGATGAGGTGAACCCACATGGGCCCACCCTGCGCGCTGTCATCGAGATGAATCCCTCCGCCCTTGCTCAGGCAGAAGCGCTCACAAAGAGCGCTCAACCTCTCGTCTACGAGGCCCATTCCATGGCATCCCCACATCTTGAAAGACAACATCGCCACTCGGGCGTCTGTTGGCATGAATGCAACGACTGGTGCGCTCAGAATCACACACTTTTCCGTCGGGAATCCTCTCACTCTTCTGTCACAGGCTCTTTTTGCCCTCCTCGGCCCGACTGTACCGCACGACGCAACAGTTGCGGCCAAGCTGCGCGCTGTTGGTGCATTATTCTGGGAAAAGCCAACTTATCCGAAGGGGCACACTTCCGCGGCAACCTCGCGTCTGAATGGTCTGGTCATGGTGGGCAGGCGACCTGCGTACTTCCCCGGCGCGGATCCGAAAGAATGCTGTTCACGCCAACAAGACTCGATCGTTCTCGGCGCTCTCTCGGTCTCCGGAATGACAAACATGGGCATATTCGCTCTCGAGCACTGGAAGCTGAGGCGGGACGATCTTGCTGCATCCGCAACTCGTGTTGAACGGTGAGGCCCGAAGGTTTGTTGCTCGATCACATTGTTCCCGGCGAACATTCAATATATTGACAATTTGTCTGTCAAGGTCTGCTTTGGCGTTCTATATGAACTGGACAAAGTGGTTGTGTCCATGCAAGACGGACAAGTGTCTTATTGTGCTGATACGTAGTCTAGGATAGCCAAACATATACAATTGCGCCGACTTTGCGTTGCATCCATCACGATGTCTAGATCGGCATGAATCGCGAAGAATTGTGCGCCAGTACTGTACTGTCCGTTAAGCGGCCCATGGTATTTGTGCAATAGGTGCACTGACACTCGGTCACTTCATTCAACCTATTATTCCCGTCTTGGATGGTCCTGCACCCCGCCGCATTCCGTAAACCCTGACCCTAACGTCGGGGTAGTCGCCCATTGGGCGCGACAGTGCAGTAAGTACTAGCTACTATGCACAGTAGGTACCGGTCACACGCGAATTGGATTCGAGAAACATATCATCAGGAAATGGATGTACTGTAAGGCTAGTACTATTAGCCAAGTCCTCGTAACAGAGTCCGGCTCTTCAATTTACAAAGATAATCCCGCAAATACAGCCATTGCACCGACTACTGCTCCTCCTACAACCTGGGCCAGCCCATACTCACCGTTACGTCTGGTCATGACGTCAACATCTTTTGTCAACCTATCATGTACATCTCCGACCGCGGCATCTTCCGTGCCAATAACCAGTAGCGCCTCATTCCCTCGCCTGCTATGTTCCGGGATAACCACGGCTGTAGAGAAGCCAAGTTTCTTCGCAGATGGCTGCAAATGCTCTACTTCCCCAGTAGGAATAGCGTAGACCGACACCGGCATACGCGCGGCGACATGATCAAGGTCTTCGAGAAATTCGATGCGCGCGTTCATGCTTGCGGAGCGGACGAGCGGACACGACAAATGGACAGCCGCAGTGGATTCCCCCGTTGGCGTGAGAGACAATGGTTCTTGCAACGGAACCAAGAGCTCCTCGAATGTCTCCTTGGGCGGGCTGGACGGAGGGTTCGATGTTTCAGACACGAGGGAGCTGTTTGTGGGTTGTAACAAAGTGCCAGGCATGAGGTGTCCGCGCCTTCGTCGAATCCTAGCCTTCATGAAGGGGTCCTTGATAGCTGTAGATGCACTAGAAGTAGCGGAGGTGACCATATCCGCAACATCTGAATCGATGTGTAGAGAATCCAGGGCATCCGCGAGGTCCAAAGAAGGGAAGTCCTGTCTTATCATCAATAGTCGTTTCAGGTGAGATGTGGTAGGACTCGCTGGGGATGGAACACTTCCAACACCTGACTCGAGATGCAGGGAGCTGAGATTGCCGGCAAGGTTGGATGTGGGAGCGTCCCATAATCCAACCTTAGGCATCTGATTCGGGCAACCCTGCCGCGGGTGACCCTTGCGAGGTTTTTGGCATATTGTGCAGTGGGGCATCTTCCTTCCTCGTGGGGTAGTAGAGAGCACCCTGCCGACGTTATCTTGGATTCTGGCAGGAGACAGAGCAGCGCGGGTAACAGGGGCCATGCCGACACCAACTACGAGACGAGAGCGACGCAAGAACGGATGTAGCGAGAGAATAGCGAGGATGCTGCAAGATTGTGTATCCTCTCGTCCGGCGCGTGTTTTATCTTGCCAATGCAATAGAGCGACTCAGTGGTAGAAGCCGTGTGCCAAATCCAGTGATAGAGGAACGTGGATGATGGTGAAGTTGTAGTTCAAACGTTCGGGTTTGGACGACCCGCTTCCAGAGCTCAACTATGGTAGCACAAGGAGGTGTGTAAGATTGAGGCACTCTGGTGTACCGGTGTCATGCTGCTTTGCGGCGCTGGAATCACCATCGCCGCGTGTTCGATTCTCGAGATAACCACTGGCTGGCAATACAGTTCTTTTTGCGGCGAGGGTAGTCACAGACTCCCAGAGTATCCTTCCTAGAACGCGCTGTTTGAACGACGTATTTGTGGCATTGCAGCAAAATGTCTCATTTCACCGCAGCGCCTGCAATGCAATCCGCGAGGAAGCTGCTGCGCGACGCGTTGATGGGTGTTCTACTGCATCACAATGCAACTTGCGCATGACTACCACTGCCTCTGTACCAATCCGTTCGGTGCTGGTACCGGTCTAGATTATCCATCAAGAACGCTATACAGATTTGGTACAAGTGGCATCTTTGTCGCTAATGTCCCTTTTGCGCTACGACTGACAACGTGGTGGAGCAATAGATGTCGGATGGGCAATATACCGAGACATCACTGAAGGCGTCTTCGCGGGGTAGCAAGACGAACTGCTCTTTACGCAACACAGGCTCTGTCAGCAATAGTGGCGGTGAGTCACCCTCATAGCCTGTTCTCTTTCGAGTCACGCTTATAGCTCACTCTTCTGCATAGCCGTTCTACCTGCTACTCCTCCCCCAACGATGCCTTTTATTCAAGGCGCAAGCATGGGATCGGGAGATCTTAGCGATGGTGACTTTGAAGATGGAGTACTAGCATTGCGCTCGGCATTGAAGCACTTCGCGTATGTCCCGGCGCGACCTGTCGGCAAATCCTCAGGCACAAGAAGGGCTCCCTTACGACCCATCTCAGTGACAACGCATGTTTCCGGCAAGGCAAGCTCTTCCTCCAGACGCGCCCATAAGCCGCAGAGTAGTCTACTTGCGAGCATAGGGACCAGGCGGCTCGCGAGCCTTCGGAGATGTGTCTGTTGCCAGCTGGAGTGGACTGCAGTGAAATCGCCCACGACGAAAGCTTCGCATTTATCTAGATGCGCTCTTGCGCATGCCATGACCGACTCGGTGGTGCAAGATCGGATTCACGAAGAATTGGATGGCGTATCACCGCCTCTTCATTCTGAGGACCCCGGGCGTGTAACGAACAGACCGCATGCCTCTCCATCACACCACTCTTCCTATCTTGAGGATATAGTATCCAAGTCCAAACCAAACAAGCGTAAGCGCCGCTGTGCGGCGTCAATGACCATTCAGAGCCCCAGCCTTTGCCAGAGCGACATCGTCAGCCGTGCGCGCACCATGCTACAATACGAGGACGCGGTAGCAGGAGATTCGTCGGCGCAACATCCCTTGACAAGATCCGGATCGGGGATTCCGCTGGGTTGGGCTAAATCAACTGTGCAGAGCGGCACAGCTGATACCCCAGGGCCCCTCGTCGACGAGTTTAGGCTCCCGCCGGCGACTCCATCGTTTGCACCATCCCGATTAGGCGCCCTTTATGCACGTCAAAAAACACCCATGTGCATGCCACAGTGGTGAGAGGGCATTGTTATTGTGATCACGCTGCGGGCGACTGATATCGTCTCTAGAACGACTTGCCTGCAGCCCGAAGAAGTCACAATCCCTTCGAGTGGCGGTGATAGTTTTCACCGCTAACACAGCGCCGGATACTCAGCCTGGTGTCGGTCAAAGCGGGTCGTAATGTTATCTATGTAATGTGTGGAGGAATGTCATTTTGTACTTCGCTAGCTATATGCACATGTAGCAGCCGTGTTCTTGTCCGAGGAAGGCAGTACGCATTGAAGCATCCTGTTGTGCGTTAATTTGTAGAACGAGGATACCAGGTGGCGGTACGTGGGCGACAGCTAGCGGAGGGCGTGTAGCAGAGTCCACCGCGCTCCAGGCGTCATGACTACAAATAGCGAGCACCTCGGACGACGACTTCCATCATGCAGTCGTATGTGCTTTACTGTATGTGACGAATATCTGCCACGCTCCCACGCGACGGAGGGATAGCCCGTATCTCAAGGCGACCACGGCATTACAATGACAATCAGTACAATTGACGAGAGGTAATAGCATTAGCATTTTTGGGAACATAGGTGTAAGACAGAACCACGGAAGGAGTCTGTGAGGGGGCGAAGACCTCGCGCATCCGCGCGCCCTCGAGCGTCGTTCCCGGGAGTCTTGATAGACCGGGTGTGTTGGGCTGCGTGACCACGAGGATGCTAGGCGTTGAGCACTGCTGCTTGAATGTGTCGATGCTTCGTGTCAGGGCAGAGAGCGACGGCGTGTACGAGGAGACTATAAATTTGTACACGCGCGGCCCTGAATCATCGTTGTACAGGCCCGCAGCATGCAGTGGCAACTGCGTCGACGGACCAGTGGGGCACGAAGTGATGTGGGGAAGGCGGCCGGCATTTGCGTCCTGTACACATACATCTTAGCTGTTTGCAGATAGGACCCGGAATATAATGCAACTCACTACGATGTCCAAGTGTAGTGCTTTCAGTATCGGGCCCACAATCCACCTCCAAAGACGGTCTAGGATGCCATGAGGAGAGGCGGCACCAGGCCGATATCGCTCCGAGGTGGCTCGCTCGCGAACTCTTTCCTGCTCGGGATATGCTGTCCACTGAGTGCGTAGCTTCTCTGCCTTGTCAAGAGACAACTGCGGCAGAAAGACTACGGCAATACGTCCATCGGGAGGAAGAATCAACGCATCACATCGAGTATGATGAACATTAATAAAGACCATGGTGCCGCTCAGAGGTGAAGAGGAGGGCAACAAAGCGGACAACTTCTTCGGGAGTAAGAAGTTCTCGAAGCCAGGCAGGCGACGAACTTCTGCGAGCAGGTTCCCGTGTTTGATGGCGAGCCCTCGATGGCGATCTGACGACTAATTGCCCTGCCCTGTGACAGGAACTACATTCAACATCAATCCAGTAGCATCACTTCCAACCGACGCATTGATGGAATTCCGCAGTTGGACTCGCACGTCCTCGAGAGCACGCGCGAGATCTGGACGGATTTGCTCGAGTTCGTGCAGAGGGTTGCGCAATGACATCGCCTGCGTCCATATGAGGCCTCTTCCCGCATCCAGCCATTCCACGGCTCGTTGCAGAGCATTGACACCAATGGCAGTGCTCACAGCAGAGTTGACGAGCTGACCAAGCTTCTGAGACTCTTCTAGACGACGTTTCATGTCATGTCCAAGCCAGACACTGAGCTCGGAGAGAACATCGAGGACACGAGAGTGGGCAGATAACAGCATCTCGGCTGTGCTGAACTCAGGGTTTTCGTCGAGGAACATGAGAGCATGTAGGGCTATCTGAAGACGGATTGCTGGCGAGGCCAGTGATTGAGAGCTGGCAGCCATGAAACATGAAAGAGCATCAGTGAACCGATCCGTTGTCCTTTCTCGGCGAAAGTCATCCACCAGAATGAGTGCCAAGTTATTCAGCCGCATTGCCTTATTGGGTTGATTGTCCACAGTGAGGTCTCTGATCTACAAAGGCGTTTTCGAGATCTTCGAGCTTTTCGAAGCGTTGAAACGAAAGCCACTGTAAGCCTCCGAGGTTATCGAGGCGCACTGACAAGGCGGGGTGGTCTTCCGGAGTAAGTTCGATCGCACGGCGTTGAATCGTGATGGCGCGCTCGAGGTCAACGGGGTCGTCAAGACGCTCAAGGCGACTGCGCAAGGACAAAGCGAGGTTGTGCAGCCGCATCGCTTTATCGGGATGGTCTTCCGGAGTCAGCTCGATTGCACGCTGTCGACTCGCAATAGCGCTCTCGAGATCCTCGAGCTTCCCGAAGCGTTGAAAACGATGCTCCTGCAACCCACCGAGGTTGTCGAGGTACGCCGGGAAGTTGGGATGGCCATCCGGAGTGAGCTCGACGGCATCTTGTTGCATCTCAATGGCACTTTCGAGGTCTTTGACTGTACCGAGAGCTGAAACACTGAGATTGTGCAGACACAAAGCCCTGTCTGGGTGTCCTTCTGGTACGAGTTGGAGGGCGCTTTGCTCTGCGGCGATGGCACGATGGAGATCATGAGGATTCCCTCGAGCTTGGTAATAGAGATTTAGACAATGTCCTAGCTCGCCTAGCGGATACGCTGTTGGTACGTTTGCAGTGTCCACCGCTCGTTGAAATAGAGCTATGGCCCTTTGAAGATGGACTAGATCCCCCGTCTGCTTGTACGAAGCATATGCACGCTTGGCAGCATCCACATCATCAACTTCCGAGCTTTCGGAAGTCGAAGCCGTCGTATCCGAAGGTTCCTGTCAGTTCGTCAATGAAAGTGCAAAGAGCAGGACGATCCGCCAGGTGTTGGCGAACTCACCTCGGGTGGTACAAGAGCTTGCTCTTCGACAGAATCTTGTTCTTCATCCATCGTAAGGCAAGCAACCTGCGGCGGGAGATGATCAGTTTCAGAACGAGGTATTGTCGAAAGGAGAGAATGCTCACAGCGAGCCGCGCGGGTAGATGCACTTGAGGTGGAAAAGAAGCCGATCGACGAACTCAGTCGGAGGATATATAGTAGTGTCAGTGAGAACGCTAGGACATCGTTACTTCGCTGGGAACCTAAGGAAGCCGCGCGTCAACACAGCCTTGCAGGCGCTCGATGAACGGAACACCCTTCAGCATACGGTTGGACTTCGCCAGGGTCCCAAGTCGTAGTAGTAGTTAAACTCGGAGATCGCACATAGTGGATTCAGTCAACACTCATGAAGGAGATGGCTCGTGGATACAATATGCACACGTAGATTGAACCAGCCATCGAGTATGATGGAATTTACTATCAAATAACAAGCAGGCTGTGCAGGCAGTGCACAAGTACACCTTTCCGGCAGGCGATGCATCGACAATGCAACCATATGCTCTGGACGCAGACGGGCGGGAGCAATGGCTGTAGCGGGCCTCGGCGGTGTCCTAGTACCCCCACGGTCGTGCTAGAGAGACGCACGGCACAGCCTACGCGGCGCGAGGCAAATACGGGGGTATACGTGTTGCATATGATGAATCATGACGCCGTAAGACATGAGAATGGCTCGGGTCTGCAGATGTATGAGTATCTGGAACGAGCTATGACGGTAGTGTGCGCGCACCTCTGTCAGGAAATAGGGCCGGGGTATGTAGCTCCCGTGCCCGGATGATCTTGGTCGTCTGCATAATGCGCGAGTGAATGGGCGCCTTTGCCGTAGCAGTTGGCGCGTCGTCGAAGCCAGCATTGGGTACAAAGAAGAAGAGCGCAGCGTTGAGCGCGTTGTATGCGCTGCGGTCCAAGTGCAGTCGAACGACGAGGCGAGTTAATGCGTGCAGGATTGGGGAAGCAAGCATGCGCTCCAGATTCTGAAGTTGTTTGCACGGAGTGCAGTAGGCCTGTTGCAGCGGCTTGCGTGTCTTCCCGCCAGCGCCCCTGCCTTCCGCGCAGATTCACCGGACGCCGTCGAGTGCAGGCATCCCGCTGTGCGGTCGTCGCATCTTTCTCCACGTTCTCCGTTCCATGGTAGCGGCCTCTGCACGATAGGCTATGTCAAATGGCACCAAACAGGTCCTCAAGGGGCGATGAGATGTGGGAAGGCCATGGTGGTAGTAAGTAGGATAGATGCTCGCACTCGCGCGCGTTATGATTGATCTGCGACCATCATATCCTCTATCCGCCCCGGAGCTTGATCATCAACGTATCAATGTGCCCAGGCCACCTCAAAAGCTTAAAGGCGAGCGTCGTACGGTACGCGGTCACATGCGATCGGAGCCAGGAAGACTCCGCGTCGATGAAGAGATCACTCGGCGCTACGTGCACACCGCGCCACGGTTCATCTGCAACCGCCATATACTCTCTCATTATGCACCTCCTCACAGGCGCCTCGGTCGTGCGATACGTACGCGGTTACATGTGATGAGCTCCCGAATAGAGCCAGGAAGACTCATCGCCACTTGCAGCAAGACTCGACAGAGCTCGCTATGAGGTCCACTGGCCTGTCGCGAGTCGATTGGGCAGTCGGCATTCGCGCGGAAGATTCGGGTTTGGAGAAGGACCAGGAGAGGTCGACACACTCATACGCGTGCCATGGTGCGTCGCGGTGTCTACATGAGTTCGCATATACTGACACACTGCTGCCTAGCACATCCAGGGTGCTGACGCACGGCGATCGCCCTAACCTTGACTCCCCGCCACTCGCCTCCACACCCTCGTCCGTCTCGTGCTCAGCGCCGTGCTCGCTACTTAGGTGAGCATCATCTCCGACTACTCGGCATGTACTGTCGCTGACCATCGCTTCCAGCTCGGGCGCTAGCTTGCACGCTCGCTCACCCGAGATATACAACCACACCGGCGGCGCGGGCGCTCTCTTGCTTGGATGCCTCGTACGAAGGAGAAGGAGACAAGAACGCCTACATTCTCGGGCGCCAACTGCCAATCTGTTCATCAGCTCGGAGGGTCAAAGTACTCCTACGTCTATCTCCATACGTCGCGTCGTTGTATTTACCCTCCCCCCACTGTTCAGGCTAAGTTGTCGCTGACAACGTCCTACAGTACCCCGGCTCCTCGCTCTATTGATGCATACGACCTCACTGGTGATACTCTCTTCGGGCAGCCTGAAGGCTACAGCGGTAAATCGACGAGGACGAGTACGTTTTTGAACGCTGGCCGGCCAGTTCTGACGTCACGCCACGACTTCCATCAAGCGTAACGTCCACGACCTCCCTGGTGTGGACGACTCCCCTGTTTGGCTACGGCCACGAAGGACGCGGCGAATACGGCCAGGGAGATGCCTGTATTCTCCCAGCGCGACTACGGCGCGCCATGTGCTCGCAGGCCCGACCTGAGCGACTTGACTGGCGGAATCGGCGCGCTGCTTTTGGCCTACTCCGAGTGCTTCGGTTGAACGTAGCGACGAGGACGTATACGCTCCGACGTGCCAACTCCAGGGTCTTGATCTCGGTCAGCATCGAAACAGCAACGCCCGACGGCCGCGAGCTCATGGTATCACCTCATGTCTCGACGTCGGCATTATTCCTTCGGGTTCAGGCAGCACTGTCGCTTCCGGTGGCGAAGCGTGGTAAGATGATATCAATATTTATATATATACCTCTTCTGCAATACTCCTGTACATTCGATGCAGTAATGAAGGAGATTTCTTTGCTTCGCTTACGCATAGCGTGATGAAACGCAGCCAATCGGATCCGTCTTCCTGCCGTTTTTTCGAAGGCTTAGGTACGTTATTTCCTCATGTTCGTATCAGCTACACGAACTTGTCCACGCTACTCTCTACGCATTTTCTCATCTTCCTCGCCCACAATCGGGTCATATAGCCCACTGCAGGCACTTGCGTCTCCTCGTTGTACGAGTACAGCTTCACCTATCCCTGTGAGTGTACCCCAGAGGCTGGTGCTCCCCTATCCGTCGAATCCGCCTCACCTACGCCCATACTTCCGATAGGTGCAGGACTCCAATTGAGACGCGAGCAGCCGGACCGCACCGTGAGGTATCTTGCGAGGAATATATGCATGGTCGACGCGTTTGTAGCCCCGGTGTTCGTGTAAGACGGGACGATAGAGTCCGGGCATAAGGTATACTGACACGCTTGGTGCCGAGCGCGAATTCCCGGGGTGTTGGAGGACGACCCGGAATATCGAGCGTTAGGCGCACGAGTGCCACGCCGCTGGGTTGACCCGGAGGAGACCAGTCCAGACGCTCACACGCCGGGATGTAGAGAGACCCCTGCTCTCGACCGTAGACTAGAAATGAATGTGAGCAGAAGGAACGAAGGTGTAGTGCGAGAAGCGTACATACATTAAAAGCAAAGCTCCCAGAGAGCACGCGCGCGCCACACAGATCTCGACGTCAGTCGACGCTCGGCCATCAGTCGGACGAGCGAAGTAGCAGCACTCCTTCAAGGCTCAGTAGAATTCAGTATCTGTAGACGACCTCAGTACACGCGCTCAATGGAATGAGCCGTAGATACGCACCAGGGCGTGTACCACCCTGCGCAGCATCTCGGAAGGGGCGACAAGGCGCCGAGCAGCGGCGAGGATGTGAGAAGGGCTTGATCTCGGGCGGAGGCGACGAACGCAACTTGGAGGCGTATGACAGGCCGGCGGCGGTACATTCGCGCTCAGACGTTCTTCATCCCAGCTCATCAGAAAGGAGGGTTTGGAGAGCATGGAGATAGACGAACCGGTGTGACTTCTGCCGCGCTCGAGTAGACGCCAGTATTGGTGTAGCGCCAAGATCTTGGGGTAGTCCGACACCTTAACGGAGAGGCGCGCCGCTTGTATGCGGGCAGGGCACGACGCAGGATGCGCATGGGTGGCCGGCATCCGCATCCGCCTGAGGCCCCCCGTCCGCCTCCACTCCCTCTCATGTCCTACGTTGTCCTTCGGCGTGGCGCCGACCGAATGCAGACGTTATGTGGACTAAATTGTACTCGCGAAGTGTCGCGCAAGGACGATGCCTTTGCTAGACGGCGATGCGGTCCAGCCAGACAGACTATGTAGTATGGTGTTGGGCCGGTTGTCCAAGTGGGATGAGACGAGGAAAGGTCATGATACTTAGTGGGAAGAGACCGCGCACGACGCCCGTTGCGATTGGACCGTGCTCAAGTCGCAGGGCTTGTGCAGCCGCGCTCGCAGCAACCACCATCATCATGGTCTTCCCGCACCGTCAGCGCAGACGACGACCTTCTTCGATAAGTGTCATAGGGCCGCACGCGGCGAAACCCGCTACGGTCATTGACCTATCGACAGCCTTTGCGGCCCGCAGTCCCATCGAAACTCATGAATGTCGCGCGAGAAAGCATTGGACGGGGACAAGCATATGCAAGACAAGCAAGGGCATGGGGCGGTCGGACGAATAGCTGTATCCAGTCCCGTCACTAGTGCCTCAAGTCCAATGCAAGCTCAAATCAGGAGGATCACACCGGCCTTGAGAGAGTGCGATCTGTTGACAGGCCGTATTCGTGCGACGATGGCGCGTCCATAGTCTTACGCGGGCTCAACGTGCACGTGTCGCCAAACCGATCCATACAACAGCTTGAACGAGTACCGGAGATCTCTACGAAGATATTGGAGCGGTCCTCGTACACTCTTTGGTCAATAGTTCTCTCGCATTCCCAAGTGTATTGAACGAGTGAATGTTTCTAACATGCGATCGTCATGGTGACCCTCGGAAAACGTCTTCGCATTGGCGAACCTCCGGTCGACCATAGTGTTTCGTAGTGAGTAGCTCTGCCTGAAGGTAGACTCATGCCGTCACAGCATAAGATCGTCGAGGTGCCAACGAGGTGCGCACACCTCGAGCCGCGTTCCGCGCCTCTCGGGCTTGCGCACCGAATGGTTCGCAAAACTCCCTACCTCGTCTGCAGACGATCACTTGATGTCGGTGGAAAAGAGAGACATGTATGGGATATGGCGCTATACGGCATAACACAGAGATTGCGAGCTGCACCGTCAAGCTTAGACTTGAAGTTGCAGGATCCGGAGCACTGCCAGTGGTCGTCAATGGCACCGGCAATCATTGAGGTATACGACGCGGTGGCCGGCAGGTCCCGCAGATATACGCAGAGATCCTCGCGGCCACGTATGGATCAGGCTCTTACTGCCTGGAGCGAAGGAAGATCGGAGGCAGGCTCTGATGCTGCTGTTTCAACCCTAACCTTAGAAGCCGCCGGAGCGCCCGACGGCCTAACGACATCAGGCACAATTTGCAGGCACACTCAAACGCCAGCCAAAAGCGATGTTGCTTTCGTGAAACCAAGACCCACTACTAACGTAGCGGGAATAGCGTGAATTATCACTAGTTGCAACCTCACTAGTTGCAACCCCTTATGAAACCCACCAAATTTGATGACACCTAGCAATCCTTACAGTTCTTTACAAAAATAGCGAAAACCTTGCAATGCTCGCAGCCAGATAATTCGATTAATCAGACCTGACTCGTATACTGGCCTTCGAACCCTTCACTGACCTAACGGCTGTAGTACCACCACTCAAGTCCTTCCACCATTTTGTCTTGTTTACGGTACCCTGTCGCGGTGTATTTGACCCCCCAATGATCATTGACTTCGCTGAATTCTTCACAATAGTCGTCAATCCGGATGATGTCCCTTTTCTCTGGACAGCCCCACTCTTGGCCACTTTCACTTCCTTCGCGGACATCGAGACGTCGTCTCTCTCATCGTCATCCTGCGGGTCATGCTTTCGTTTCCCCCCAACTACAGCGGGACCTTCAGATTTGCTCTTGACACGGAAGGAGGCCGTGTTGAATGGGCGATCCCACTGCTTGCGATGCAACCTGTATATTGCCATAGTCGCGCGCGCATCGATAACCTGGAACATGTCAGTAAGAGGATATATAGGCTGACTAGTCGCGTACCGAGCTATGCTCTCCTTCTTGGATAGCAATGCCCAACATCTCCCGAGCAAGATTTCGTAGTGCTGGATGTCGCGCTTTACTTTGACCGTGTCGGTGCGCTAGTAATTGTGTATCGCGTTGCTGTGCGCGCGAGTGCGATAGCATGAGAGCGTGTAGGTCGTTATGTACTGCGTGACCGACTAGCACGCGACCGTCCAGTAGACCCGAGACGAGCTTCTGAACCTCCTCAAACGGTTTGGCTGTACGAGAATCCGGATTACTGAACTGAGAGAAAGCATATCAAGAGTACACACCATGCACCATATCCGCGGGCCTGATACCTGAATACTGCGTGCGCCAGTCCGTAACGCGCTCTCGTTGCCGCACGAAGACGTCGAGCAAAACTGCCCCAGCATAATTCACGACCGACACTCGCGCCAGACTACTCTCATTGCCGTCCGGGCCAACGCCAACCATCTCACAGTCTATGGCGATATATGTTCCTGGCGCACGGTCCTTCTCGGGGAAAGACTCGAGGTCTTGCGGGGCGTATATCATGGAGCGAAGTGCGCCGAGCGACTCGCCGTTGACGATAGTCTTGTCGGAAAGAAGGGAAGCATCGAGAGATTTTGTTGCATTAGAGCGCGGACCTGAGGTCCTATTTCGGGGTAGGTCGGCGGACTCTGCGACTGGGACGGAGGTAGAGGAGGCGGCGGGCGAGGCATCATGGGCGAGTTTTCGTCTTTTACGAGGGGCAGAAGAAGCGCCGATAGACTACATACTATCAGCAGTATGATCTATCTTTACGATCCTGGTACATACTTTGGATAACGAGAGCCAGTTGGATGAGGCGCCCATGGTGTGTGGCGAAGTGGTGGTCGTCCGAAAACAAGTTGAGGTTCGGTCCGATCAGCCGCGTCGAAGCTTTGGCCGCGCCACCACGTCCTGACTCCTGACGTCGGTCTCTTCACTACGCTCACCATGTCCAGGCTGCTCAGGACATCCGTCTTGTGCGCTCGGCCATTAGCATCTACCCTTAAAGCGTCTGCACGTGTATGCTGTCGAAAATCAGGAGTTCTCGGGCGTCTAAACGCGACTGCGTGCCCGCGCGCATACTCAACTATCTCTGGACCCGTACCCTGGCGTGCGTCCCTGGTAATACTGCAGTAGCGCCGTCAAGCTGACGCTGAAGTCAAGGCAGAACCCTCGAATCCGCCTGAGTCTATCCTGTTCGTCAATAAGCTACATACGAAACCTGTTCTAGAGGCTCTGCATTCTTTTTTGGCGTACGTCGGAACTTCGCCTTAGAGCTACTCTTCGAGGCTGAACGCAATATACACGCACATCAGACATATCAGGTCAACTTACTCGGATGTACGCGTCTTCCATCCCGACACGCCCAATATCGCAGAAGGCGTGGAGTTGTGGCAACCTCGTACGTGATCTCGAGCTGCTATACTTCCTAGTTCTCAAGAGACTACAGACAACCCCGAACACAACATCGACCTCGTCATTACCTTGGGTGGCGACGGAACAATACTACATGCGTCGTCGCTCTTCAAGGTCGGTGCTGTGCCTCCAGTGCTCAGTTTCTCGATGGGCACCCTCGGCTTTCTTCTGCCCTTCCGTGCGTCAAGCCTCCCTGTTGCGATTGCCTACGACACTGACAGGTTGTTTATAGACGTGGACGACTTTGCTCGTGCGCTGGAGAGCGTGTTCACGGGCAAGGCGACGGTTCTGCATCGGATGCGCTTAATGTGCGAGTTCTTCGACAAGCACGGAGAGAAGTATACCGGCAGTGATAGTAAGCAAGGTAGGGGGCTTCGCATCGTCGCGGGCTTTGAGCTTATCCAGCTCGATAGACTGGCAGGTCATGAACGAAGTCGCCTTACACCGTGGTGCAAGCCCGCACTTGAACACGATCGACGCATTCGTCGACGGGCAACACCTAACGGAAGCAGTCGTACGTGGTTCACCCTGAACGCCTCCGCGCTCTCTCTCAATCCGATCCTGTGCAGTCCGATGGTTTGATCGTGTCCACGCCAACTGGCTCGACGGCATACTCGCTCTCTGCAGGCGGCCCAATCGTACATCCTTCGCTCAGCGCCATGGTCTTAACCCCCATTTGCCCACGAAGTCTATCCTTCCGACCACTAGTCTTCCCCGCCTCTTCCTCTATCACGCTTCGGGTGCGTACATGTCAACTCTACGTGTCCGTCATCTGCTAACAATCGATCTCAGATCGGTGATAACTCCCGTGCGCCCGCCGGTGTATCTATGGACGGCCAAGTCTCGCGTGTACTTGAGCCAGGCGATAGCGTCACAGTACGCGCCTCGGAGCATCCCATACCGTGCATCAACCGATCATCACTCGTGACGCTACCCGCGGGTGGAGAAGGCGTACCGCCAGGAAAAGAGGATGACTGGGTGCGCGACATCAATAATCTGCTGCAGTACAACGCCACGTTCAGGAGCAAGGCGCTCACAGCGCAGAGCAGTCGTCACTAGCATAATGAATCTACATACCTCATATTGCCGAGTGAATTCTACATCTCAGCGCGAGATACGGGGTCAACGCACTCTCACGCCACGATAAGAGCGCTCTTGACTGTCAGATCGTGTTTCATGATGTTTCGCTTTGACGAGTCCGAGCTCGTTCGGGCTCCGAACTCGCGCGCTTATTCTGACAACTCTCCTCTGTTCGCTTCCGGAACGCCACACCTGCTATAAAGCTTTTCGTCGATCCGTGTTTGCTGTGCTTCGCTTTTCTCGTGCAGTTTCTCAAGTAATCGTTCAAGGCTCCTCGTACTATGGGCCAACATTTCTCACTACTCGACCAATGGTTTCCTCCTCGTCCTCTCTGGAGCGTCGCTGACATCCCCGACCTCACCGGGAAGGTCGCACTCGTAACAGGCGGTAACGCGGGCATCGGGCGAGAGCTCGGTACGCTTGCATCCCTGACACACCCAATTCGCATGCTTAACACTGACGACTGGCGCAGTCAAACAGCTACTCACACGTAAGGCGACCGTATACCTCGCCGCCCGCTCCGAGAACAAAGCCACGCAAGCCATCGACGACCTCGAAACAGAAACGGGGCACCGCGCTCGTTTCATACGGCTCGATCTCGCAGACATATTCGCCGTGCGTGCTGCCGCAGCCGACTTCCTCGCGAAAGAAAGCGAACTGCATCTTCTCTTCGCCAATGGGTGAGAGTGCCGCCTTATCTAGGTTCTTGAGATCATTCTGATGATACCGATGCGTAGCGGCGTGATGTGGCCTGCGCACAGCGAGCTCACAGCCGACGGACTGGATCTCCAATTCGGCACCAACGTCGCGGGACACTACGCGCTCATCAAGCTTCTCCTCCCCGCTTTGCGCGCTGCTTCCTCTCCCGATAACAAGGCTCGCGTAGTTGTGACGAGCAGTATGGCTGCGTATCTCGCCACGCTACGATTCGGGAGCTTCGAGGCCGGAGAGACGCGAGATGGGATGACGACGTACGACCTTTACGACCAAAGCAAGCACGTACGTCTCGCCGCATAGTATCCGAAGCTGCTCATCGGACGCTGACTAACCATGGCAGGGCTCCGTGGTGCTCGCAAAAGAGCTTGCGAGGCAGTACGGAGACGTGTTGACCATTACCTCGTGCAACCCAGGCAACCTCCGCACCGAGCTACAACGCAACGTACCCCAACCACTCCGCTGGCTACTGCAGGTACATATCATCCTTCTCATCGCTCACTCTTCTGACTGATGCTGATGTGCTCGTCGTGCAGTATGGTCTGCTTTACCCTGTGCCGTACGGCGCCTTGACGCCACTCTACGCTGGCGTCGCGACCGAGACAGCAGACGCGAATGGAAAAGTAAGGTTTCGACTCCTGAGACTGCTATCGCTCTCCCTGCTTATACGGCTCATCTAGTTCTTTGTGCCTTGGGCGCGTGCGGGCGAATGCCGACCGGAGGCGAGCGATCCCGAAATGGGGAAGAAACTTTGGGCGTGGCTTGAGAGCGCCACAGGTGTATGAATGAAGGCCGTAGAGAGTTAAGCCTGTGATCACAACATGAGCCCATATGTATAGATGAATACAATACAGCCCTTCCTAAGCATAACGCTTTTTCCCGTCACTTTTTGCCCAAAGTCCGAGCCTTGAGGGACTGCATAGCGTAGATCTCTTGGAGCTGTCATTACACTTCGCTCGAGCATGCTGACAAGCACTTGGACAAGCAGGCCCTTCGTAACAACTATGCGTGGAGCGCATATAGTGACATGAGGAGACCTCACGCGCTCACCACCAATCGCATCATCTGCATGGCACAGACCTTATCCTGAAGCAAACACGAACTCCATTTCCTTCCTAAACAGATGCGTTCTTCCATCCCTTCTACTGTATTACTAGTCCATCGACAAGCTATTCTAGTCCATTCAAGCCATCGAGCCCTTGGTATACCATATCCACCCAGTCCCACCAAACCATGCGCACAGCAGATAACTTATCTCGAACTCCATCCATCCTCTCTTTATAGAGCACCGTCCGTGTCTACATAATGATGCACTCCTTCTCCTCAATCTTCGCGCTACTAATCCCCATCTCCTGGAACGTAGCCGGCCCCTTCCCAGGCGGCGGACGCGGAATAACCGTCCCTCCGCTCCCCTGCCTCCCACCAGCGCCCGGCCCACCCTGCGGCGTCTGCCTCCCCGACGGCGGGCCCTGCGACTGTGCCGCCTGCATACGCGGGCTGCCCTGCGGACTCGGCCTCTGCTGTGGCGGTGGCCCTTGCGGAGGCGCATCAGAGAGCGTGTAGCGCGCTGCATCTGGCCGTGCGCGCTGAGGACCGTTTGGTGGCTGTGCGGGACCGGGAGAGGTGGTGTAGCGCCCATGCTGTTGAGGACCGCCCGCGGGAGGCCTTCCGCGCCCCGGACCACCCTGAGGACCTTGTGGCATCGGAGGACCCTGCGGCATCGGCGGACCCTGCATTGGCGCGGGCGATCCCACAGATGTCTCCCTGATAGGCTCCATCGGCGCACCAGGATGCTGCTGCTGCATCCTGCCCTGTCCCTGCGGCCTCCTCACAGAGTTCTTGCGCACATTCGCGATGATCTGTTGTCCGTTCTGTGCTGGGATGGGCTGTGGAGGACCATCGGAGGGAGGACGGGCGTCGGAGCGGTTCTTGGCTTGCGTGCGTTTGCGGACGAGGGTTGCTTCTGTTAGTTGCGCGTGGGCTTCGCGGGAAAGTTGTTGGGAGGCGGCGAGGGCGGCGAGACGGTCGGATGCGTCTGTGTTGCCGTGTTGTGCAGCCTGTTGACAACAATCAGTATCTATACTATGAAGAGCAAGAGGGAAACGACGTACGCGTTCATACCACTTCCTCGCAATGTCAGCGTTCCACTCTCCACCAACGCCAACCTCGGCGTAGTATCCCATAGCAAACTCGGCAGCCGGCAACCCCTTCCGCGCCGCCTTCTCCGCAAACGTATACGCCAGACCCTCATCCTTCTCAAACGCGCCCTCAGCCCCACACAAGAACCACTTGCTAAGCGCCATATCCGCGTCCGTGCTCCCCTGCTGGCTCGCAAGCGAATAATACTGCACGCTCAACAACGGATCAAACGCGAACGGCGGCTCCGCAAACTCGTACGCATGTCCGAGCTTGTACTGCGCAGGCGCGTAATGGAGGTACGCCGCGCGCTCGAGGTGTCTCCTCGCTTCGGCCTCGGGAGCGGGTATCATATGCGGCGGAATCTGCGCGGGCGCGAACTGTCCCAACAAGAGCAAAGCGAAGACATAAGCGGGTTGTGGCACGCTAGTCGTAGCGAGTGTAGCCGAGCGTTGCAAGAGCGGTAAAGCCTGGGCCGGATTGGGCGGCAAGCCCAGCTGTCCGAGCAAATGCGCCATGCCCAATCGATAGAGACAGCTCTCGTCCGCGCGCTTGGCGCCGCGCTCGAAACAGTCTCTGGCATGCTGCGCGTCGTTGAAGCCCTCGTAGTCCCGCCCCAAGCGGAACCATGACCTATGAAAGCCGGCTCGAGCGGCTTTCTCGAAGTCGCGGAAGGCTGCGCGAGGATTTTGTTGGACGTGGGTCGGGTGTGCGCCGGAGGACTCGAGGGCTGCGCGCCAGTAGAGCGCTTCGGCTACGTAGAGCGGCAATTGCTGGTTCTGCGAGGGCGTGCTGGCCAGTTGCAAGACCAACGGTACAGCGACGTCAATCAGACGCTGCAGCTCGGGATCAGAGACGGGGATCGGGCCGGTGGGCGGGTCCGCGGGACCAGGTTGCGGCGTCGAAGCATCTGCCGGCGGCGCGGCGAGTCGTTCGGCGAGTACGAGGACGTCGCGTGCCCAAGCGAGCCGAGCGTGGGGCGGCGCGGCGGGGTTCTGGCCTGCGACACGTATTTTTAATTAGATCGTCGCACATCTCGCTTACAAGAACGTGACATCTCGACTCACCGGTACCGAGCCCAGCGATGAGCGACGAGAGCGTCGGCAGTGGAGCCGTCAGCGCCGTGCCGTCCTGGCTGATCGCTGGCGTGGGCGGCTGTCCGGGCGGCGAGGGCGATCCGATGGACATGCTCCCCATCGGGCCCGCCAGTGATGCGCCGGGCGAAGGGCTGCGAGTGATATTCCACGGACTCCAGTCGGATCCGTTGGGCGGTGGCAAGGGCGAGATACTGCGCCCGCCGCCGCCTGGGACGGGCATCTGGAAAGTAGGCGCCGGTGACGGGCCGCGTCCGTAGCTGGGCGGCGGCTGGTTCAGCTGGTTGTCGAGCGCTTGGGCCATCTACCACGACCGTGAGTATTCGTAGCCAATTTCGAACTGGTAGAACGCATACGTTTGCTGCCTGTTGTGGGTCTGCTCGTGAAGGTCGTGGGGCAACAAGCGGCTGCTCAAAGTGCGGCGGGCTAACGATGATCTCTCCAGGCGCGCCGGGCTGAAACGATGGCTGGTACTGCTGTTGCGGCTGCGGTGGCGGCGGCACGTTGGCGTAGCTGGCGTAGGACGTGCGGTTGTGGTGAAGAGGAGGAGGCGGAGGCACGTTCATCTTCTGATATATATATGTATGAAGCCTATAGAGTCCTCGTGCGCTGGAGTAGTGTTTCGATGTTGGGAGATCAGCGCGAGGCTCGTTGCTTATGACCTAGCGCGCCCGCATCGCCTCTGCCGAGCCACATGTCCGCAGCTTCGCACATTCACTTTCCCAGCGCACATCACCTCCTTCTGTATATCCGCCCTGCTCACAGCAGCCCACAGCCCCGGACGCACAATTCCTTTCAATCTGATCGGCGATAAATCATGACAGAGAACGAGTGTGGCTAATTTGGGTATCCCGGTATGTAGTACGAAACACAACGCAGTCAAAGCAAGTCGGAAAAGCAGAAAGAATGAAAGCATATATGAAAGAAGCCGAATCCAGAATTCCCGAGTTTCACAAGTCGGTCCCAACAGCATCCACCACATACAGCACCTGCGCCGGCCTCACAAATAACCCCCTACTGCTCTCCCCTTTCACCTCCCCGCCTTCAACCTTCGCCCTCTTGACCCTACTTCCCGCCAGCGCCTCGCTCGCCTCCCTCTTCCCCCCACGTATCCTCGACCCCGCCGTAAGCGTCGAGCTCATCTTCGAATGCCCCGACATGCTCATAGCCGGCCCATCCCACGCCTTCTCGCCCGCAAGCTCAAAATACCGTATGCCGCCCCACGACCCATCGTGCCACGGTCGTCGCCCGTCTTTATCTTTAGAACCCAGTGCTTCAATCGGCACCTCAACTCCGACCCACGGCCCAGCTTCGCCCGCCACTTCGCCGATATATCGTGCGTAGGCTCTGAACCTCGCGCGATGACTGGTGACGATACACGGTATCCCAACAGCGAGCGTGGCCCCTCCAGCCGGCGGCGGCGCCTCGTTCTCCTTCGCAGCATCCTTCGCCGCCTCCTTCCCCTTCTTCTCCCGAATCGTATCCGCGCTCCCGCGTTTGCGCACAGTAAGCGTGCTGCTCGTCGCACTAGGCGTCCCCGGCAGCTCCTTCTCGCCCGCCTTCCTGATCCTCGGCACAGGCGGCTTCTTCATAGCCGGACTGGCCGTGCTCCGCACACTCGCCACACTCGGCGGCCTCCGCCCAGGCTGGTTCGCAGGCGTAGACGTCGTCGCCGTCGACTTCGTACTCCGCACACTCGCCACGCTATGCGTACTAGCCGCGCTCGCCCTCCTCGCGCGTAACTCGGCCGTACTCGAGCCCACACCAAGCGTCGCGGGCCCCGTGGACTTGCTATTGCTCGGCACACGCGGTACAGGGCTCTTCGCGGGCGAAGCCGGGCTTCTCGCAATGGACGTCCTCGTCGCAGCACTAGTCGTAGCCGGACCCGTACTCTTCGCGCTGCTCGAAGCCGTCGGCCTCGTCCCGCCGCTCGGCGTGCGCGCACCAACGCCGGGCGACCTGATACTCCCCGCAATACTCGGCGTCCGCGACCCGCTCGGTGTCCGTGCGCCTCCAACGGGCGTAGTCCTCGCATTCGAGTTCGAGCCCGACACAGAGCGCATAGAGCCCGCAATAGACAGCGCGCGCGGTTCGCGGACCGTACTCGCTTTACTCCGCACGCTGAGCGCAGTAGACCTAACCGACGCCACACTCTTGGGCCTCGCAGGACCAGGCGCATCAGCCGTACGCGGCCTCGCAGACGCAGCCGTCGTCGTCCTCGAATTGCTCAGATCGTTCCGCCCCGTCGACACCTCATTCGCCGTATGCGTCGACCGCGCGTCCTCCTCCCCGTCGCCCTCCTCACGATCCACATGCATCGCATCCTCCTCCGTAACAGTCGTCGTCGTCTGCGTAGTGAGCGCGCTCGGGCTCGGACTCGTCCGCCCGCTACTGTGCCCGTGCCCGCGGTGATCTCGGGCAGGCACGCGCAAGCTCGCGCTGGACGGGCCGAGCTTGCTGTCCCGCGCAATACCGACACCGCCCCCGGCGCGCACAGGTGTGCTCTGCGCGCTCATCGTGCTCGTAAAGCTGCGTATGGAAGAGGCGGAAGATGTGATGCGACCGCCGGGTTTATCGCCGCTGACGACGCGCGAGGTGCGGGGCGTGCTTGTTGCGCTGTGCGTTGTGGTTCTGTTGGTTGGGCGGAGGTTGCGGTTGAGGACGGAGGCGCGGAGGGAGTCGTCGTTGGTGTCGCCGTGATGGCGCGAGCCGGGTGTGGGCGAGTGGGAATGGGGGTCTCTGCGCGAGATGGGACGTTCGCGGGTTCCGCGTTGGGCGGCGGGGGAGGTTGAGAGGAGGTCGTCTGGGGATACTTCGATTTCTGCGCGGTTATATCAGATAACCTGCTCTCCCATGTGTGTATATATTCGATTGACAACGTACCACTGGAGATCTCTTGTAACGCCCAGCGCTCAATTGAATCGAAGCCTGCCTCTTGCCGGACGCTGAACCAGCGCTTACGTAGCCATCGAATGATCTCCGCTCGACATTCATCGACCTACATCGCAAGTCAATCAGCATCAAGCACAATCAATACGAACAAAGGCGAGTGATTGAGCATGCCAAATGGCCCATCATGTACGCACCTGTTGCCTGATAACGCTCGTCGGACCCAACATCGTCCTCCCCGGATCGTCTTCAGCAGGTCTAAGCAACACAGCGCTGACGACCGCCTCATAAACCCTCCCCGCATTCTTATCATTCAACCCCCTCCTCAAACTCCCCAACACCGCCGCACAAACATCCGGATCGGTAAAATGCGCTCCATCCGAATGCATGAGCTCGTCCCAGTCCCTCTCCCCAAACACCGCCTCGGCATTATCCGCGATCGCGCCGTCGAGCGTGTTGCGCGCCGACACGAGCATATCGCGCGTGGTATCCGCCCACGGCTCCAACACTGATTCGAGGCGTGCGAGCGCAGAGTTGGCGGAGAGGAGGAGGGGAACGGCGTTCATCGGTGTCGAGCGCTTGGCCACGCCCTTTAGCGCCTGTTCGCGTGCGCGACGATCAAGGCGCGCGAACTCGGGGTGACACCAGCCCTCGCCGAACAAGCCCACAAGCGCTCGTCGTGCACCGCGCTCGAGTAACTCCGAGCGCGAGTCCATGGATGTTGCGAATTCTAACACGCGTGGTGCGCGACGAGCGCATTGTCTGCAGCGGCAGCCTTGTGCGCCCCAGCGGCCACCGGATTGCGCGTCGTATGCTTCGAAAGGGAGGTATGCGGAGTAGAGGCCGTGGAGCATTTCCACCACGAGTCTGGCCTCGACCTCTGCGACGAGAGGGGCGAGGGCGAGATAAGATGCCGCGCGGTGGATTGCGAGGGCGGTATCGAGATCGTATGTTCTGTTCGAAAATACGAGTGTGCCGGTATATAGATATCCGAGCACAAAGTGCAGCGCCGGGGGTGTAAACGGCGGGGAGGGCAGCGTGACCGTCGGCACGCCGTCGGCATCGATGGTGGGCTTGAACTGGGTGAGGGCGTTGTGGAAGTAGTCTGAGCGGGAGACGAGGATGAAGCGGTGGGTGGAGAACACGGCGGTGGTGCCCTTGTGCGCCGCAGAATCGCTCGTAAGCGCAAGCCTGCAATCCGCGTAAAGCCTTGACCTCCACATGAACACGAGATCCTTGCGGAGCTTATCGACCCTGCTCTCCGTCGCATCGTGCGTGTCGAACAGAAACTCGAAAGCGTCTCCAAAGTCCTTCGCCGTATAAAGATATTCGAGCTCCTTCGAAAGTAGCGTCGCGTTGTGTATGGTGCGGATGCGCGTGAGAGGTTGCGCCTTGTCCTGCTCGCCGTCGCTGTCCGGAGTAGCAGGCCGCATCGCCGGACTAGGCGACCGACTCCCGGCAAGCGGCAATGACAAAGCAGACGGGTTCGCCCCAGCCCCATTGGATAGCGTGAAATATTTCTGCTGGAACGACGGTGGTGCGCGGGCGTAGACGACGGCCTTGTGTGCGTACACGCCCTCGTCGTCGTCCTCCGAGAGCCAGACGACGTCCGGGAAGCGGTCTTTCGTCCGCTGGTACAGTGACGACAGGTCGGCCTGCCATGACGAGGTCGACGCGCCCACCGCCGCCGTCAGCGCGCCCGAGTCGCGCTCCATGCTCGCCCGATCGGTTCGTTCAGCTGTGGTCAGCTCGTCGGTGGGCGCGTCAAAACGCGGAAGCAGGCGCAACCCCGAACCTTCTCACGCGACACGCCTTGCTCTCGACCATCACCTCCTCCATCCTTATCGCTGAGCCCTCGGCCCTGAACGCCTCCAACCTCAGCGCTCTGCTATTTCTATTTTTATGTGAACATCCACACGAGAATAACACACGTATTCTCTTCCTCCACATCATGTTGCCCGGGACGGGTGCTGCAGCGCCGTTGATGCAGATTCTCAACATTTGACCGCTCTCTCCTCAGGTCAAGCCTACGTTATAACGATGTATCAGATCCCCTGTCGCACTCTCCACCAGAACCCTCCGGCTATGTGCGGAATGGAAATCATTGATGATCTTCCCAACCAGACTTCCGGGGAAATTGCGTTCGAGATCGGTGGTACTCTTGTCTATAACACTTCCTTGTAGAGGTGGTAGACCGGGCTAACCTCTCCGGTCATCAACATCATCCAATCATTGCGCATGCGATGAGTATGAACAATGTTGGAGTGATAGTCCGCCAGAGCGGGTATCTCGTGCCACGACATCCCTCTAGCAGTCCGTCGATTTCCTAAAGGCATGGCTGCGCCGCGACGTGCGATGTATGTTGTGTCAGCCCGCACCCCAATATGATCCTGCCTATGCCCTGCGCGGGACGCGAATCATCAATCTGACGCCACTGCTCCCGCCTGGTTCCTGTATAAGTATCGGACATGGATAACCGATAACAAACCTTTCTCAACAGGACCCCGCGCTTCAGCGTCTATGCACCATGGGTGACCCGGCTTCAAACGAAACTCTTTTAATCCTTCAGAACGAGTTTGTGGACCTCATCAGATTGCAAGTATATCCGGTGATCATTGAAACGTTACTCTTCGGTGCGTTTTCCTCTCTTTCCGAGTTGCTTGGGAGACCCGCCTTGATAAAGCACAGGCTTGCATATGACGCTTGCCATGTATCTTTTATGGCGTAGATGGTGAGCACTAGACGCCTAAATTGATCAATCACCGCCTACTCTATGCCCCGAGTCCGCGCTGATTGACCCACGCAGGACGCAACGCAACTCTATATCTCTCAAAACATATGTACCGCTAGTTGCCTTTGCGATGACTGCCATGTTGTCAGCCCGCTGGGCCATCGACGCATACTACCTACTAGCAAGCGCTCTAAACAGCTACTCTCGAGTAGTTGTCTTGCTTGATCCCGATCTCACGAACCCCGAACTGCAATACGGTCGCGGTGTTGACATAGCCCGTAATGCTCTGACCTGTGGCATAGTATGTCATCTGAACTATCCAGTTACTCGCTTCTTACGCTACCGTAGCTCCTGCTCGGTGACTGCGTAGTTCTCTGGAGAGCATATGCCCTATTCGGGCGACCAAAGTGGTTGCTCGTCTTGTCCATCTCTGTACAACTGGGCGTCGCTAGTGAGCAATTTGATTGAAAGATCCCATTCGACAAAGGTCTGACCTTGACTCTTCGACTCTAGGTGTTTATCTCTGGTTTTCCTTTGGAACAATATCACTTTTCGCCCTTGTCGTCGCCGTCGTGCCAGATTCACTTGCGACATCGCTGATAGCGTACAGAACGTGGTGCGTCTGATGTTATTCTGCTGGTGTCCGCAGCATGATCGGGAAACCTCAAAGGTCGCATTGGAAGGATATACGAGAGTTTAGCGAGCATTCCGGAACGCGGCAGAGCGTAGCAATCATGCTCGTTGTCATAGAGTCAGGCTTCCTCTATCTGATACTCACCGTGAGCCACCTTCCGGACTTCCAATTGCTCATAGCCCTGTAACACGCTTCATCGGCAGGTGTGCCTTGTTATATGCATCATGCTCGATGGCGCAGCGTCTATCTGGGCAAGATATATGCTCAATCCGTTATTCGTATGCCCCATTCCCTGGCATCCAGTACCGTGCACGATTCCTGACACGCGTGGTCACAGGCAATGTACCCAGTCGTGGTCGTCTTACTTGTGGCCACACGTCGAGACTTCCTCGAACGGAGCGTGAACACGACATCTCCCACGAGTTTACCCTGGGCTGTTGAGATATCTTTCAGAGAACGGAACGACGGAGACCTGCGCTCGTGTGGTGGACCAGCCGCTGGCCGACATCGTTCAAGCCTCAGTTGCAGTGTGACGACACAAAACATGATCACGCATGCAAAGGACGATTTGAAAGATCCGTCTATACCCCCAAGTTCAGGTCGCGATGGCAGCCTCATCCCGTCGCCCTAGCCATCTCAGTTGGTACTTGACATTTAGGATACTGAGCAGTACATGCTTGTGCATCTCATGCTGTCATACAACCCATGTATCACGTCGCAGGCGCGGTCTCTATGCACGTAGCGAAGTTCAGATTTTCTCTCATGACGACACAATCAGTACTCTAATGCAAGGCAGATCAAAGTATCAAGTTCTCTTCTCTTCTAGAGTAAGAGGGGGCCCTCTCTTTTACAACGGATCAACCCCAGATAGACCTCAATCAACCGCTGCAACGCTTCGGATGCTCCGCGTACATCCCCCACTTCATAGTATATCATCAACCCGCCGAACGGCAACGATGGCCCCTCAGCCTAACCACACTCCTTAATCGTTCTCGCTAGCATTATGCTGGCTAGATCCTTTTGGAACCTGACTGCATGTACGCTCGACTCGCCAGCGTGCAGAAGCTTGGCGCCGAGTTTTTCCGCACCTTTTACCTCGGAGATTCCGACCTGCGTATATGCGCCGTCAGACGTTTAGGGGTCTTATGACTACATTCGCCTAGCATTATAGCTTCAATACGCATCACTATGGCGGCATTGGGGAGGATGTAGCGACTTGCAGCGGCCCGCCTCTGGGGTGTTGCTCGCCCGGCTGCTCCCATCGTGACAAGGCACGAGATCGCGTTCGAAGACTTTGACCGGCGTATTCTCTGTTGAGACTTGAGCCTGCCGTGTTGCTATAGAGAGCGACGTGGTACGCGTATAAGAGGACCACCCGGAAGTGCTTCTTCCAACCGCTCCGGCTATTCTCTCGAGGTTACTGTCCATCCGAACCGGTTGCATTATGCGTTCCGTCGCCGTTGCATATGGTATCCTCGCCGCTGCGCTTGCGCGCGCTGCTCCTCAAGCCACTCCGACCGTTTACCTGGCGGGTGACTCTACCATGGCTCAGACAGGTATGCCTGCATTCTCGGGAATATGAGGTCGGGTGTTGAACGTATGCGCTTAGGTGCCAACGACGGCAGTACTGCTGGTGTGTTCCTTTACTAATCATCGCATACTACCATCTCTGACGATGATGATAGGGTGGGGCGCATACCTCGCAAACTACATCAGCTTGACCGTCAACAATGAGGCCGTTGGTGGTCGTTCGGCTCGCAGCTTCACGCGTGAGGGGCGCTTCGATACCATAGGTTAGTTTGTCACGTACACTCGGTCAGTTGAGCTGCGGCTGACTATCATCATAGCCGGTCAGATCAAGTCGGGAGACTACGTCGGTAAGAGTGGCAAGCAGATGCTATAGTGATGAGTGCTCATCCATCGCGCAGTCATCGAGTTCGGCCACAACGATGGCGGCAGTCTCACGCCCACCGACAACGGGCGCACAGACTGTAACCCCTCCGGCACGGACTACTCCGTGACCTGCACTACAGTCTACAAGTGAGCGATCAAGACCTCAACTATCTGAAGAGTGTCTGACCACTCAACAGCGGTGTCACCGAGACCGTGCTCACGTACGAGGCATACCTCGCGAACGCAGCCAAGACCTTCAAGGCGAAGGGCGCGAACGTGATCATCTCGAGCGGTCAGTCCGCTTTCAAACCATCCATCACACGCGAATATACTGACACTCCATCCACAGCTACCCCGAACAACCCCTGGGAGAGCGGAACTTTCAGCTACGCCTCCCCTCGCTTCGTCGGGTACGCGCGTGACGCTGCCACCGCGACCGGCGCGACCTTCGTCGACCACGGTCTCTACACCGCCGCGCTATACCAGAAGGCTGGCGCGACTACCGTTGACAGCTACTACCCCAACGACCACACGCATACCAGCCCCGCCGGTGCAAACGTTGTGGCGAGGGCGTTCGTGCTCGCGCTCGAGGCTACCGACTCGACTCTCGCGAACTACATTACGCACGATTGATTATGTAGCTCTCCGTGTTGTAGTTCATAGTCGATACCCAGTAGCAAAGTCGCGCTGCACGAGTACATGCGTATAAATTAAACCGTCAACTGCAAGCGAGGCATATAGCTGTACGCGCCGGTAAGAGCGAACGCGCGTCGTCATCGCGGTTCGATGTCAAGAGGCTAGACCGCAATCGGCACACCGCGCCGACTAACCCTAACCCGAGAGTCTGCGTTTCCGGCGGATCGCGTCGCAGCGCCGACTTGCCTCCCACCTTCACCTACGAGCATGAGCACATTTGGCGCTCTTCCCCACATTGGTCATGAACAGGGCGTATGCGCACAGGAGCCGGTGACTTGAGAATAACACTTTGCGCCTCATGATACCTCGAGATCTGATCGTAACATCGACGCGTCGCCCGCATCGGGTTATCCTCTTGCGCTTCTCCAGAGCATCGTGATCGGGGTTCGGTCGAAGTACGTATAGCATTGCATCTCCTTGCGCGTGCGTGCTTGTACTCTTCGACATACATGCTCTCAATGCATAAGAACGTCGGACTACTTCCACGCACGTTCCTACTGCATCGCAGTCCCGAACATGAATTCGCAAGTCCGGCGTTCCCGGCGTTCCCAACTTATCTTCAGGAACAAGTTGCGTTCGGGGCGAAACCGCTATGGGATGCATCAAGATTCCACTCGATTTTGAAGAGTGGATGCTGATACCATCTCGGTAGTGGATGTGGCCCACCTCGCCTCTCCACCCGTCCTGCGCGGTATAACTCAAAGTTTCCAGAGAAGCGGCCAGCGGCAACTGTCCGTGCACGCCAACATGGAACCCACCCACTTTCCCTACGACGTCGTCTCAGCATTCAAGCGCGGAGAGGTTCAGTCAGATTGTGCGACTGTGATTTGGGGACATGTATATCCTTTTGTCGTTGAGACGATGCTATTCAGTACGCATGCCACCTAGTCTTTGATCGATCGGCGAGGCTTGGCTGAGTCCAATCGATAGCTTTTGAACTTGTTCTAGCAGGAAACATCGTCTGGAAACATAGGTGAGCGATATGTGGCCTGCAAGAGTCCACTAGCCATTTTGCTCACCTGCCTCTCTTCGCGACGACAGGACAAACCTCAAGACAGCCTCACGTCACGACATCTGTCTGGTATCGGTCACCGTCGCGATGCTCGGTTTATTATCGGCCTACTGGGCCGTCGACATGTACAAGCTTCTCGGACTTGCGTGAGTGAAGGATCGTACTTCAAGAGGCAGTCAGGCGTATAACCTTAGCTATGATCTCAGAACACCGACGCTCAACGACCATGGCGTCGCGCTCGCCCATCTCGTCATAGCTTACTCAATTGTAAGTGATGCGCACATCATTAGCGTAACGCGTCGAATGCTGAGAAGCTGCAGTTCTTACTCGGAGACTGCATAGTGCTGTGGCGCGCCTACGTTCTATACGGTCGACCTCGTTGGCTCAGAATAACAACCATCGTCTTGGCGGTCGTGTTCACGGGTGAGGATGTTCTAATGGGCAGCGTCGTTAGATGCCCTGACACGCATGCAACAGGGCAATATAGCGCCTTCGCGGCGCTCCAACTTCCGCTACTCGGGCGGATAGCTAACATAGGACCCAACCTGATTGCCACGCTGTTGATCGCGTACAAAACCTGGTGCGTACGTGTACTCCGCATCAACGATGACCAGCCTGATTGGTACACAGGGCACATTGGAGGGATGTTCGCCGCTTCTCCGGTGATTCCGACGCTCTCGCAATCCTACTCGTCATCATCGAATCTGGCTTCTTCTACTCTGTCATGCCGGTAAGTATAGAGCCACACACAAATGGATGTACGCTCACGGTGACGGCGCCCTTCAGATATTGGAGGCTGTCCTGGCTCTCGTGATCAGCGCCGCTACCGCACATTGGTTTGCTTGCATACTCACGCCGCTCTTTGTGTGTACCGATTTCACATACTTGCGTTGAGCTCTCGTTGATATACAGATCAAGGCGATGTATCCGACACTGGTGGTCGTGCTCGTAAGAACCCGGCGAACGATGCTTGAGCGCAGCGCAATAGCCTCGTGTGCCGCTGAAACTATGCAGTGGGAGGTACACGTACCTGACAGCGAGCGAGGTCGTGAGGATTCACGACCACATTCGAGCTCCTGAAGTGCCCTTCAAGATGTAGCGAGGATCAGCAGCGAACTGATAGCGACCAAGATCTGTGGTCGCTTTGGTTCTCAGTACAACTTTGGACTTATTACCATAGTGAGATGGCGAAACGACTGCAGGAGAAGAGTCCCGGGCGTCGGAAAGTCAGAGGCAGAAGCGGGAGGAAGCACCACTTGGTGGCGTCACCGCACAGAGACGAGAGCATATCGCCGAAGAAGCGTTGCACCGGCCTACTCAACCTGCCACTTGCAGGAAGCCCCTACACAGCTTTTCATCGAAGCCTGTACAGGTGCGGGCGCCCGAGGCGATACGTCCGCAACGAAGCCCACTGCGCGCCCTCTGTGCGCTGGCCCTCAGATGGGCGCCTATAGAACATGCGGCCTTACGATCGCCACAGATATGAAAGCCGTCAACGGGCCGAACGTGTTGTATGTAGTCTTAGATAGCTCGGCCTCGTTTGACACACGTCTTCGTCGGGCAAACACGTCTTCTGCGTCCTGGAAGTAGGAAGCATGGACGCGCACTGCCGAGTCAACCTTTTTTCCCATAAGGTCGCGGTTTCCAAGGTTTCACACGCTCCATACTACGTCGGCGTCGCTTGTACTTCCCCAGCTGCTCTACTCGCTGTGACTCTACCGTACGCCCACCCAGCGTACTAGTGACCAGCATCGTCCTCGCGTGGCGTGTCTGCGTGGTTGTCAAACGCGAAAGAAAGAGGCGGTAGACGCCCGTGGTCGGTCCCTGAAGCGTGCGAGCGCGTCAACGGCTTCCCGCACCTCGTCCTGAACCGCCATCAGTCCCCGCCTCTCCGACCTCCTCCCCCTCCCTCCCCTCCGCCTCCTCTGAATTCAACATGATAACCCAGAACGGCATCGCGCTGCCGGCGCTATATCTGTACTCGCTGAACGCGAGCTTCGTGAACAAACATATCCATCTCCCGCCCGGTCAACGTGTAAAAATCGGGCGACAAACGAACGCAAAGTCCGTGCCTGGCGAGCGCAACGGCTTCTTCGACTCCAAGGTGCTCTCGCGCGCGCACGCCGAGGTCTGGGAAGAGGGTGGCAAGGCGCGCGGAGCTCCTCTGCAATAATATCACTGGGCCCCATGACTGACTATATTATGACCACAGATATTCATCAAGGATGTCAAGTCGTCGAACGGAACATTCATCAACAGCGAGCGGCTCTCGCCCGAGAGCGCCGAGTCTGAGCCCTTTGAGCTCAAGACGGACGACATCGTCGAGTTTGGTATCGACATCGTGGGCGAGGACAACAAGACGGTCGTGCACCACAAAGTCGCCGCCCGCGTCGTCTGCGTCTTCACCCCCGAGGACGCCGCAGCGGCTGCCCGGGCCGAGCAGCACCAGGCTACGACCCCCGCCTTCCACGGCGGGCACCCGCACCAGCAGCATCAGCAACATCAACAACCCGCCGCCGGAGCCAATAACCCGAATGCATTCTTCCGTCGTCCTGGCGCCGCACAGCAGGTGGCCGGCATCGGCGGCATGGGTGGCGGCCCCGCACGTGCACCTGGCAAGAACGCGCTCACGTTCGACCACATCCTCAATAGGCTCCAGGGCGAGCTCCAGAAGAGCCGGGAGACCGGCGCTGAACTTCACGCGCTCACCGGCGCGATGGGCGAGATCCATGATAGCCTCGGTGCCAGCGCGCTTCACGGCGAGCACAAGGCGCTTGCTCAGGGTGTCCCGCCCGTACCGCCACCACAGCCCGCCCAGCGCGAGCAGGAGCGGAGTTCCGTCAATGATGGCGCATTGGCCGAGCTCCAGGCTCAACTGAACGCAACCCAACGTGCTCTCGCGGACCATGTTGACAAGGTACAGGCGAGCGTCTATATCTCTTTTAAGCTTTCCCTGCTGACGTTCGACCCCAGGTCCGATCGCTCGAGGCAGCACTCGCCGGCCAAGAAGCCGTACGCGCAGAAGTCGCCGCCCTTCGCGAGATGCTCGACTCGCAGCGCGAACACGCCCAATCATCATCGCACCACGACGACGAGCGCCGCCAGGAGGAGCAAGAAGACGACGATGACGACGATGCACGGAGCATCGCCACCGTAACCCCGCACGAACTCGAGACCGTGACCGAAGAAGAAGAGGAAGCCGAGCAGGAGCCCGAGCAGCCCGCGATGCGCCCACGCACGCCCGAGCCAAACATGCACTACGCCTCGGCCTCCTCCCCGCCCTCGTCCTCCACCCCCGCCTCGCCCCCGGCGGCACCCGCAGTGCTCCCGGCCGAGATTGATGCGCGTCTCTCGGCTCTTTCCGCGCAACTCGAGAGCGCACTCGAACAGGGCCGCTCGCTCTCCGCTCAACACGCCGCCGCGCAATCCACCATCACCACCTTAGCAAGCCGCCTCGCAGCGCTCGAAGGTGTCCGAGGCGAATGGTCCGCATGGGAAGCCGGCGCACACGCACGAGAAGACGCGCAGATCGGGCGAATCGAGAAGATGGTCAAGGAGACCGTCGGCGGGTTCAAAGCCGCATGGGAGCGCGAGCGCGAGTCCGAACGAGCCCGCGAGCGCGAAGAGCGCGAGAAAGAGCGTGCGGCGGACCGCGAGGAGCGCGCGAAGGAGCGCGAGCTGCTCGGTGTGCACGCCGCGATCAAGAAGGGGGAGAACGACGAGAAGCGGACGGGGCTCGTTACACCGCCCAGCCCGCGAAGCGTCAGCGCAGACTCGACTGGCAAGCGCAGGCGTCGACGAGCAAGCACCAGCCGCGGGCGGCGTGGGCGCTCTACGGATTCGACGTCGGCGGCGGAAGGCCACGACGAGCATGAGCACGAAGACAGCTCAAGCGAGGGCGCGAGCTCTAGTGCGATTTTGGACGAGAAGGCTAGCGTTGCGAGCGTGGCTACCGGTGGCTTGCCTTTGCCGAGGAAACGCGGCGCTATGCTGGCTTGGTTGAGCGATGCGGAGGCTGATGTGGATCATGACGCGAAGGCGAAGTATGGCGCGCGCGAAGGCGGCGCTGGACAGACGTCTCCTGGCACTGTTGGCAAACCGGTATGTATATTCTGTATGTTTTATATGCTGTATACTGATTGGGCTGTGAAGGTACAGCAATGGACAACGGTCGGCGGACTGGCTAAACATCAAGTCGAGGCTAGCATCGGGCTCATCCTCGTCGGCGTCGCCGTAGGCGCAGTGATGTGGCGCGTAACGCCCGAGTAGTCCTGCTCCCCCACCCCTCCTATCTTCGCTTTCGCCCATCTCTCACTGCGACTCGACACCTTTCACGGAGAGAACTCTACACGCTCATTGACTTATTATCATCTGTCCATAGCTCACCCACATATGCCCCCGCCCTTATTCGCTTTACAACCCTGTACATATACGTTCCGCACTTTGCTCTCTCTCTCTCGCCTAGCTTGATCCTCGCTCTGGAGCTATCGATTCTCGCCGATCCGGATTATCATTCTCGTTTGAAAGCCAAGTACCGTACTCGCCCATTCACCTCATTGACGACACCCGTGACGAATCCCCGACGCGCGCGCCATAATTACCGACTTTGTCTCTGTCTACTCATTCTCTCATCGTGGATCGTGATTTATGTACGTGGAATTACATGCAGTTGAAAGCATGGTTGGAGGGTGTTGGGTCGGTGTGCGTTGGTTGGGTCGTGCGCGGGTGAGGCTGGGTGAGGGTGAAGGTTCGGTCGTGCCTGGCGGCCTCACTGTGACCACATGCCCTGCGAGGCCCTGCGCGTATTACGCATAGCCGAGGCCTAAGTGCATGAGGGCTAGGTTCAGGCTAGGTTCATGGGAGCATGAGGCGGGCTATCGCATACACGAGGGAATACGCCGGTGTGCGTCCAGCTCACAGGGGCTGTAGGATAACACGGAATATATACAACACCAGGCAGACAGTCGCAATCTGGCTCACGGTCCAGATCGGTTCCGACTACTGCACGCTGCCTACATCGGACAACGCGACGAGCAGTCAAATAGCGTTTCAGAAGGCTTTCCATAACCATCGGACAAAGGTGAGAACAAACTCGGGCGAATCGCGCGCACGAGAAGGCGCAAAGGGTGGAGATGGCTGAATAGCCTGGGTGCATAGTGCGTCATGCGCGCGCGCTCGGCGTTGCTCCCTGAGATCTTGGGAAGTTGAGGTATGCTTACCCTGAGTCAGAAGCTCAGCTTAGACTCGATGTGAGTGGCTAGAGGATCTAGTCATAGGGGGAGTCGCGACGTCAGGAGGATGAGGGCTGATGAGGGCGCGTATTGCGGAGAATATGCTACGTTCGGGACTTGAAGGGATCGTGTGTTGTAAAGATTGGATGCAGTAAAGAGAGAAGAGGGGCCGACTCGAAAGGTATAATTGTCCGCTGTCAGTCTGTCACTGAAGTCCAACCGAAGATCTAAGCGTCAGATTCGCTCAGCGCGCTTCCATGTCCAACTGCGTCGACGATGACCACGCTATCCATCTTCTGTGCAGCGACAATCGAAGCCGAGCGCGAGCGCACCAGCGGTTGCTCCATGACTATGAGATGATCTCCAGACGCACTTCCGTACTTCGCATCCGAGTCCAGGTCGACGCCGGGATCGAAGGTGGGGCCGAAACTGACGTTGAGAGGGATAATGCTCTCTCGCGACGACATGTCGCTATCCATCCGTCGGACCATCGAGCGTCGAGTGCGTATCCCGTAGTCGCTATCTTGGATGACAGAGGCGAAGGCCATGCCTCGCTGTAGACTGGAGGACGAGATGGGCACTATGGTTTGCTCGAGGTAGTTCTTGCGTGCGGCTACGAGTACGACGACTAGCGTCGGATACATCGCCTATAAAGTTCATCTTGATGAGATGATGATGACTGGATACGATGTAGACGCACAAAGAGTGGGATGAGAACGTAGGAGAGCCATCTCGCTGCCTCATCCCCAATCGCAAACAGAATGATAGCATACGATGTCTATGGGGCAGATCGTCAGAGCGAAGCCTTGCATGAGCTCGTGTGGGTACTCACCGTCAAGGCTGAATGAACAAAACCAGACTCGAGGACAATCATCAGTAAGACGATCACACTCCGCTCTGTGCCCATCTGCGGCATCAACGTATGAACATCCTTCCAATGAAGCCTGAAGTCAAGGGGTCTCAGCTGAGAAGCCATTGTGTGGCGTTTATGATGCGCACCAGGTCTTGTATGTCACGAGCAAGGTGGCGATGAGATTTGGAACGATGTTGACTACCCGTCCCACATCTTGATGTCGGAAGGCTACGAGTGTGCTATAGATCGCTACCAGAATCTGCCATCAGCATCTACCACTTCCACCTACTACGCAAGGTACTCACCAGTACTCATCACGGCCAAAACCAGCGACACTACGCACAACCATCGTGGATTCCTATATAGAGCACAAGCGCGCCAAAGTACGACGTAGTCGCCGCACAGAAGCTGTCATGCATGTGAGAGATCAGCATCTGTGGGAGACAGCAGAACGTCTCACAATAGCGCATGCGACGAATTGCTGGGCAAGCTGTAGATCCAAGGCCTCATCGTCTCGGGCGACCGAAATCGGCACAAGGCCGGTTGTACCCGCTACGTGATCCGCTGTATCCCATATTGATTCCAGGAGATAGTACATGTCGAGACCCCAGTAGGTTGCTGACAGAGAGAACATCGTCAGGGAGATCAAGATCATGTATATAGCGCGCGGGTTCGTCTTGCGATCCATGCTACGTAGAATCGGATTGTACCGGTCAGAATACATCCCTGTGTAAGACTGGGGCCTCACCAACGACGCCAGATAAAGTATGCGGTAAGCACTGCGTGCAGGGCTGCATGATGAGAATAGTAAGAATTCGGTCCATCTTATGTAGTGGCCCCAGTACGCACTCAATAACATACTCTCCACTACTAATGGATACGCATCCTGCCAGACTACATTGAGAAACTGGTCCCGAAAATCTTCAGCCTCGGACGAGGATGCATTCATGATGGCGGTGGAGAACAGCTCCCAAGTATAGCCTCATCCACCCTCTTATGTGAGCGCGAAGGAGCGGGAGAACGATGATGGAAATAGCATAAGCGTGTAGACGGATACCCACTTTGGTCACCGAGGCCTCTCATCAAGAGATCGCACTGTCTATCTGTATTGACGGAACAGAGACGTATGCCCCCGGCGGCCAAGGCATAGACGCAGCATCGCCACCAGATGTTCTTTCGAATACATTCGACGTCAGTTTGTGTATACGAGGTACTAGAATGATTGGCAAAGGGGGGTGCGGAGCGATCGGCGAAGACGAAGACTTTCAATAGCTCTCTACACGGAGGTGTTCTGCTCCGGTGATTCCGGTCCAACTGTGCAAATGTCACAGTTGAATGATGACGGAGGACAGCTGATTTCAGCTTAGCAACGGTGTGAAATATGCAGTAGCACGTAACAGGCCACTTATATCAATATCGAAGCCTTCTTTGTCCCATCTCGAAGCACTTGTTCGCTCCGACGAGGCAGGGCGTTCGTCGCACAGAAGTCAGACGTATCTGAGACAAGGAAACCCTAGGTCAAGCAATTCAATGAGCCGAGCTTTCTAAACATGCACTATTCGGGAAAATTGGATGATAGACCTTAGCGTGTTCGAAAACGCAGACAACGCGCAGAATGGGGGTTGGAGGCAAGTTGCGCGGAGCCCACCGCCTAGTTCGGTGATGTCCGACGTCCCGAGCTTCGTCAATAGGCTCCGCCTCGACTTGCTTTACGCCTTTATGTCCATTGACTGACTGCAACCCAACGTCCGACCTCTACGTCGATATTATATTGGTGACCCACACTCGACCGCGATGCACGCATGCAACTCGCCTGCGGACGCACCGACGGTGCGCCGTGCGGCGTCCCGTCGAAGGGCGGAACCTTCAACGGCGGGTGTCTTGACTCGCTGTTCGCCCTTGCTCGACGCTCCTCGCGATGCGAGGCGTGATCTATATAATGAGCTGTCACTCCGCATGGAGGGGCTTCACCTCAAATATCTACCCACTCTGAAGTCTGCGCGTCTTCTCACTTAATCATGGATCTCGATCTCGCAGGTGTTCACGTTCTTGTGACTGGTACGCCCGCATGCTATCCCCTTCACCTGCGAGCTTGCAACTGACCGCGTTCACAGGTGCAAACAGCGGGATCGGACTTGAGACGACCAAAACCTTCCTCTCGCAAGGCGCTTTCGTTACAGCCCACTACCGCTCAAGCGCCGACACCCTCGCACCCCTCCTCTCCTCATACCCCTCCCATCTCCGCCTGGCCAAGGCAGACGTAACATCCGAAACAGACGTCGCGGCACTCTTCACCTCAGCATCAGCATCAACAGAAACCGCCTCCCCAGGTCCAGTCGAAGTGCTCGTCGTAAACCACGGCTACTACGCGCCGCCCACACCTCTGAAAGACATGTCTCTCGCGCACTGGACAGGCACACTCGACGCAAACGTCACGAGCGCCTTCCTCGTATGTCGTGAATATCTTCGCGGGTTAGAGGCGGGCGTAGCGGCGAAGGGCGAGGGAAGATACGGCGAGCGCGCTGCTATCGTGTTCGTCGGCTCTACAGCGGGGAAGTTCGGCGAAGCGGGGAGCGCGGACTTTGCATCGAGCAAGAGCGGTGAGTTCTCTATCCCACTTCATGCTGAGGCGCGATGACTGAACGGTTGGATGTGCAGTGCTTATGTACGGCCTGACCTTGACCTTGAAGAACGAGATCGTACGCATCGCACCGCGTGCTCGTGTCAACACCGTTGCACCGGGCTGGGTGCGGACGCCTGCTGTTGCGCACAAACTTGACGATCCTTCCATCCTGTACAAAGCACTAGCGACGTGAGCGCCATGCCCAAACTACGTATTTCCACAGTCGCGCTGACGATGTCTACACAGAACACCTTTGCAGAAAGTTGCCACGTCCGAAGACGTCGCGAGGCAGATCGTGATCCTAGCAAGCTCGAGTGTATCGGGGCACGTCACCGGTCAGGTCGTAATGGTACATGGAGGAATGGAAGGGCGTTTGCTGAATCGGCCGACGGATCTGGGATTGCCCGCAACTGCGTAGCACAGCAAGGAGCCATTGCTTGAGATCTGCTCGGCCCTTGCCGCATTGCCTAGCTCGTTGTACTGCCATGTCTTGCCACCATGGCATACGTTGTCGCGCTCTCCGAGCCTTTGATCACGCATCGCGAAGAACCGGTCCATACAAGGTCCGTAGATGATGATGAGAGACCGGGAGAATGGCATGTTACATGAGATCATGATCAATTAGCGGTGCTAGACGGCTTTGACAATACAGGCATCCCCTTCTTTCTTGACATGATTGCTAGGGTTTGAGGAGGAGGGAATCTGCGCGCGTAGGGAAGATCGTTGTGCGTCTTCGCTCCCTAAGGTCGAAATTGTGCCGCGCAGGTCTATACCTGACTCAAGGTCGACACTGAATGGACGAGATACCCTGTCACGCAAGGGTACGTTGCTGCCGATATGGCCGCAGGCCGGGCATTGGGCGGCCTTGCGATCTGCGTTGTCGTGTACCCAAGGGCGATGTTGTATATCTCGGTGCATATTGCTGGGAGTAGAGGCCGCCTGAATGCTGCGCTCAAGCAGGTTTCGGCGAGTCGCTACGAGAACGATGACCAACGCCGGATACATGGCCTGAGATGATAGTTCAGTACGCTGGACGCGACGAAGTGACAGTGCGCACGCACTATCAGTGGGGTGAAGATATAGGTAAGCCAAATCGTTGCTACGTTGTTAAAAGCGAGCACAATGACGTATGATATCTACAAAGTGACAATGCAGGACCTCAGTCAGAATTCATTTTTGCTTGACATCTCCGGACTCACTGTTAATCCCGCATACGCCAAACCCGATTCAATAACAATCAACAAGATGGCTAGACTATAGCTAGTACCACTTTGACTCGAGAACACCCGAACAAGTTTCCAATGGGACCTGTGTCTAACTTCAAACTCGTCGTATCCGCTGATACGATGCACTGTAGGCTTACCATGCTTTATAGGATACCATCAACGTTGCAATCAGGTTTGGGGCGGCATTAACTGACCTTCCGAAGACTGGGGCCTCAAGCACCATCAGCGTGATATACACCACTACGATGTTGAGGATGTTAGCAGATCTTCACACAAAACACACGCAGAAAGGAAATAGGTAAACTATTCACCGGGTAACATTATCGCCAGGATGATGAACGAGATGCCCAGCCAGCGTGGTCACCCAAATATGACATAGGTACGCCAGAGCACCACGTAATCTCCGATCAAAAGCTGAGGACTGGGTGAGTATCTAGACCAAGACGACATGTGAACGAGTCTCACGATGACACACATCAGACCCTGTTGAACGAGATTGAGAACCCAAGTACTTTCCACGTTGTTGGTGAAGGGTATTTCAGACCCCCAGGACATATTGAGGGACACCGCAAGCTCGTCCAGTGCATTTGACATCGATACCAGCAGGTTGTATATGTCGATTGACCAATAGACGGTCAACAAGATAAATGTAGCCACCGTCACAGCCATCATGTAATCGGCGCGTGAGACCGTCTTCCGAGTCGTGCTACGGTAGTAGGGTCCTAGTCAGAACGAACTCAAACATAATCATAATCATTCGCGCTCACCATCGGCGCCAGAGAAAGTGAGCGGTGAGCACTGCATGTAAAGCTACATACAGAGTAACAGCTATTAGTCGCAGCAAGGATCGATCTCAAAGGGCCGATTGCCAGATCTACACACCGACAAGAGCGGTTTCCACCAAAAGCGGATACGCGTTTTGCAAGATCACATTCAGGAAGCTTGAACGGACGTAGCTGAAGAAGTCAGGCGTAAGCGCGGCCATTGCGGCATCTCACGAGCATCGGGTAGTGCTACGAGCCTACTCACCCTCTTATACGCAGAGGCGGCGGGAGAAGAGCGATGGCGGACGGCATCGCCTCTTGTATGCCAACACCTGCATTAAGTAGAATCGGATCGTTGTGAGTAGGAAGGGTAGCTCCGCAACCTTCGGTGAAATGGGGATCAAGATCAGAGCGGGTAACGCACAGGCCATCGACACCAAATAGCAAAGACATCACTGAAGCGTTGATCAGATCTATCCGTACAGGTCATTCCATTCCTCCAGGGCCTCTCACCGTCAGCACTTCCTAGTACTGGTGCATACCCATGTCTGGACTCAGTTCCAAATCCATCCATCGTATACAAAGAACCTATAAAAAGCTTATGGATCCTATACACGCAAGAGACTGCGCGTGTATCCCCTTCCGTGGCGTGGCGCCGAGCCACCGCCGAGCCTCCCAGAGCGCAAGAAGCACCTGTAGAGGATGTACGCCAGCGTACTCGCTACGAGCAGCTTGAGATGATACAAGTGGTATAGTGAGCTTCTTCGGTCTTTGTCGCTGCCAATGGCTGCTTCCCCATCATGGTGGTCGTCGAGGACAACGAGAGGACGACGCAGCGACAGAGTTCGCGCGGCGCAGCAACGGATTCGCACGCGCTCGGCCTCAGCGGCTGTGTGTTCGCGCCGCTGAGTCTGACATACTTACATCTTGTACATAACTCCCACCACCGCGCCTGAACCCATATCCATATACCCTCTACCCGCAGCATCCTGCTTTCGAAAAGTAACACTGCGCTAGCTTATGAGCGACGACTTTGTGCGGCTGGTGTCGCAGGCGAACCCGGCGTCGGGCTCGAACGGCGGATACGCGCGCGCAGGGACCGGCGGGACAGCCTACCCGCCCTCGCAGCAACTGATGGACCCGTTCTTCGACGACGAGGACGAGCTGCCCGACTCGGCGTTCGGGCCGGGGACGCGGGGGGTGAACGCGGGGATGGAGAGCAAGGAGAGCTTCGGTGCGCCGCTCAAGAGCAACGCCGCCCCGATCGCCGGCGCGGGTCAGAGCAAAGTCTCGCTCGGCGGACAGCCACAGGGCTGGAATTTCGACGACGAGGACGTCGCGGTGCCGACGTTGCCGACGGTCGCGCCGCATGCGCAGCCGAAGACGGCGAAGAAGAGGAGAAAGGGCGGGCTGTTGAACGTGAAATGGCCGTGGGCGAAGGAGGAGAAGCTAGAGGGCGAGCGCGTCGTTGCGCTCAATACACCAGGCGCTGGCGCCGAGTTTATACACAACGGCGTCAGCACCAGCAAGTACAACGTCGCGACATTCGGACCCAAATTCCTATTCGGTGCGCTATTCACTTTGCACTCGAATGTACTGCGCACTCATGGAGATCGAGAAAGAACAGTTCAGCAAATACGCCAACCTGTTCTTCTTGTTTACTGCTTGTATACAGCAGATCCCCGGTGTCAGTCCGACGAATAGGTGGACGACTATCGCACCCCTTGCAGTCGTGCTGCTCGCCAGTGCGTTCAAAGAGGTCCAAGAAGACTTGGTATGTGTGCCTTTGGTCCATACTTCGATATCTATCTGACGTACAACTCTAGAAACGACACGCATCCGACTCTGAACTCAACGCGCGCAAAGCAAAGGTCCTCACACCAACCGACACCTTCGACGAGCGCAAATGGCGCGACATCCAAGTCGGCGACGTCGTCCGCCTCGAGAACGACGACTTCATCCCCGCAGACGTCATCCTCCTCGCCTCCTCCGAACCCGAAGGCTTCTGCTACATCGAGACCTCCAACCTCGACGGCGAGACGAACCTCAAGATCAAACAGGCCAGCCCCCAAACGTCCAGCCTCACCGCCCCGCGCCTCGTCAACGCCCTCCGCGGCAACCTCCGCTCGGAACAGCCGAACAACAGCCTGTACACGTACGAAGGGACACTCGATCTTGTTGCGGCGAACGGCGGCGCAAAGCAGGTTCCTCTCGGGCCGGATCAGATGTTGTTGCGCGGTGCTCAGATCAGGAATACGCCTTGGGCTTATGGATTGGTCGTGTTCACTGGCCACGAAACGAAGCTTATGCGGAATGCGACGGCGGCGCCGATCAAGCGTACTGCGCTTGAGAAGCAGGTCAACGTCCAGATCGTGTTCCTCTTCGGCTTGTTGCTCGCGCTGTCCATCGGAAGCACTATTGGGAGCAGTATCCGTACTGTGAGTTAATCGTCAGTAAGACGCGTTGACTTTGCTGAATCTATTGCAGTGGTTCTTCTCGCAGAAGCAATGGTACCTGCTGGAGTCGAACTCGCTGAGCGGTCGTGGTGCGTATATGCGCCCCCACTATCCAACATGCACGCTTGACTGACGCATCCGTGTAGCCAAGGGATTCATCGAGGGTACGCTCCCACCACTCATTCACCAACACTCAATGTCAACTCACATCCTACAGATATCCTAACCTTCATCATCCTCTACAACAACCTCATCCCCATCTCCCTAATCGTAACCATGGAAGTAGTAAAATTCCAACAAGCAGCTCTCATCAACTCCGACCTCGACATGTACTACCCGAAAACCGACACCCCAGCCCTCTGCCGCACCTCCTCCCTCGTCGAAGAGCTCGGCCAGATCGAATACGTCTTCTCCGACAAGACCGGCACGCTCACGCGTAACGAGATGGAGTTCCGATGCTGCTCCGTCGCGGGCGCTGCATATGCCGATAGCGTCGATGAATCACGGTTGGCCGCGGCGCAGGAGGAGGGCAAAGAGCCGTGGCGGACGTTCGCGGACATGAGGGGCTTTTTGGAGGGAGGCGCGGAGAACCCGTTTTTGGATATGGAGAGCGCCGGCGTGGGCAAGGCGATTGGGGACGCGAGGGAGAGGGAGGTCGTCAAGGAGTTCTTGACGTTGTTGGCGGTCTGCCATACGGTCATTCCGGAGGTCAAGGATGGGAAGATCAAGTACCAGGCGAGCAGTCCGGACGAGGCTGCGCTCGTCGAGGGCGCGGAGTTGCTTGGGTTCCAGTTCCATGTACGTTCACCAGCCACATTCGCGCCATCCTAGCAAAGTCACTGACACAACGGATGATACAGACGCGCAAGCCGAAGAGCGTATTCGTCAAGATCCTCGGCGTCGACGAAGAATACGAGATCCTCAACGTCCTCGAATTCAACTCGACCCGCAAACGCATGAGCACGCTCGTCCGCGGCCCGGACGGCAAGATCAAGATCTACTGCAAAGGCGCCGACACCGTCATCCTCGAGCGCCTCGCGCCGAACCAGCCCTACACCGACCGCACGCTCGCCCACCTCGAAGAATACGCCACCGAGGGTCTCCGAACACTCGCCATCGCCTACCGCGAAGTCCCCCAGTCCGAATACGCGCAATGGAGCGCGGTGTACGATCAAGCTGCCGCGACTATCAACGGACGTGGTGAAGCGCTCGACAAAGCCGCCGAGATCATCGAGAAGGATCTGTTCTTGCTCGGCGCGACGGCTATCGAGGACAAGCTGCAGGAAGGCGTACCCGATACGATTCACACGCTCCAACAGGCCGGGATCAAGGTCTGGGTTCTCACGGGCGACCGACAGGAGACGGCCATCAATATCGGGATGAGTTGCAGGCTTATCACGGAGAGCATGAACCTGGTCATTATCAATGAGACGACGATGCCGGATACGAAGGATACGCTTGAGAAGAGGCTGAGCGCGATCAAGAGCCAGAGGAGTACGGGCGAGTTGGAAGATCTTGCGCTGATCATTGGTGCGTTGTCTGTGCTATTGTGTCGTGATGCTTGACTGCTGACATATGGGATATATATAGACGGCAAGAGTCTGGGATACGCGCTGGAGAAAGAGATCGCCCCCAACTTCCTCGAACTGGCCATCATGTGTAAAGCCGTTGTCTGCTGCCGCGTCTCTCCGCTCCAGAAAGCGCTCGTCGTCAAGCTCGTCAAGAAGAACATGAACGCTTTGCTGCTAGCCATCGGAGACGGCGCGAACGACGTCAGCATGATCCAAGCCGCGCACGTCGGTATCGGTATCTCCGGTGTCGAAGGTCTACAAGCGGCTCGGAGTGCGGACGTCGCGATCAGCCAGTTCAGGTTCTTGAAGAAGCTGTTGTTGGTACACGGAGCGTGGAGTTATCAGCGGCTGAGTAAGCTCGTGCTGTACTCGTTCTACAAGAACATTACGCTGTACATGACGCTCTTCTGGGTACGTCTTTCCCACTCAATCTCGCACTCGTGCTTGAGGAACTGACGCATGATGCAGTACTCATTCTTCAACAACTTCTCCGGCCAAGTCGCCTTCGAATCCTGGACACTATCTATGTACAACGTCCTCTTCACCGTCCTCCCACCCCTCGTCATCGGCGTCTTCGACCAGTTCGTCTCGGCCCGTATACTCGACCGATACCCGCAACTCTACATGCTCGGCCAGAACAATGCATTCTTCACCAAGACGCAGTTCTGGCTGTGGGTCGCCAACGCGTTCTATCACTCGTTGGTGCTGTTCGCGTTCAGCATCGTGCTTTTCTGGGGCGATTTGAAGCAGAGCGATGGGCTGGATGGAGGGCTTTGGTTTTGGGGTACGATGTTGTACCTTGCTGTACTGCTCACGGTGCTCGGGAAGGCGGCGCTTGTATCAGAGTACGTTTGTCTTTCCCTTTCGGTCGAATTTGATCTGACGTCATATTGCCAGTTTGTGGACGAAGTACACGGTCGCCGCCATCCCTGGAGCATTCGCCTTCACGATGTGCTTCTTGCCCTTGTACGCCGTCGTTGCGCCCGCCATCGGCTTCTCGCTTGAACTGCTCAACTTGGTCCCGCGGTTATGGACGGACGGCGTCTTCTACTTCATGGTGTTGCTGGTGCCACTTGTCTGCCTCTCCCGCGACTTCGGGTGGAAATAGTACGACTTCGTCTATCAGTGTCGAGAAGAGGGTGCTGATCGCTTCTACAGCTACAAACGGACGTACATGCCAGCATCGTACCATATCGCACAGGAGATCCAGAAGTACAACATCCCCGACTACCGGCCGCGGCAAGAACAGTACGCCCATCTCCTTTGCCGATGTCTTCTCCCTTTACGATTGCTCATTGCGTGCACAGATTCCAGAAAGCGATCCGCAAAGTCCGCGCCGTGCAACGGATGCGGCGGAATCGCGGCTTCGCGTTCTCGCAGACAGAGAACCCGGCGAGGCAAGACCAGCAACGGTTGATTCGCGCGTACGACACATCGACGGCCAGACCGTCTGGATACTGACATGCTTGTTTGTGCTTCGGCTTCGATATTCGCTCACGTCTTGTCTTCATGATCGCGGATCCCACAGACTTTTTGACTTCTCACGGATTTCCGCTTGTATTTTAACGTTGGTATAATCTAGAGTTTCGAGATGTGTGCGTGAGTCCGTACCAAAGCCACGCGTTGCTGCTACGTGCCGCCAAGATATCGCTCGACATCCCGAGTCTGCTATCTGCGTCTCACCTCGCTGCAGGGCTACCGATGTCTTCATCAGGTAAGGAGTTACCCTGCTTCGGATCATCGCCACGTGCTAAAACGAGAGTTTAGGAGGCCGCCTCGTGTCCTAGCGGCAGTGCGAATAAAGTGCTATCCCGATACCGGCGCCGCCTCGAATGGCGCGAAGAACTCGCTCGTCTACCAAGTATGTATCTGCATGCACGTCGCTGCGCGCGAATCTCTGTTCCAGCATGCCCGCGCGCTGTAGACCTTCGATCAAGCGCTACGAAAGTGAGAACTTCTTTTCGATCAATTGGCTGTTATTAGAATCCCGACGCTGCACCCCTATTCCTGCCGGTTTCCAGGCCCACTGTGCGCGAACAGGAAGCTTCCTCTTATGCCTCTCGCCTGCCTACATAAGCGCACCGCCGCAGCGCTGCTTCTCCTGCGTGCCACAATCGGTAGTCGCGCGCACTGTCTCGCCAGTAGCGCGCGCTGTAGGGCCAAAGAAGGTTTCCTACGCGGACCACTTATAACACAATCGGCTAGATCAGCACGTCGAGCTCACCCTGACTGTCTCTCCCTCGCTATGAACCACATTCTTCACCCAGAACTCGAATTGCTCTCAGACGACGGTCTGCATGCCGCCGATACTGTAGGACTGCACGCTCTACGTACCGCTCCGATCGTTACCGGAGACGCGTTGCAGGACATTGGTCTAGAGACTCTACCGCAGAGGGCTGTCTATGGCGAACTTCTAGAGCAGCACGCCGATGGATTCCCTCTGCATGCGCAGGTCCCTCAGCTCTACATTAACACTAATGCACCCTTTAGCGCGTTGGTGTGTGGTGTTCAGGTGCGGCACCTGCTTATGTATACATGTCCTGAAATCGCTCACGTTGCCGTTGGGTTAGGGATCCGGGAAGAGCCACTCGACATCAGTTCTGCTAGAAAGTTGCCTCATACGGGACAAAAGACTGGGTACCTTGCCTGCGCCGTTGAGCGCACTCGTGTGAGTGTTTTCGGCGTGTCTTGATTGCGTCTTCTAACATTCGGTTATAGTTTCCATTTCGACACAGCGGCCGGCGGTAGCCTTGTCCAGCCGTGCGAAGCGGCTTATCTCGCCGCTTTACACCCGACTCGTGGGCGTGATGCTCGTGCTCCTCCTGTGAAAGTCCTGGTGATGTCAGTATACTGATCCCATTCGACTCTCGTGTGTAGGACGAGCTAAACTCATCTGAACCGCAGGCCCAATAGCCTTCCAACGATGCGACGAGTCTATGCTGGTTTACCTGGTGTGACAGTAGAAGCGCTGCGCTTCAGCTCTACAGACATCAATGGTCCTCGCCTTCTCTCGATGATGAAGTTAGAAGATGGAGCTCGTAAGCCAGTGGTTTGCGTGTCGTTACCCTACACTGACTGTGCCGCAGAAATGCCATTATACATGGAGAGCTTGATGAATCTTCTACGTTCGATGGAGAGCAACTTCGATTACGCCCGATTCCGTCGCGAGCTAGATGCCCAGGACTTCAGCCCTGGTCAACGCTCTATGCTGAACCTACGGCTTGCGTTATTGGATTCCTGTCTGACTGGGGGCTCCCCACAGAATAGTGTGTCTAGCCAGTTTCTGGATGGGCAGCTCACTATCATCGAGTGCGTGTATATCTTTGTTCAGTCATCAGTCATGGGTCGACGTTGTGACCAGCCTCTCGTCTCCCTTCATGGACCCCATGTCTGCTTGTGGCCTGTTTGATATCATTCTTGGATTGTACATGGAGGCGGACTGTACCTCTGGGAAGCTCGTCGGTACGTCTTTCCGTGAAGTATTTGGATCTCTGTAATGATGCGTGTTTATCTAGTTCTCGACGAGGCTCACAAGGCGAGCGCACCTATTGCTATTCTTCATTCTACACTGACGCTGGTGTAGTACTTATCAGAGTCCTCATCGCGGTTGACCGAGTCACTCCTGACCGTAATCCGCCAACAGCGTCACCTCGCGACCCGCGTCGTGATCTCGACGCAAGAGCCGACAGGTCAGCCCATTCAGCAAGTCGGTCTCAGATTGTCCTTAATGCACTTGCAGTCGTACCAGAAAAGCTCTTGGATCTTTGCTCCTTCATCATAGCCCATCGTTTCACCTCCCCCCTCTGGCTCAAAGCACTTACTCAGCATGTTGCTACCGATCAGAGCGAACTCAAGGAACTCGCCTCTAAGGTATGTCATGAAAGAATTGCGTCTGATATGGACAGTCGCTGACAATGAAGCACGTATAGATTGTCGCACTGCGCACCGGTCAAGCCATCCTATTCACCCCGTCTGGGATCGCGCGACGTAGCAAAACACATGGCGACGTTGCACCCTTTGGCAGTGGTTACATGCTTGTCAAGTCTCGGCACCGCGTCACTCGAGACGGCGGGCACTCCCTATTAGCAATGTCGGAGACCGCAGAGGTGAATGGGGACGCCCGTGTGCGGACCGCCTCAACACTCGCTCGGGATGTGATGCCCGCGCCTTATCTTGATGGTCGCTCCCATTCTCTTGCATCTCCACCACAAGTGGATGTCACGGTGCCCAGGGTGACCGGCCTGCAGACCCCTTCCTCGACCTGCAGCGCTGCGGAGACGCCATATGACTCCACCGCCGACAAAGCTGACGACTCTGATGGTCGGCTTATAAGCCACCTGGTCGATTATCTCGCGAAGCAAGCGAAAGCTGGATCAACTACTGTTGGGTTCGACAAGGCGAGGAAGTTCATGATACAGAAGCATGGACTAGGTGGATCTGGCGCGAGCAAGCGTTTGAACGATCTATTCGTGAAAGCGGATCGCCTAGGTCGGGCCAGAATCGAATACAGCGGTGGCTCAAAATTGCTTTCCCTCGCCTGATATAGATAGTGCTCTCTCATACTTACCACACCTTCTTGTCGTTACGTGGACCTTCATGACAGTTTGATACTCGACATGATCATTGACGCTTCGTGAATGCCTGCGTATCAGACACGAGGGTGGCCCCTCTCTTTCATCTGTGTCCTTTGCGGTTTCTGCTGGTATTGGATCCACACTGGTGACCGGTTTGCGCACGCCATCCCCTGTCGACTGATCGATAGAATGCTATATGGTATACCCTAGACTGACGTGCTCGACGTTGATGCTGCCCGTCTGTCTAGCTTTCACTAAACACTGCGCGCGTTATTGTGTTTCCCGGCTGTACTTCTCGATTGGCGCTTTGCACGTCACACGGGCCGTCCTTCCCAAGCGCCCAATGCTGTGTATCGCGTGCTGTAGTGTTTACCACGCTACCGACAGATCCAAAGGCGCCCTCACTGCCGTTGTACCTGGTTGTTTCCTACCTGCATCAGGGAAACCCCGGCCTCCGGAAACTAACTTTTTCGCAACTTATTCCGGGGGCCGGCTAAAACCTTCCTTATTGCCACTAAGCGGTGGACCGCCTTATGCGGCACCGCGGGTCGAGCCCAAGGGCTCTTGAAACGCGCTAAGACGCGTTCATCGTCTCCTTATTAGTAGATAAATGGAACCTTTTTCTTCCTTCTGCCACCGCCGGCGCCGGTAATCACACGAAGTTCAACAACTAAATTGTATACGTACAGAGGGCGAGATACTAGAAATATGAGCAGGAGGTGAAATGTGAGACATAGCGCGTATCTGGGCCAGCCGTAGGGGCCGGCCAACCAGGTCGGCCCATACCGGTACATTTATATATTTTATAAGTGGGCCTTTCAAGGCGAGGAAAATACGCCTGACAGCGGTGCGGGGCAAGCCAAACAATACACAGCTTGCAAAAAAGCAGAGAAACATGGTATTGACATTATATACGGGGTACACAACTCATGCAAGTAAGTTACAAGCCATACAGATAGAAGAAGACGATGAAGGGGCATGCGAGAGGTGGACGGGGCTGGACGAGCAAGGCTCAGGGGTCCGCGCTAGACGACAATCGATGGCCTTGAATGGAATACGAGCAGCCCTGCTTGATAAATTAGCACGGGAGCTGAAAGCACGAGCGGGTAACGTACGTTGAGGGACACGCGCGAGCGCGCAAAGCGAAGTTAGCACTCCCGTCCTCCGAAGAGCGAGCTAATCAGGCCCAGCAGGGCGTTCAACGCGTACGGGGCGAGTCGCCACGTCGGGCGCAAGGGCGAACGACGAGGAGAAAGGCGGCGAGGGAGGGGAGGGCGATGACGGGGAA